AGATGTCCCTAAATTTGGAGATACTCCAAATTTTTGTGGCATACCTAAAGTTTGAAATGTACCTAAGTTTTGAGGCATTCCTAAGTTAAATCTCGAACTTCGTTGTATTGAAGAGGTACCAGCCCCATTCATATTATTAAGCGAAAAGTCGGGCGGCCTTACGCTCATATATGGCCCTGCATATGTTGTTATGGGGTTTCCCATAGTTTGTGTTTGCATATTGTTCGATATCACAGTACTAGACCCTACTTGAGTGTTTGCTAATGTACTTGAACTTTGTTCATTACTCACAGGTATCGACATACTCGCAGTTGTCGATATTACAGGCATATTCTCATTATGACCTTACCCCCCAGTGTTTGGTGGATGTGAACCATTTAGAACCTCACTGTTACTCTGATTATTTGGTGGATGACTCATTCTTATTACTCGTCCACTCCTTAGTCTCATACACTCATCGAACTAGCCAGACTTTGTGTATAATACACAATACCCCCTACTTGGCGCACCAATTTGTTTCTGGTGAAAATTTGATTGATTTCGATTTATGGGGAGTTGAGTCCTAATCAAATCTCGACCATGTAGATTCTTTTTACTTAGGCTAGCAACTAGTTTTCAATCGAAAAGTGCATGAGAATGTAAACAACGTAAATTAGTATGCAAATCGAAAGTACTATTTTTGGTATTTTTTATTAAGAAACGCGAAGTAAAGAAAGCAGAAAAATTGTTGAATCGAAAAGTAGTGCGGAATATTAAATTGCAGGAATGTAAAAAACACGAAAACCTCAAATTTGCATTAAGTATAAATAGCGAGAAATCGAAATTGCAGGAATGAAAATAACAGGAAATCGAAATTGCATAAGTGTAAATAGCGAGAAATCGAAATTGCAGGAATGTAAATAACAGGAAATCGAAATTGCATAAGTGTAAATAGCGAGAAATCGAAATTACAGGAATGTAAATAACAGGAAATCGAAATTGCATAAGTGTAAATAACGAGGAACTTAAACGCAGAATCTCAACTTACATAAAAGTAAAATAACATGGAATTAAAAGTGCAGAAACTTAAAGTTGCTTAAACGTAAACTGCATCAAAATAAATTGCATGAACATAAATTACCAGGGAAAGTACAAAAAGCGGTAAAGACAATCAATGAAAATGGAAATCCAGATCGCCAGAAACTTCATGATTTCGTCGTTTTCTGGTAGACTTTTTCACTAATGTTTCAGTTCTCTCTGCCAATTTCCTCTTCTTCCTCAAGTTTTGCTCTATTTATAGGGCACCCTTCAGATAACCTCCTAAGAGCAGTTAACAAAACTGCCACCACGACCCACCATGCACGTTTCTCAGTTCCACAGTTTAAAAACTGTATTTCACGTTCCCATGCATGAGATAATCATTCCCTTGACCTTCGATCTCTGCCACGGTTTGGAAACCGCTTCCCATGTTCTATGTGCGCGTTAACTGTTCCTCTCTTTCTAACTTAGCCAGAATTTCGATGGTCGTGCATGTTAACTTTTCCATCGATTTCGATTTCAAAATCTCGAGAACTTTGCATTACTTTTTTGACTTTAACCTTATCATTACATTATTCTAATTCCTCGATTTTCTTCAACAATAGACATTAAATATTCCTCCTTCGATTCTCGATTTATGTGTCCATACTGTTACATGGTCATCGAATGTTTTCTAACCATCTTTTTACTTTATCAGTTTTTTAAACAATCATATGATCCTCGATTTTTTCTTTCCTTCGTTTTTCGATCCCTTTATCGATTTTCTACTAACAGAATCAAACTTGTTTTTAAAAATATTTATTCTAATTAAATTAGATGAAAATTTTAATATATATTGAGATAGTTGTAAAGAGTGAAAAAAAATTTTTAATTATACAAATATGAATAAAAAAAAAGGGAAAGTTCAACTACAAAATCGAATAATCTAATATAATATGAGAATTTATAAGTGTAATAGAATGAGAGAATATGTTTGTATTACAAATTATTCTGTTTATAGAACTCTTACTATAAATTTTTAGTAGCAAATAATATAATTGGAATTTATAAATAAATGAGTTGTCTTTATTCTTTATTTTAAAGAGTAATAAGGTTTATTATTGATATTAAGTGATATTTGATATTTGATAATGTTTGTTATTCTCTTTATTGGAGTTGACATACAAGTCTTTCTTAATCAAAATATGGGAATCTTTTATTAAAAAAAAGTTGTTTTTTTCACATGTCAAGTCTATTTTTGGACCATCTAAAGTTTTTGTAGGTGTTTATTTTTTGTTGAGCTATGTTTCATTGGAGCTGTCCATTTATAAAGTTAAGGTAAGTTGGATAGAGATTGAATTGTGTTTGATTTAGAACTATAATGGATGTGTACTCGATATAAATTTAGGATAGATATGTGTTTAATCTAAACTATAAAGGTATTTTTAATTTAAAATTATCATGATAATGTATTCAATTTAGATTTACAACGTGTTCAATTTAGAACTATTATTAAAATGTGTTTTGATTTGAAATTATGAGAACTATTATTTAAAATTAGATATACAGATAAAATGGATTATATTTAAAGTTATTATTTATCTTATTTAATTTAGAGTTATGATTGAATTTAAAATTATATTTTTTTTAACTATATTTGAGTTTAATATGTATTAAATAAAAAAATTTCTAGATTTAAAAAAAATCAATATTCATTTTAAATATTATACGATTAAGGTAAAATTTATTTATTTTGATAAAGACAATTTTTTATTTTTATTTGATCTAAAATATTTTATTTTTTTGAGGTCGATCTTTCAGATTTAATCTAGTGTATATGTATTCGATTTAGATGAATATGATTTTTTAAAAATAAATTAATATCACCTTTTACGTAAGATATGGTTGCTACATTTAAAGATGAAAGCGACGTCTCATTGAAATTTGGAGTCACAATTGAACATACAAAGGTAGAAGACCGTTCAAAGCTGGACCAGAGCCTACATGAATTATTGTATTCATTTTTATTTTTTTTGGTGACTATTTTTCTTCGTCACTTTTATTTTCTGGTTGAAAAAAATAGTCCCTCCCATCCTCAATCCTTAGCGTCCACAATAATAATTCCGATTTAGCAGTATTTATAAGAAAAAAAAAAACAGAAATATGAACTGTACAAACCGTTTTCTTTCACTCACACTTATTATTCTACTCATCCAAAATTATTTAATTTAATATTAAAATATTCTCAATTTTAATTTGTTTTATCTGTTTTTAAGATTATCTATAACTTCAAACTTTAAATAATACGAAACTTATAAGTATATATCAAAATAAATGCATAAAAAGATATTTTATAATTTTATGCGTTTTTCGTTTTTTTTTTATAATTGTGATATTTTTTAAAACAGTTTATTCGTTAAATTTTGAAAAATTCATAATTTTTATTATATTTGAATTTTCTCGTAGTTACAATTTAATCTAAAATAAAATGAAATTTAAAAATGATGTTAAGTGACGGTAGTAACTTAGTTATCGAATCTGACAAATATTTGAATTAAAAACATCTGAATTTTAATTTATTTTACTTTAAATGAATAATTTTATAAATATAATATTAATAAATAAGATTATAATAGATATTTTTATTTTTTACTATGTCAAAATATCAGCATTTTAAAACATAATTTTAATATTAAAAATATTTTTTTTATTTTTAAGTCTCATAATTTTATACCATATTCAAATCTTAATTTGAAGACAAACAACATATTTCAACACTACATCACCATATTTCAACCATGGATTCTTGAAAAGATATAAATTGATTTTTTGGGATCAAATTTGAAAGTAGACAAGAAAAGAAGCACCGTGATAGATAGAAGGGAAATGATTTTTGACCATCAATTTTTACAAATATCCCTTTTTTTTAATTGATGGAAAGAAAATAAAATAAAATAAATAAAAATTAAAAAATGATTTTTTTTTTCCTTTTACGATTTAAATATCATCACTCAAATTAAAAACCAGTTCAAATCCAAAAGCGTCGTCTTCATGTGGTAGGTAGACCTAAACTTAAACTAACATGCTACGCATGGGAATGCCTACTTTATTCCACCCCACATATATAGTTGCCAATTTCCACTTTTACACTGCCTTCTAAACTTATGAAGAAACAATTTGTACTCTACAACTTCTAACTTTTCTTCAAACATCTTCACAGTCTATAAATGTTGAATGGAAAGATGGAGATAAAAAGAAAAGAAAAAAAAGAGAGTAGATTATGAATGATTTGATTAAAATACAATGGAAAAAATTAGGGCATAAATAAATGTGAGTGTAAGGGAAGAAATCAAAAATATATTTTTTTTGTAAAACATTTAAGAATTAAATTATTTTATTTTATTAAAAAAACTCTTAAAAATTTATACAAACAATCAGAATATATATTAGACGAGTAAGAGCTAAAATTAGCTCAATTAATTTAACAATACTCATAAGTTAATTAAAAACGTATCGCAACATGATTACCTTTCTAAAAAAATATTTAAAGAAAACAAAATAATAAATTTATAAAAAATATAACGTGATAAATAAAAAATAATAAAATAATGATTATTAGACATATTTAATGCAAACAACTGTTAGAGAATCAAGTTATATTCATCAACATGTGTATGTTCGTTTTTATGGTTATCGAAAAGAGCATTTTCCCAGCTACGACAAGTCAATTAAAGGACCACGCACTTAACCTAAAGACAAATTTTATTTTCAAAATCAGTTTGGAAGAAACATTTATTCGAGAATTGCGTATCAACTACAAATCTTAATATAATATTATTATTTATTATTATTATTATTTTTTTTGAAATTGTTACTTGAAGGTTTGGTGTTCATATATCACCCCTCAAACCTAAATCCTTTTGGTTTCACTCATCACTACCAAGAAGTTCACACCATATCCCCATAATCAACCATCAACAACAACAAAAAAAATAGGCAAAAAGATGTTGTACCACGAAAACCCTATCTCGCAGTTCCCAGTACCAATCACCATTACATTCTTCTTCTGCCTGTTCATATTTCTCTTCGTTATTTCATCCATATCCAGAAAGTTCCAAAACTACAGTGCTGCAACGAGAAAAGCACCGCCGGAAGCAAGCGGGGCGTGGCCTTTGATTGGCCACCTCCATCTCTTAGGAGGGTCGAAACCGCCACACGTCACGTTGGGCCACATGGCGGACAAATACGGCCCCGTCTTCACCTTGCGTCTGGGTGCTCACAGAACGCTGGTTGTGAGCAATCAGGAAATGATCAAACAGTGCTTTACGGTCAACGACAGAGCGTTCGCTAGCCGTCCTAAATACCTGGCCTTTGAAGTGTTGGGCTACGACTTTTCCATGATAGGGTTCAGCCCGTACGGTTCTTATTGGCGCCGCGTGCGGAAAATTGCCACCCTGGAGCTGCTCTCTTCTCACCGCATAGACACGCTCAAGCACGTGATGGAGGCCGAAGTGAAAGCGGCAATGAAAGAGAGTTACAATATCTGGTTGAAGAACAAAAACAGCTGTTCCGAAATGAATAGGTGGTTTGGGGACATAACGTTGAACGTTATGTTCCGAGCGGTGGTGGGAAAACGTTTTGTTAGTGACGGCGGTGAGAGTGAAGAGAACGAACGGCTTCGAAAGGCGCTGAGGGAGGTGTTTGATCTGAGCGGTTCATTCACAGTGTCTGACTCTCTGCCATATTTGAGATGGTTGGATTTGGATGGTAAGGAGAAGGAAATGAAGAAAACGGCGAAAGAGTTAGATAGGTTTGTTCAAGTTTGGCTCGAAGAACACAAACGAAGGAGGGATTGTGATTCAGGAGAACGGAAACATGACCAGGACTTGATGGACGTCCTTCTTGGGCTTGTTGAAGAGGGTGAAGAGTTCGATGGTCATGACGGTGATGCCACAGTCAAAGCTACATGCCTGGTATCTCTCAACTGTTAATCTGTTATCTTATCATCATCAATCTCACTTTGTGTTTTTACGTGGGGTGTTTTCTAAATAAAGAATAGCAAAATGATGAATAGAAATCAAGGATACTAATTAAGAGGAATTGTAGAATTAATACACTTAATTGTGTCAAATTAAAACTAATTAACCACGTGTTTCGGAACATGGTTTTCTAAATTTATGAACAATTTGTTTCAATGCTCGTTATTGGTAGTACAGAAATATAAAAGTTTTTCTTATTTTGGTATTTTGTAGGCTTTAATTTTAGCTGGTTCAGACACTACAACAGGAACAATGCTCTGGGCTCTCTCATTACTTGTCAATAATCGGGAAATTCTAAGCAAGGCCGTCCATGAATTAGATACAGAAATTGGGAGTGAAAAGATGGTAGAGATATCAGATTTGAAGAAGCTACAGTATCTCCAAGCTATTATCAAGGAAACACTACGTTTATACCCTGCTGCACCACTTAATATGCCACACGAGTCCATGGAAAATTGCATAGTGGGTGGATATGATGTACCATCTGGAACACGTCTTTTGACTAACATTTCAAAACTTCATCGTGATCCTTCTGTGTATCCTAATCCCTTAGAATTTTGTCCAGAGCGATTCCTAACAACCCACAATGAAGTGGACCTCAAGGGTCAACATTTTGAGTTGATTCCATTCGGTGCAGGAAGAAGAATGTGTCCCGGACTTTCTTTCAGCCTCCAATTACTGCAACTAACGCTTGCTACTTTATTGCATGGGTTTGACGTTGCAACCTGTGATGGGGGACCAGTTGATATGCTTGAACGGATTGGGTTAACCAACACCAGAGCCTCTCCACTTCATCTCATTCTTACTCCACGACTCTCTACTCATATTTATCATGAAATTTAAATGGTAAAATAAAACGGAGATTAATGGAGTAACATGTCATGTATGAATAATAAGCTTTATTAGCATATCTAGTGAAAATGTGTAACACGGAGTTAATTTTAATCATACAAACGAACATAAATAATTAATCACGATTGTTTTAATTAGTTTTAAATTTAATTATTTATTCAAATTATACGATTTGGATTCTTGTAGCTCATCACTCTATGTGTATTAGAAAGTTTGATGTACCATTATTAAATTTAGTTCTGATAAATTTTGAGGAAAAGTGATAAAAGATTTTATAACTAAATTTTTTTCATAATCCTAAGTATGAAAATAAGTTTATTTTAATGAATCAACTTAAAAAATTGTTCAAGACCAAAAATTTATAACAAGTCAATTTCGGCTCAATTCATTTAAATCAGGTTTAAATAGAAACCGATAGATTCATGGTTCAATAAATTTTTTTAAATAATGAATAATTATTTTATTAAATATATTTATATAATAAAAATTATTTTGATAAATAATTCACTTATTTTTTAAGTAAATATAAAATAAGTTTTTAAGATTTACTTATCTCAAAATTTAATAATTAAGATAGATTAATATTTTAGATATTTTTTTCCTTTTCGATAATTCAAATTAAAAGTTATTTTTTTAATATATGAATTTTAGAAAATGTTTTTTTTCTTCACTACTAACTAGGTTACACTTGTTATTTAGTGGCTAAGACATCCAACTCAATAATGACACTTATATTAAAATAATAATGAAATTTTACTTTTTAAAACTTTTTAACTAAATTATTTTTTTATTCTTTAAAATTTGAATAAAATTTTATTTTCGTCCTAAAATAAAAAACTGATCTTTTAAGTACCTCATTTTTTAAAAATTTAAAAATATTGATTTAGTCCCTAAATATAAAAGGGATTTTTAATCTGTTGAAAATTTAATGACATAAGTAAATTATATTTAAATTAAAGGAGGTAATTTTAAATTCACTATTGTTGAGAGTAATCTTTTCTATTAATTATATTTTATTTTTTAGATGAGCTTTACAGTCAACAAGCACATCTAATGTATTATATTTTATAATATTTTTAAAATATAGACACATAACCGTTGTCTTATTATTAAATGTACCGGTATTGTGACTAGTCAACATCGAATAACACAATTTTTTTCTATTATATAATTATTATACAGTTTAATTTAATAATAATAATGAATATAAAAATAAAAATTTTAATTATTTTTATAATATTAAAATGAATTGTTGAATAAATATCTAAATTAAAGAAGATGTGAAAAATATAAATTTTCATTTACGGTAGAGGAAGTGGCCTTCAATAATTCATCCCACCACCTCCATCTTTTGAGTTTGTTATGTACATAAATCAAGACCATATCTCCATAATCAACCATAGACGACAATAACAAGAACCATCACCATGGACATGGAAAATCCACTCTCCCAATCAACAGGGTTATTTACCATCTTCTTCGGCCTCCTCATATTACTCTTTCTTCTTTCATCCATGTTGAGAAGGCGCAGAACCACCACAGGTGAAAGTAGAGAAGGACCACCAGAAGCAAGTGGTGCGTGGCCATTCATTGGGCATCTTCACCTCTTAGGAAGGGCAAAAGCACCTCACATCACGTTGGGCAACATGGCCGATAAATATGGCCCCATCTTCACCCTGCGTCTTGGTCTTCACAAAACCCTTATTGTGAGCAATTGGGAAATGGCCAAACAGTGTTTTACGGTCAACGACAAAGCATTTGCTAACCGTCCTAAAGCTTTAGTTCTTGAAGTGATGGGCTACAACTTTGCCATGTTTGGGTTCAGCCCCTACGGTTCTTATTGGCGTCGCATACGTAAGATTATACTGCAGGAGCTCCTCTCCACTCAACGGGTAGACATGCTCAAGCACGTGATGGAATCAGAGGTGAAGGCAGCAGTGAGAGAGAGTTACCATTTTTGGCTGAAGAACAAAAACAATGGTTCCGACAAGGCAACAACTGAGATGAAGAGATGGTTTGGGGACATAACTTTAAACATCGTGTTCAGAACAATCATAGGAAAACGTTTTGTAGGTGACGATGATAGTGAGAATGAACGGATCCGAAAAACACTGAGGAACTTTGTTCATGTGGCTGGATCATTCGCTGTGTCCGATGCTCTGCCATATTTGAGATGGTTGGATTTGGATGGAGCAGAGAAGAAAATGAAGAAGGCGGCGAAAGAGTTAGATGCGCTTGCTCAAGCTTGGCTGGAACAACACAAACGCCACAGGAATCATGATTCGGGTAACCAGGACTTCATGGACGTGCTTCTTGGGCTTGTTGAAGAGGGTGAAGAGTTTGAAGGTCGTGACGCAGATACCACAATCAAAGCTACATGCCTGGTATAATCATTCTTTCCACGCTTTTCCGCTCATTTCTGTGTGTTGAAATTTTACTATCAACACAGCTCTTCTATTTCCCTCTTTCTGCAAATTTGTCATACCAATTTAAGTACGGAGTGGTGATATATTTACCTTCTCCACACTCGTCCAACAACCTAATTTTATTGATATAATATTAGTAAAAATAATTTAAAATTATTATTACAATATTAAAATCAGTTATTAAGGAATTATTTACAAAATATGGTGTCAAAATAGTTTTTCCTTAAGTAAGGGACTATTTTTTCTTTGAATTCAGATTCACAAACACCCCAAAACAGTTCAATTTTATTATAAAACTAATTTATCATTTTTAAATTTAATAAAAACATGAAATAATGAGCGTTGGGGTGTGATTGAAACTTTAAAGGTGTACACATCAATCATTTTCTTCTTTTTTTCTTTTTAAATTAGTGTCCCCTCCTCCGCTTCCCTAAACCAAACTGAACCAATTCGTAGCATGATTTTGTCCTTGTCCTGTCAACCACTAAAATTGTGTTCATGTTTTTCTTTTTTCTTAATTTTTTTTCTTTATTTTCTGTATTATAAGTGGAATTGATTTAAAAAAACAAATAAAGAAAGCAAAATATGTATTTTTATGTAATTAAATTTATGATAATATATACTTTTAATAATTATAATGCTATTTATAATTATTTTTAAAAAAGTTGATATGGAATGGTTGAAAAAAGTTTTTATTTTTTATTTTTGGACTAGTTGCTAAAAGTAAAATCAACATTAAATTTTAAAATATAATTAAAAATGTAAAAATAAAATAAAATATTCTATTTATAAAAGATTGAAAAAATATTAATATTAATATCATACAATACATGTTCTGACAAGGGCTTCAATTATTGTACATTGTAGGCCTTAGTATTAGCTGCAACAGATACTACGACGGGGACAATGACTTGGGCTCTCTCGTTACTTCTCAACAATCATGAAATGTTAAACAAGGCAATCGAGGAATTAGACACACGAATTGGAAAGGAAAAAATGGTAGATATATCAGATTTGAACAAGTTAGAGTACATGAATTCTATCATAAAGGAAACCCTGCGCTTGTACCCTGCTGCACCCCTTAATGTGATCCACGAGTCTATGGAAGATTGCGTTGTGGGTGGATATCATGTTCCTACTGGCACACGTCTATTGACTAATATTTCCAAACTTCAACGAGATCCCTTCATATATCCTGATCCATTAGAGTTTCGTCCAGAGAGATTCTTAACTACACATAAGGACATTGATGTCAGGGGTCAACACTTTGAATTGATTCCATTTGGTGCAGGTAGAAGAATGTGTGCTGGAGTATACTACAGTTTCCAATTAATGCAATTAACACTTGCGACTCTATTGCATGCATTTGACATAGAAACCCCTGGTAGACAACCTGTCAACATGCTTGAACAAGTTGGACTAACCAACATCAAGGCTACTCCTCTCCAAGTCACTCTTACACCACGTCTCTCGCCTCATATTTTTCATGACCTTTAAATGGAGAGTATTGGAATCACCTACTACTGTATGTAACTTCTCCATTCCAGGGTCTAATATCAAATCACTTTTCCTTTCTCTCTGTGTGTCTGTGTGTTTTGAAGCCTTTGGAACATTGTAATAAATAAATAAATAAAACCTTTTCGTCCTGAGGCACTTAGAATTGGAAAGACGTGTTTCTCTGTGAAATTTTAAGACTATATCACATAATAGTTATGTTTGATTAATAATCATTTGATCCAATTTGTGGGAAAAATTAGGGAGGAAGGTCGAGACACAGTTTATGAACCTTAAAGTAACTCAATGCAGCATAAAGAACTTGTGGTAACTATCATATCATATTGACAATATAATTATTGAAAAGTGAGTACAAATAAACACCATCAGGGACCACTATCACAATCGCGTATTTTATATTCCATGATAACTTTCGTTAAAACTATTAGTTCTAATAATGATTACATAGCCATATAAACCAGAAGAAAAAATAAAAAAGCAGATACTAGATTTTCTTTAACGAGGAGAAAGTGGAAGAAACAGTGGCCTTGATTTCTTCCTTTACCTTAATGTTCTATACGCGAGCCAATCAAAACTAATGCAGATCTCTTCTGTCGTCATCAAATATCTTATCTTGGAGAAATCTATTAAAAATTTAATTTGTGTCCCATTTATCCTCATCACTAGACTTTACTGAAAAATAACTCCATTCATGATTAGTTTACATGTGTACAAGGACATTCTTGACAATGAAATTCATAACCTACACCTGTGACGCTAGAACAATAATAATATTAGAACTAGAAAAAAAAAAAAAAAAAAAAAAAAAGACACAAAGATTTTACGTGGTTCAACACACGGTGTATGTAATTACGTCCATGATTATCTAGAATACTTTCTTTGTGTTAATATGTTTTAAAGCTTAAATGATATCTCTATAGATAATACTTAGTGAGATATTAGTCTTTATAAATTAAGAGATGTGAACTTTGAACTAAGATCATGAAACTCTAACATACCTTTTATTTTAAAAAAGATTTAATTTGGGGATGATAATTAAATCTTTATTCGTGATAATTGATGTTGCAGGTTGCACAATTGTCCTGTGGCAGAGGCCGGGTGGGCCAAGTCACAATCCAAGAGTGGGATACCTTGTAGGACAATTGCTGAAGGGGAGATTGTTGCGAGTAGCATCAATTGTCCCGTGACGAAGGTCGAGTGAGATGAGTCACAATTGAATCGTGGCGCTTGAGTCGTTAAAGTAAAAAGAGTTGCGGCTCGACTAATGGCTATAGCTTTTGGCCTAGTGGTAAGCGCTCGATCCTAACAATTGGTATCGAGCCAAGGTCACGAGTTCGATTCCTGGTGGGCAATTGTTGAGGGGAGATTGTTGCGGGTTGCACAATTGTCCCGTGGCGAGGCCGGGTGGGCCAAGTCACAATCCAAGAGTGGGATACCTTGTAGGACAATTCGCTGAGGGGAGATTGTTGCAGGTAGCATCAATTGTCCTGTGACGAAGGTCAGGTGGGCTGAGTCACAATTGAATCGTGGCGCTTGGGCTGTTAAAGTAAAAAGAGTTGCGCTCTGACTAATGGCTATAGCTTTTGGCCTAGTGGTAAGCGCTCGATCCTAACAAGTTTAAAGGTCAAATGTTTGAAGTCTGATAATGGTGGAGAATATGACAGTAGTCAATTCAAGGAGTTTTGTTCAGAGAATGGGATCAGAATGATCAAGACAGTTCCAGGAACACCAGAACAAAACGGTGTGGCGAAAGAATGAACGAGAACCTTGAATGAGAGAGCAAGATGTATGAGAATCCGATCAGGATTACCCAAGGTATTTTGGGCGAGATGCAATAAGCACAGCGACCTATCTCATAAACGAGAGGACCATCGGTTCCTTTAGACTATAAGTTACCCGAAGAAGTATGGTCCGGAAAAGAGGTAAATCTTTCACATCCGAAAGTTTTTGGTTGTGCTTCATATGTTATGTTAGACTCTAATAGTAGAGATAAATTGGACCCTAAGGCAAAACGTTGTTATTTCATTGGTTATGGATCTGACATGTTTGGCTACGGGTTTTGGGATGACCAAAACAAGAAAATTATCGAAGTAGAAATGTTACTTTTAATGAAAACATGTTCTATAGAGACGAGATTGCGAGAATCCGCAAATGTAAATAAACGACTAGAGCAAGTATCATTAGAAGAAATTTCGAGAAAGTGATGTAGTCAGCCAGAAGGCGGAATATACAAGTAGAGCCTATGTCGAGCACTGAGACAGAACTCGAACAAATAGTAGAGTCAGCAACTCCTGAAATCTTGGTTAGAAGATCTAGCGAGAACAATTGTAGTACCACAAAGGTATTCCCCTTCATTGCATTATTTGTTGTTGATCGATGCTTGGTGAGCCGAGCATTTCTTCGAGGCTATGCGGGGAGATGAATCTATTAAGTGGGAGCTAGCAATGGAAGATGAGATAAAGTCCTTTCGGAAGAATAAAACATGGTCTTTAACCAAGCTACCGGAAGGAAAGAAAGTTTTGCAAAACAGGTGGGTCTATAGGTTGAAAGAAGAACCGGATGGCGAGCAAAAGATATAAGGCTAGACTCGTAGTGAAAGGGTTCCAACAAAGACAAGGAATTGACTTCACAGAAATTTTCTCTCCTGTTGTCAAGATGACTACCATCGAGTTATCTTGAGTATAGTAAGCTGCAGAAAATCTTCATTTGGAGCGGTTAGATGTCAAAGCTGCATTCTTACATGGGGATCTTGAAGAGGAAATTTTTATGACACGACCAAAAGGTTTTGAAGTACAAGGCGGAGAAAATCTTGTATGCAAGCTTCATAAAAGTTTGTACGGATTAAAACAAGCGCAGAGACAATGGTACAAGAAGTTTAATGAGTTTATGAGAAACTCGGGATTTCGCAAATGTGAAGAAGATCACTGTTGTTATGTGAAGAAATATGTTGATAGCTATATCATTCTTGCCTTATATGTTGACGACATGTTGATTGTTGGAGCTAATATGGCGAGAAATTGACAAGTTGAAGAAACAATTGTCGAGAGAGCTTTGAAATGAAGGATCTTGGTCCGGCCAAGCAAATTCTTGGTATGAGAATCTCCCGAGATAGAGATAAAGGTATTTTGAACTTATCTCAAGAAAAATATATAGAAAAATTGCTTAGCAGATTCAATGTTGGGAATGCTAAAACCGGGAATACACCTTTGGGAACTCACTTAAAGTTTTCAAAGAGGCAATCTTCTCAAACAGAAGAAGAAGAAAGTCACATGTCTAAAGTGCCATATGCATGCTACGAGTAGGAAGCTTGATGTATGCTATGGTTTGCACCGGACCGGACATAGCACATGCGAGTAGGAGTTGTGAGCAGATTTCTATCAAATCCCGGAAAGGAGCATTGGGAAGGAGTGAAGTGGATATTCGGATATTTGAAAGGCACTTCAAAGATGCATTTGTCTTTCAAGAGAAGTAATCTCATTTTACGGGGGTTTTCGATGCGGACTTGGGAGGTGATCTTGACGGTAGAAAGAGCACAACGAGGTTATATTTTTACATTGGGTGGTACAGCTATCGGTTGGAAGTCTAAACTTCAAGGAAGGGTCTCTCTCTCAACCACTGAAGCGAGTATGTAGCTATCTCGGAAGCGGCGAAGGAGATGATATGGTTGAAGAACCTTCAAAAGAATTAGGAAGAGAACAAGATGGTTCTCCGTTGTTTAGTGACAGATCAAAGTGCTATTTGTCTTGCTAAAAATCCAATCCTTCATTCCGGATGTAAGCACATTGAATTGAAGTATCATTTTATCGAAACCCGATAAATGATGGAGACTTGAGTTTGTTGAAGATTCCAGTGCGAGAGAATCCCGCTGATATGTTGACCAAGACTGTTACAACAACTAAGTTGAGGCTTTGCATTGCCTCAACCGGCCTTCGAGCAAATTGATGATGAAGGCACTACACTAGGTGGTAACGTAAATCAAACTCCAAGTGGGAGAATTGTTAGTATTATGGTGCTTGATTTAGTCCCACATCGATTAGGATTGTGAGATGAGGTTCTCTATTTTGTTATATAAGTAACCCTATGTAAAGTTTGAGATACACACGTAAATAAAAATACTTCCTAGTGTAGTCGTGGACGTAGGCATACATATTTTAGCCGAACCACGTTAAAATTCTTGTGTCGTTTATTTTTCTCTCCTTTATTCTTTCCTTTATTATTGTCTTGTTCCTAACAATTGATTCATCTTCGTCCTGTGTTTGACTAGAAAACCCGAATTACTTAGGGGTGGACGGGTTTGAGTTTTTCCTACTTAAAAAAACCAGGGATGGGGCTCATCCCAACCCCGTCTCCATCCTTGCCCGATTTTATATTTAAATTTAAAAATATTAATATTTTAAAAATATTTCTTTTTCTATTACATAAAGTCTTTTTTATATTTTACTATTTTTATTTTTCTTATATCCACTTTTTAATTTTTTTATCTTTTTTAATTTTTTATATCAATTAGTTTATTACATTATTCTCTCTTACCTGTTAGTTTTTCACATTTTCTTAATCTCTCAAATCAGCTTTTTTTCAATCTTTTCGACCAATTTAATAAACACAAAGTTACTTTTTTTCTAAATATTTTGCATAAATATTAGTAGTAACTAATATTATGTTATTTATAATTTATATTTATTAGATTTTTTATGTCCTATTTTTTATCTTATTATTCTTATTTGTCATATATCAAATTTTATATTAATAAAATAATTATATTTTAAAGGATTAAAAAATTGATAATTTAAACTTTTATTACTTCGAACTAATTAAATAAGAATTAATTTATTAAATATTTTCTTATAAATGATATATTTCATATTTTTAAATAATAACTTAAAAATGAATTAACTTATATATATGTAATCAAATATATAATCAAATGTTTGAATACAATATTATAATTATAATAATAATAATAATAATAATAATATTGTAAATATTCAAATATTTGAATACAATGGTATAATAATAATAATATTATTATTATTATAAATATTATATATATAAATGAATAAATATTTTTTTATATACATATTTTATATAAATATAATAAATTAAAAAATATATTTAATTAATAATAATTATAAATTGTAAAATTATAAATATTTATTTTTTATATAAAAAATACATAGTAAATTTAATTTATTATAAATATAATTAATTTTTTAAAAATAATATAAATTAAGAAGTACGAGATGGAGAAATCCAAAAGTTAGTAAAAAAAAACAAAAGACTTAATTTCTAACCCAATTAAATTAAAGACGAGACAACCATAATAAAAAAAGTCAGCGATGGCAAAATCTGCCCCCACCATTGCCATGCCTATTTAACTAAGGAGCATTTTCTTGCACGATGTTAAGTTAAAGTCTGGGATGAGTTTGTTTGTTTCAAGTGAAAGTGAAAGACGAGAAAAAATGGGCTCATACAGGATGGAACGCCATTCTTTCAAGACTTTCAAATATAAAAACATTTGACGGGTGAATTTGATAGGTGATTGTTTTGAACAAATCTAAGGAGACGATATAGTTTATGATGCACACTAGTATAATAATACGCACTCATCAAATCTAATGTAACTGCTCCATGATCATAACTTTTTCTTGACGTGATGTCTCACCAGTCATCTAGGAATTTTTTGAGAAAGACAACAAATAGAAAGATTTAAATGAGTTATGATAGTTAGTGCTGAAATAAAAAAACTAGAAAAGAATAAGAAAATTATAGCCTTAGGTAAATTTTTAATGGGTAAATTGTATTTCGCACTATGACTTCACATAGAAGACGTGCTTTTCTGAACTACTTTCGTGTTTTTTTAATTTTCAATAGTGAAATCGTATTAGAAAGAATGATTTTAGTTCTTTAACATGTTCAATATTGTTAATTAAATTTAACTTTAATTTTTTTTCTTAAAAAATTTTATAATTTTTTATAATTTTTTTAATATTTAACATCAAAATAAAATGTTAAAATAATTAAATAATCTATAATAAATAAAAATTATATCAATATTTATATTTTTATATTAACCTGTCATAATAATAAATAAATAAATAAATAAAATAATTTTATTTTCTCTTTTTTACTTAAAAATAATTATTATAAATATTTTATTAATTTATTAAAAACTAAAAATTATAAATTAAAATATTGAAAAAGAAAAATATAATTGTGAATAAATAATTAAAATAAAAATAAAAATGTAAAAAACAAAAATAAACATCTCATTAAAAAGTTGAGGTATGATCTAAAAAAACTAAAAAATATAATATTTATTATAAATAAAAAATTTTAAAAATATATATAATTCAAAAAAATATTATATATAAAAAATAAATAAATTTTTATGAGTAAAATTAGATAGGAAACCGTCAACTCCGCTAACTTCCCAACAGTCCTTGCGTTATGTCCCCTAATTAGGTCGCAATATACAGTTGTTCAAGTCCCTGATATGCAATTCTGTTGTAAATAAATATATGACGGGTGCTTTATAATTCATAATTTGTGTGTTTAATATAAAATTATATTAATTACTTTTAAGATAAAAATATCTTTGAATATTAAAATCATATTTTTCTATGGTTTACTTATTAAGATTTATTCATCTATTATATTTGTTAATTTTGTCACTTTTAACTAAATATTTTTGTTTTAATTATTTTTCTAATTTAATTTTAAATAGATTATAATTAGAGCAAATTGTATAACATAACTACATAAGTCTCATATTTAATTGTTTAAAATAAATGTAAAAAATTTATAAAACTAAATATAAAATTCATAAAAAATAGATATTCAATTAAAAATTATAATAATTATTAAAAAAATTATTATTATAATTTATTTTAATTGTTATAAATTAAAATTTAAAAAATAATATGATAAATAAATATTACATATTAAAATAATATATAATATTATATGTATTACATATAATATTTAAAATAATATTACATGTATTACATCTTGCTACAACTATCAATGATATTTCTTCTTAAAATTTTCATTCTTCCTTCTAACTCCATTATGTCGTTATAAAAATAATAATAATAAAAAAAAATTCATGGCTGCACAAAAATATTTTCATTCATCTCAGACTTTTCCTTCTCTCCTGTAACGATGTTCACAACTACTTCATCCTCATGTACGATTTTTTTCCACTGATCTTGTATTTCTATGTAGCATTTTGTTAAATAATTTGTGTGCTTCTGCATTTTGTAATCTTGGTCAGTTTGGTTTTGTAGGAAGAATTCCTTGAACACGATTTTACCTGAGAGATTGTCCATTTGTTGTCTCTTACGAAGGACACCATGACCAACTAGGAGGCCAGTGGTGAGAGGAAGAGAATGGTGATCTTTCAATGAAGAAAACAATCATTCTGGAGGGAGGATAACGTTGTTGCATGCGGTTGGGCTGGCGGTGGTTAGTGTTTGTCTGGGACAATAACAGATGAGAAAAGTGTTGTGAAAATGATGATACATATCACATTAATTCATAGTATAACCAATGTAAAAGGTTCATGTTAAATTCTTTCTTTTTATTAGTCAGAATTAATTTAATCATGTGTCCTAAGAAATAAAAAATAATTTTTATTTATATATTAGAGTTTGTTGTTAATCTTTATTAGACAATTTGATCTAAAAAACCCAAAACTATAAACATCACTCTTGTCAAACCCAAAACTATAAACATCACTCTTGTCAGATAGGTGAAAATCTTGATGTATATTGTGGATCAACATAGCCAGGAGTTCCTTCTGGGTAGTTGAAATGTGCCATGTTTCTGTCATTCCAAGTCTAGAAAGACCAAAATCTGCCACTTTTGACCTGAGACAAAAATATCAATGGACTTGAGCTAGTATAATTAAACACTTTGTAATATGAAATCAAATGTTTCAATTTATGAAAAAAAATTATAGCACTTCATTATATTATGTATAGATTTAGGATCTTGGTGGTCCGGAATTATGTATACGATGTAACAAAGAAGATAATATATAGTTTATGATGAACACTATTATATTTATCAAATCTAATGTAAATGTTTTATTAAATCTTTTCTTCTTTCTCTTTCTCCCTCGTTCTTATTTTTTTCTTAATTCTATGATCAAAACTTTTTCTTGACGTGAAGTCTCACTAGCTGTCGTCAAACTTTTTCGAAAGACAATAAAAACGAAATCTCTCCAAAAATTCTTAAAGGAGTTGTAATAGTTAGTGTTGAAATAAAACATAGAAGAGACTTAAAAAAAGAACAAGACAACTATGGCCTGTGTTTGGTTAAAAAATTACTGTCTAAGACAATAGGTTATCAATTATTTGAGATGATGAAATTTGTTTATTAAACAAAATTTAATAGATTAATTTCAAAATATTTTTCCATCTTCATTTATTTAGAAAAGATTTAAAATAACTAGGACAGTTTAAACTATCAATATCTCCTATTCTAATAAATTTACTGTTAATATTATTTTTAGACTCTATCCCTAGCTATTTCTATAAGGTATTATTGATCTTTAAAATAATAAATATGTTAACAAAAAATATTAATCATATAAAATATAATAAATTCTTAAAAGTTTTTTTTATCTAACGTCACTTGGTCATATTATTAAAGGAATTTGAATGTAGTTATAAATTCATTTAAATATTTGGAATAGAGTATTATATATTAAAAATAAATAATATTTTTTAAAAATGTATAGAATGATAAATATTTTGAAGAATAAAATATTCGAATTGATGTATAATAGAAGATAAAGAGAATAAATATTTTTTTAAACATTAAAAAATTATTAATATTTTTTCATATACTATATATAAATTTGACATGATGTTTTTTGTTAAGCACTGTCATTTTTTAGTATATATTTCTTGTATCTAATTGGTTTAACTTTAAATTTCATTTTTAAAATATTATTTTATAAATACAAAATAATGATTATTAAAGTTGAAAATTTCACTTTAGTACGAGAGTTTTATATGAAGCTCTCTTTTAAAATTTAATCTTTAATCTCTTATATTCAAGTGATTTTTCATTTACACTTGTCTTAATTCATCAAATAGTATATATATTCATCATCTTCTAATATTTTACTTGTTTTTGTTATTTTTAATTAATTAAGAATGTCCAATTTAATATCCAGGTAATAACATCGTTAAGTTTTCCTTGTATAAAACACAATTGTGGGTATTGTGTCATATAGAATTGGGTCAACTTTTTACATATTAATTTTCAGATTTTCAAAAAGATTTACCATTTCCATCCGATCATCAATTTTACATTTATTTTTTTAATTTAATTAATTAAATGATATTTTTAAGAGAATATGTTATATTTAAGATTTAATTAGAGAAAAAATAAACATAAAAAATGTGATTAGACCAAAAGTGTGAACTTTTTAAAATAGAAAAATAAAATAAAAACTTAAAAAATAAAAATTATAGATAAAATTGAAAAATGACAACAATTATTATGTAGCAAAAATACAAACGTTTTCGGATATGTGTCTGCATTTCTATATTATACTTATTCAAAAAATAATAAATAATTTTATAAGAATAGATTTGAAATGATGTCGTGTGCATGTGTTTTTGAATTAGATTTGGAACTTTCTCACCCGTACCTAACCAACCATCTTTTATATTCAGACCCTGTTTGCAGGTTACATAAAATTAATAAGAAAGAGGAATCGGATTCCTGTGAAATACGTAGAAGTGACGCGTGAAAGTGGAAGAGTATAAAAACTTTGTAAAGTGGTAAACACGGTAAGAAGGCCAAGAAAACCGACAACCATAGCACCAGCCACAGCAAACAGAATATTGATGTCTGATTCTCCATCGTTGTCGGTGTCAACCGCACCTCGAATATCGCATCACACCGTCTTTTGCTGTTTTAACGATAAAATCATAGTTAAAGGAATGGTGTCCCAAACGATATATTCTGCCACCACCTCTCGTATTATATACTCCGTTCCAACTCCACCACAACACTCTCACCCACTTCTCACTATTGAAGCTACTTGATAAAAACATGTCTTCCACCTCCAAGAGAGTGGAAACTGGAAGCAACCAGAAGGGCGCCGAGGAAGACGACTTATTATTAGGAGAGTTCGAGAAGAAAGGCTCTTTGTCTGTGACCAGACAGTTGTGCATAAAACCGAGTCACAACTCAGAGAAACTGGATAAGGAAGTGGTTCTGCGGCGAATTCGTCACCGGAAGCGGATGAATAAGGTGCGATCCGCATTGGGAGGGTTCCTCTTCTCCACCGCCACAACCGATGCAGCTGCTCAGGGAAAGAAGTGGGTGGATGATGCTTTTGCTGCCTTGTAAATTACTATAATCTTAACCATCTCTTAATTTTCTCTCTAAGTACCAAAATTTCTTAGGTTTTTTTTGTGGGCCTGTTCTATGTATGTATTTTACTGGGAATTTGTAACAACCTTAAACAACCGTCTTAGATTCCGCTAAATCCTTTCTAGTATATTGTACAAAGCTTGTTTGTATATATGATGTTAATTTTCATTTAAAATAAACTTTAGTTTTTGTTCTAGTCCAAGAATAGTCTTTTTTATGCAAAATTTATGAATAAATGCAATATCTTATTTTTAAAAACTGTAACAGTTAGTCCCTCCCACCCAGCAAGGATGGTTTAGGATTATTTAGTTATTTATTATTTCTAATCCCAGGAGATATAACCTAAATTTTGGATTAATCTTCACAAATAAGAGATAAATCAAATTAGAAAAAAAAGGTAAAATAGATAAAATAAAAAAAGATAACGTATTTATATTTATTAGTAGATATTTTAGCCTTTTTACCAGAAAATTTGGTATGGTAATTAGGTTGCATGAGATCGAACCCGCCCCATTCCGTTTTTCATTATCATTTTTGTAACTGTCACAACACAAGATTTTTTTATGCACCCCAAAAAACTCAACTCTTCAATGGGCTTGTATTGGTGGCAAGAAATATAATAGTAGGCTTCTACTATTTACACTTCGCGTTTTACCCACTTTATTGGAATTATTAATAAAAAAATTGAAGCATACTTTCCAATATATCATAAGTTATAGATTAATAAATTTTAAATTTTTTTATGAAAAATTAATTCACATTACTAGAAAATTAATTATTTTTTGCCCATTTTTCATAAAAAATTATTTAAATTTGGAAGAAATTTATTCATGAATTTATAGTAGTGTCACCTTTTACAAATTTAGTTTGATATTTTTTAAAATAATTTATTTATTTTACATAATTTAATTAAATATCAAATTGATTTAGATTTTTTTTAAATCATACTTAATTTTTCATATTTTATTTTAAACTAATTTAATATTAAATATTAATAATTTTGATCTTAATCTTAATAATCATTAAATATACCTATTAAATATATTTATAATTTTAAAATCCCTCGAGGTAAAATAAAATAAAATAAAAGGTTGTTAGGAGATGTGTAAAAAGCCACTCATTTTGAATGAAGTTGGGAAGGGGAAATGTTTGGTTGAGGAAGTGCTTGGATTTACAACTTGGAAAAAGGGTTTCTGGATGTGAAGGCTTCTTCTAATGAAATAATAGTTGAGATGCACTTGGGAATTTGATTCCTTAGGTCTCAGATTGACATGTCTCTAACGTGTATCTTTTTGTGCAGTGCAGGATTCCAAGTTAGGACTTTCTTTACACTTATCTTTCTCCAAAGGTTTCAATTATGTGTGAATAAAAGCATCTAAAGAAATGCAAAATAAAACCAAGAGTGACAAACGCTTTGAATAAAAACGATATTGTGAATTTTCTTCTCATGTACACAGCTTAAAGTTCACCTTAGAAAACTTGAAAATTCTTTTGATACCCACTATCTTGGTCCGAAACTCTACACTTTTTCAACAGCAACACAATTAAATTTTCTCATGTTTATTATTAAAGAGAATGTGGGCAAATTTTGGATCATGTATATATATGATACATATTTGAATGTGTTAGGGTCATCATTTATTAAGCTAAATAATAAAGTGATCTAAATAAATTAAAGTTTTGGCTAAAGGCATATGTCATGAAAATATGATTGTGTAGAGACCATAGAGTAATTTCTAATTTGATGAGGGGCCAAATTGAAAATACTAAAACTTAAGTAATTAACCTAATTTTGGTTATTTAAAGGGTCATGGTCCCCTTCGAGAGCACACGGACGAATACTGAATATGATCCAGTTCTTTTCTTTCTATCCCTATAAAGAGAAAATTCATAGGGAAATACAGGTGCTTCTTCGAGTGGAAGACCATAAGATCAACTCAAAGGTGCTCTACAAAGAATATCATCATTATGCCTAATTCAGGTACGCTTTCGCATTTAGTTTATATAACATGTTTACAGTATGAGATTATAGATATATGTTTGATTATTAGGATGAAGATCATAATCAATTAAGCTTTAAAACTAACAATTGGTATCAGAGCAACCCATACTCATTTCATGTTTGTATTTGGAAATCAGATTTATCAAAATTTAGATTCTATTTAAATCAGAACCCTAAGTGGAGTATAATCTCGCAATTTTTGTAAACCCTAAAATCAAATTTGGGGTTAAATTCCCAATTTTAAAACCTAGTTTCAAATTTGGGGTAAATTTCCGATTTCCCAAATTGTGAGAGAGGGTTTCAATTATTTGTTCCGCGTGTGGATTGTCGCGGAAGACACAGAAGACGATTTGGTTGACGCCAACGTTAAGGGCGACTTTGGTGATGACGTGAAAACCGCCGTTGAATAATTGCACCTTTGCCATGGCCGTGTGGGCTTTCCATATCTCACCCCCGACACGGCTACCATTGTTATAAGCTAAGATTTTATTCAATTAGAACTCTCTCTGACGGGGGACTCAGTCCATGATCAAGATTACTGAAATCATTGAAATAAATGCCAGAAGCGAAATTAAGTGACAAAAGTACACAATTTTGGCATTTCTGATGCGGGCGGAAAACAGCCCCAATCTGCAATCCGTCTCTGCCTGCTCGTCCAAATGCATGATCATGGGCTTGTTCCGCGGGCCCACCACCACGTCTAACGGCCATAGTATCAAAAGTGGTGACGTTACTCCATGGAGCATAAGGTGGAAGGTCACGTGGCATAATTGGAAGGATCCTGTGGAAACCATTAATATATATATATATATATATATATATATATATATATATATATATATATATATATATATATAATATAAATTATATTTGGTATATAGAAATTATAATCTTTTTTCTTCTTTAGAATTATAAATATTCGGTTTTATTATATAAATAAAATATTTTTGTTTGGTAGTTTAATATTTTTTGTGAAGCGAATTGAGTCAAGAAGTTACCAAAGTAACATCTCTTGAATTTGGTAGTTCGTGAAAAATATTAAATGTTAGTGTTTGTGTATATTCATGCGAGTATTAGTTGGCCCAAAGGAAGATTAATATTTGGTCGAATTGCATATACACTTGTAATGATAAACATGTGATAATTATAAAGATTAGCTTTGTCGATGATAAATCAATCCAAAGACTGATTTGTTGTTGGACGTGCTTTATTGTCAATGTTTGATTATTACAACAAGATACCTCTAGCAGTTAATATTACTTGTCCAAAGACTTGATATTGATGGTGCATTGGGTGTCTTGAGATGGGTTAAACCATTATTTGAATATATATTTTATTTATAATTTTTTTTTAATGTGAGCATAATTAGTTTATTTCTTTTGTTCTAATCCAGCTACAATTGCTTACGTATCCTGCCAATTTAAATTATGTTCCGATCCTCAAAAGTATGTTTCCTACTTTGGTCCGTTCGAAGTCAATTTAGCGTCGGTACCTAATAACACTTGGTGGTTAGACTCGGGTGCAACTACTAACATCGGTGTTTCTATAAAGGGTTGCCTAAGCTACCGGAAGCCAATTGATTCTGAAAGATGGATATATGTTGGAGATGGCAAATCGGTAGAGGTGGAAGCCATAGGGCATTTTAAATTGTTATTGAGTACTGGTTTTTATTTGGATTTGAAAGACACTTTTGTTGTGCCGTCATTTAGACAGAATTTGGTTTCAGTTTCTTATCTGGACAAATTAGATTATTTGTGTTCATTTGGAAACAATAAGTTCAATTTGTCTTTTAATTCAGATATTATTGGAACTGGTTCACTTTTGCCTTATGATAATCTGTATTTACTTGATACTGTGACCACCTATAACGAAACCCTTAATACAGAATCACGGGGTACTAAACATAAAATTGATGATACTCACTCAGGAGCATTATGGCATAGGCGCTTAGGTCACATCTCTAAAAATAGAGTTGAACGACTTGTGTTAAATGGAATCTTAGAGTCCATTGACTTCACAAACTTTGATGTTTGTGTTGAATGCATTAAGGGCAAACAGACCAAAGCGAAGAGATTAGGTGCATATAGAGCTACAGACGTCTTAGAGTTGATACATACGGACATTTGTGGGCCATTTCCTACACCCTCGTGGAATGGTCAACAATACTTTATATCATTCATAACGATTACTCACGATATGCATACTTATTCCTTATACATGAAAAGTCACAATCTCTAGACGTGTTCAAAACATTTAAAGCTGAAGTTGAAAATCAACTCAATAAAAGAATTAAGTCTGTCAGATCTGATCGTGGTGGTGAGTACTATGGCGGATTTGACGGGTCGAGTGAACGGCGTCCAGGACCTTTTGCCAGGTACCTAGAGGAGTGTGGAATTGTCCCACGGTATACCATGCCGGGATCACCTAGCATGAATGGTGTAGGCTGAAAGACGAAATCGAACTCTTAAAGATATGGTCGGGAGTATGATTTGTCATTCCACCTTACCGGAGTCACTGCGGGAGAGGCACTAAAGACGACAGCTTATATTACGAACGAGTACCAACTAAAGCGGTGACCAAAACACCTTATGAGCTTTGGATTGCGCGACGACCTAGTTTGAAGCATTTCCATGTGTGGGGTTGTCCAGTGAGGCAAGGCCTTATAAGCCAAATGAAAAGAAATTGGACTCCGAACGAGTAAGTAGTTATTTTATTGGTTATGCTTTGAAAGATCCAGTGGATATAAATTTTATGATCCCACATTAAAGACAATTTTTGAGACAGAAGCTGCTACGTTTTTTGAGGATATTGAGTTTGGGGGGAAGAATAAAATCGGGAACTTTGTCTTAGAGGAAGAATCGATAACAATTTCGGAACCGATTCAAACGAGTTACTTTTGATAAAGTAAGTTCGGAACCTCCACAAGGCATTGTTAATGAACCCCTTACTCAAGATGATTTGGTTGTTCATGAAGAACAAACTCAAGATCCTCAAGAACCTGTGCATCATGAGCCAATAACTTTGCGGAGATCCACTAGAGAAAGAAGAAGTGCTATTTCGCATGATTACATGGTATTTCTTCGGGAACATGAAGAAAACAATGGTATGATGGAAGATGACCCAGTTAACTTCCGTCAAGCCATGCAAGGTTCTAACTCGAAAAGTGGATCGAAGCAATGAAGGAGGAGTATAAGTCCATGCAAGACAATAAGGTTTGAGAACTTGTCCCATTACCAGAAGGTATGAGACCCATTGGTTGCAAGTGGATATTTAAGACCAAACGAGATTCTAAAGGTAATGTGGAAAGGTATAAGACTCGTCTGGTAGCTAAGGGCTATACCCAAAAGGAAGGGATTGACTTTAAAGAGACTTTCTCTCCAGTTTCATCGAAAGACTCTTTTAGGACAATCATGGCTCTTGTAGCACATTATGATTTGGAGCTTCATCAAATGGATGTCAAGACGGCGTTTCTTAATGGCAACATTGATGAGACGATTTATATGGTGCAACCAGAAAATTTTGTGCAGGGAGATTCAAAGAGTATGGTTTGGAAACTGACAAAATCCATTTATGGACTAAAACAAGCATCTCGTCAATGGTACTATAAATTTCATCAAGTAATTCTCTCATTTGGCTTCGAGATGAATATTGTTGATGATTGTGTATATCACAAGTTTAAGGGGAGTAAGTATATTTTTATGATCTTGTATGTTGATGACATTCTACTTGCCACTAATGATATAGACATATTGCACGAAACCAAGAAATTTTTATCAAATAATTTCGAAATGAAAGATCTTGGTGATGAGTCTTTTGTATTAGGAATTCAGATACACCAAGATCGATGTCGGGGTATTTTAGGATTATCACAAAGGAACTATATCGAAAAAATTCTTAAAAGGTTTGGCATGCATGAATGTAAATCCGGGGATACTCCAGTTGCTAAGGGAGACAAGTTTAGTCTCAATCAGTGCCCAAAGGGAAATTTGGAAATTGAGGAAATGCAAGAGATTCCCTATGCATCAGCTGTATGGAGTTTGATGTATGCCCAAGTATGTACGCGTCCAGACATAGCATACATAGTTGGGGTTCTAGGCAGATATTTAAGCAATCCAGGAATGGACCATTGGAAAGCAGCAAAAAGGGTCATGAGATATCTAAAGAGAACAAAAGATTACATGCTCACATACAGGAGGTCAGACCAGTTGGAGATCGTTGGGATTTTTGACTCGGACTTTGCAGGATGTCAAGATAGTTTGAAATCCACTTCAGGTTACATTTTCATGTTAGCAAGTGGTGCGGTTTCTTGGCGCAGTGTCAAGCAAACCCTTACAGCTTCATCCACCATGGCAGCAGAATTTGTAGCATGCTATGAGGCGTCGAATCATGGAATATGGCTGAGAAATTTTGTCACAGGGCTGCAAATTGTGAAAGGCATTGAAAGACCACTTAAGTTATATTGTGACAACAAATCAGCTGTATTGTATTCCAACAACAACAGAAGTTCGACTAAGTCAAAGCACATCGACATTAAGTTTCTAGTTGTTAAGGAAAGAGTACAAAGTGGACAGATTTCCATAGAACATTTGGGGACTGTTGAAAGTCCCACATCGCCTACCTCATATCATTTGGTATGGTTTAAATACATGTTAGGCTACTCCACATATAGCCAATTGGTTTTATGTTGGAACCTTAACATGGTATCAGAGCCAAAACCTAACATCTTTCCGGTTATTGTCATGGGCCAAAAGTTGCCCTTTAGTTGGGCCAAAAGTTGCCCTTTTGCCTGGTCCGGCAGGCTTCGTTGGAGGGGGTGTGTTGAAAGTCCCACATCGCCTACCTCATATCATTTGGTATGGTTTAAATACATGTTAGGCTACTCCACATATTGCCAATTGGTTTTATGTTGGAACCTTAACAGGGACAAACTCCATGATAGCAGATCATCTAACTAAAGGACTTCCGCCCAAGGTCTTTCATGAGCATGTTGCTCACATGGGTATTTTACAGTTTGAGGAATTTGTGGTTTAGTGGGAGTTAGTCATTTTCATATATTTTATGTTCTATGTTTAATTTTATATATGTATACATTGATTTTTTGGACATATTTGGTTATTTATAGATATGCGGTTTTTGTTCATTCATTACACTTTGTACATTAAGGTTATTATATCGATCTCGATAAGTTAAAGTTTGGACTAGTTGAAAATAGACGTGTACAGATCACCTTCACGTAATTTTTCATGCTACACATTTCATGATGAATCCATGTCATTTGGTTATGTCAGGATGAGTAATCTTGTTGGTTTTAGTTGCGATGATGCAATGAAAAGCTGGTTTGGTTCTATATCCTGATATGATTAATGGACAGGACTTTTGGAATATGCTAAAGGAATATAATGACAATTTTGAGCTCATAAAGTCTAACACATTTATAAGGTTGTAAAGACATATATATTTGTGACCAGTGGGATATTGTTGGCAAATTTTGGGCCATGTATATATATGATACATATTTGAATGTGTTAGGGTCATTATTTATTAAGCCAAATAATAAAGTGATCTAAATAAATTAAAGTTTTGGCTAAAGGCATATGTCATGAAAATATGATTGTGTAGAGACCATAAAGTAATTTCTAATTTGATGAGGGACCAAATTGAAAATACTAAAACTTAAGTAATTAACCTAATTTTGGTTATTTAAAGGGTCATGGTCCCCTTCTGAGAGCACACAGACAGAATACAGATACAGTCCCGTTCTTTTCTTTCTATCCCCATCAAGAGAGAAAATTCATAGGGAAATACAGGTGCTCTTCAGGTGGAAGACCATAAGATCAACTCAAAGGTGTTCTACAAAGAATATCATCATTATGGCTAATTCAGGTACGCTTTCGCATTTAATTTATATAACATGTTTACAGTATGGGATTATAGATATATGTTTGATCATTAGGATGAAGATCATAATCAATTAAGCTTTAAAACTAAGATATGAAAAGATTAATTTACCGAAATATGAAAACAGTAAGGTAAGAGTTCAAATAATAATAGAGCAAATCACACACCAAAGAAGTTACAACTTAGTTAAAAATCTTAGTTTGCAATGTAAAATTATTTCAATTGGTTGCTACTGAAAACACTTTGGACGATTTATTTACATTAAGAAAGAAAGAAAGAAACTACGTAGTAAAGGGGAGGAAAATACTACTGATGGCTCTTAAAATTGACTATACTCGCATTGATCCTCGAATAAGTTCATCAACAGTGTTATTTCTCATTGACGTATTCAAACATTTATATTATTCCAAATGCAAACCTGATCCTTTAATAAAATTTATTGAATTTTATGATAATGTAGTTTAATAATATCAAATATTATATTTCTATAAAAGCTTTTTACTTTCAATTCATTCACTAAAAAAATTAGAAAAAAATTATTTAAAATCATTTAATGAAACTAACAACAAATGGAAACAAATTTTTTTAAGAATTATTTTAGTTCATAGGTGTAATGGATAATAAACATTAATAATTAGTAACTAAAAAAATATTATTTTTAGAATAAAATGCAATAAACCAAACGTTGACTTGACCACCCGTGAGCAAGCTGTAGCAGCAGTTCAGCAGCCACCAACATTTTTCAAAACATGTTGTTGGAAACGGTTTCATTACAATATTTTAATGTAATTATTACGCTCCTTCTTTTTCAATCTTTACCCGTTATTTTATGCCATTCATTAAACCACCATCTTACCCCAACAATATGAACAGAAGACAAGGATAGATAGTTTGCCGTGGAAACAACAAATTCTCCACCCTCATTAGTCAAAAGTCTCCTAAACCAATTCATGTTTTTCCTCAATACGTTTTCCCGATCAAAAAAAAAAAAACCCACTCCTCTCTAGAAAATCACATGCACTTTCCCATCTTCTTCATCCACAAAACTCACCCTCACCTCACCCATCAAATACATAGTTCTCAGTCCACTCTTCTCCACTCCTCCTCTGACCAACCACAAAAACTTGTTTACTTCTATCTTTTCCCAAATGAAAAGCACCCAACTTTAAATTTTAGTTTGCCATGATCACCAAACAAAACCACCCACTTTTGTTGCTCACCTTGGTATTGGGTGAATTAATATTTTTCATTGCAATAACCACTGCCCAAGTGAACAACCAGGAGTGCCGCCAAACATGCGGTTCCTCCGAGCCCTTCCCTTACCCTTTCGGATTCTCCTCCGGCTGCGTAATCCGTTTGAATTGCACGGGCGGCAGAGCCTCCGTTGGAGAATTCCCGGTGCAAAAGGTGAGCGTGTACAACATCATCGTGAACATCGAAGCTCGGTGCAATCGTCCATTCGATAGTTTTCACCAACTCTTCAGCCACAAATACGCGCCCACTTGGCGAAACGTGATTCTCTTAGATAACTGTACCGGAACGCCCTTACCCTGCTCCATACCGGAGAATCTGGTGCGGACCCATTTCGAATCCGCGGGGTGCAGCACCACAGGAACGGGCAATTTGAGTTGCTACTTCGAGAACATAACTAACGGTTTCGTGAATCGCCGAAAATTGGACCCAATCGGGTGCAACTACTTCATATCGTCTCTTTCATCACCCGATGTTAAAAACGTTTCCGGTGAGCCTCTGTCTTTGGATGTAAATACAATCGAACTTGGCTGGTGGGTCAAGGGAGATCGATGTCTATGTTCCGATCACGCCAATTGCACCGTGCTTCAATCCCCGGTTGACGGAAAGGCCGGTTTCCGCTGTAGCTGCCGCGAAGGCTTCGTCGGCGATGGATTTTTGGCCGGAACCGGTTGCCGCAAAGGTTAGTTCTGTTTTCTTTATTTTGTTTTCACATCCACAATGATTTCATCTTAGCGTATTCGTTCAGCTTCTATTATAGATTAATCCGTTGATGTTGAAAATTAAAAACATATATCGCGTGGCACAACATTTTTTTGTTCCTACTATAATAATATTCATGATAAATTAGTTAATGCTTCACAAAGAAATAATGCATACGACAGAGGTTTAATTTAAGCCAACTTTTTCTTGGTGTCCTTTGAAATTTTACACAAGCTTTAATAATTTAAATCCCTTTCTGCACTTTACTCCTATGCTGACATACATAAAGCGATCACCAACTTTCTTTTCTGTGTGTTTGAAATAACCCCGTGATGAAAATGACTTGTTTTATACATTAAGTAGCCACCCACAATGTTACACATACGATTAAAAAAAAAAAGCATCATAGCCTAGTTGCTATGTTTTGGAGGGTAATGTCTGTATAATAGAAATACTAAAATAAAACTTTGATTGATACATTTGTTTGAGTTAGTATAATCTCACATTGGAGATAAAGGAACAAAATTGGAAGTTTAGGTTATATAAAACAATAATATATAAATATTTATGATTAAATAATAGAATTTTAGTAAATTTAAAATAATGTGAAAATAAGTATAAAAGATGGCATTAATGAAGAGAATAAGTGAAAATCGGTAAGGGAAAGATTGGCGTAAAGAAAGAAAGTAGGACCCAAAAATAATGAAAAGAGGGAAAGAAATAGTGGAGGTGTATCATGCGTGTGACTTAACTTATTGGAGCACCCATGATTGCGGGGAATTTAAGTCAACCAGACTAATCAATTAGGCAAAGTGGTCAAATTTTCTTTCCATAATTCGCTCCGTAAGGGCTTTTCCTTCCTTTATATCCCCCCTTTTTGTCTATATATGAAAATTGGAAGAGTCCCGTGCCCACAAGAAAATGAAATTTCACCTCAAAATCTGTGTATTTTTTTTAAATTAAATTATCTATATTTTTCAATTATTGGACTCAGTAGTAGTATATTCTAATAAAGGAAAATAGTTTGTTGCGAATGTTCTCCATTCAATTAATATTTTTTAATGCTTTACATCCAGATGATCTAATGAATATTTTATAATTTTATTTTGAAGTGATGAATGTAGAAGTTTAAGTGATAAAATGTTTCTATAACAGTTTCTTAACAGTTAATAATCCAGGCAATAATTTTTCATAACTTTAGTATGCATATATTTAACTTTAATCACAATTTTAAAAGTAAATTTAATTAATAATTGTAACTTTAAGGTACTGTATTCTTCGAAATACTTTAAATCGTTCCAACTATGATTGTTTAAAAATTCCGGTAATCTCGCCGCGTGATTGGACAACAACTCATTAATTAACTATAATAATAAAATATTTGCGAAAAATTATATCAATAAACAAAATATATCTTATAAATAAACTTTTTAAGTTTTAATTAGTCCAATATTTTTTTTCTATCTCTTTCTTTTATATGCACTTAGCCTAAGTGACTTAGGTATGAAAATCAACATTTACCAAATCTAACTCCACAGTATGTATGAGATGAGAGAAAAAGAAAATGAATATAAGTGAAAAGAAGAAAAAGAAAGAAACCAAGTATATTTTCAGTGATATTTTATAAATATAATAAATTAAATGATACTCTCCCTTTTCTCAACGATATTTCAATTTTATTTTTCTTTTTTAAAATTACATTGATACATTATTGGCTGGAGAAATCCCTTGACTATCATATCATGTTGTTGTACCTAGTTGCAGTTAAACGAAATTAACTAAGAACAAACTTTGAGCGGTTAGAGGATTTCCGCAGAATCCTTAGCATTTCGCAGTTCAACCACAAACATTGAACACTGTTTTGAATTTAATCATACTCGTTTGAGTTACTTAGCTGGTTTCAAACTATTTTATATGTTCAATCGATCTAATAGTTTCGTGTGAATTTGGGTATTTAAACAGCCTCGTCATGCAACCCAGCCAAGTACTTATCTGGCCGATGTGGAGGAACAACGAGATTCATTGTCTTAATCGGAGGTAACCTGTGCTTAATTGATGCAAATTATGATCAACCACACATCCAATAATCACTCTTCAACGTTCACTTTTATTAGCTTCAGATTCCAATTAGCTAACACTTAATCATTGACAAAAACATTGCGGAATCTTATTTTGCAGGGTTTGTGATTGGCGTATCGCTGATTGTTACCGCGTGTTCACTATGTTGTTTCTTCCGCCGGCGCTCCAAATTGAGAGTCACAAAGAGCACGAAAAGGAGATTAACCGAAGCCACCGGCAACAATGGTGTTCCTATATATCCCTACAAAGACATTGAGAGAGCCACGAATAGTTTCTCAGAGAAACAACGGTTGGGAACTGGGGCGTACGGAACGGTTTATGCTGGGAAATTGTACAGCGATGAATGGGTTGCCATCAAAAGAATAAAACACGGAGACACAGACAGTATTGAGCAGGTAATGAACGAGATCAAGCTCCTTTCCTCTGTGAGCCACACCAACTTAGTTCGCTTGTTGGGTTGCTCCATTGAATACGGAGAACAAATCCTGGTGTACGAGTTCATGCCCAACGGAACACTGAGTCAGCATTTGCAGAAAGAGAGAGGGAACGGTCTTCCTTGGGCGGTTCGACTGACGATTGTCACTGAAACCGCACAAGCCATCGCACATCTTCATTCAGCCATTAGCCCCCCCATTTACCACCGAGACATTAAGTCCAGCAACATACTTTTGGACTACAATTTCAGGTGTGAGTAATGACATGAAAGTTTCTTCCTGTACATGTTACCACCTCTTATTTTTCTTTCTGTCTCTCTTTTACTGTTACATCGTATGCATAAATTCTGAACCACCAAGATCCTAACTATTGAAGTGCTATACTTTTTTTCATAAATTGAAACATTTGATTTCATATCACAAAGTGTTTAATTATACTAGATCAAATCCATTGATTTTTTGTTTCAGGTCAAAAGTGGCAGATTTTGGTCTTTCTAGACTTGGAATGACCGAAACATCGCACATTTCAACTGCCCCACAAGGAACTCCTGGCTATGTCGATCCACAATACCATCAAGATTTTCATCTCTCTGACAAGAGTGATGTTTATAGTTTTGGTGTTGTTCTTGTTGAGATCATCACGGGGCTAAAAGCGGTAGACTTTTCACGTCCGCATAATGAAGTGAACTTGGCTTCTCTTGCTGCAGATAGGATTGGAAAAGGGCTTTTGGATGAGATTATAGACCCATTCCTTGAACCCGAAGCAAAGAGTGATGCTTGGACCCTTTCCTCCATACACAAGGTGGCTGAGTTGGCATTTAGATGCCTAGCGTTCCACAGGGACATGAGGCCTTCGATGACTGAAGTGGCTTGTGAATTAGAGCAACTTAGATTGAGTCAATGGACAACATTGGGAGACAACAATTGTGCAACCTCAACGGAGTTGTCCTCTTGTTCTTCCTCCTCCAATGAAAGTGAGAAACCACTGAGTACCACAAAGAACGTTGGAGCAAAGGGTAAAGGGTACCTTAAGATCCAAACTAGGCCTATTCCTTTAAAATCATTACAAAGGCCTAATAGTAATTCACCAGTCTCGGTGCAGGACCAAGAGTTATGGTTGAGTGAACAGAGTTCTCCTTCATCAAATAGTTTTCCAAGCAAGCCATTTGATTGAGCCAAGATATATAGTTTATTTTATCCAATAGTTTTTTGTAAATCATTTTAGAATTACCTCAAAGGAGGTAAACAAAGTCAAACAATCTCATGAATTCATGTCTCACTTAAGTGGGAAGGATATGATTTTGCACAGGATCAAATCTTTGTGTTATGGAATGATATTTTAGGAGAAATCTAATTTATGAAAGAAATTAATCAAATCCCTTTTCTTTTACACCTCCAACTTCTTTCAAATTACTAGGTTGACTTTAAAGTATCTTCAAGAATGTTAAGCACCATAAAACAAGGTTACGTTTGATCTACCCTTTTCTTTTCTTTTCTTTTTACTTTAAAGCTCATTAAGAATTAAAATTCACATCAAAACTTTCAAAATAAAATAAATTTGTTTCATAATTTTCATTTTTTTAAAAGTTCATTTGAATAAGTTAAATTTTTCAGATAAAAAAATTAAGTTTACTTAAAAATAATTGTCTCAGTCAATAGAATAATGTATATATATATATATATATATATATATATATATATATAAATGAAATTACTATGTAAAATCAATGTAATTAACAGATTTTTTTTTATAACAAAATACACAAAAGTGTTAAAATATATACATTTGAAAATTATTCAAAAATAATTTATCATATAATATAGAATGAAAAAAATTGAACATTAATTACTAAATGTAAAATATATAAAAACTTTTATATTATTATTCAATAATATATTTTACAAGACAAAAAATAATTATCTAAATATAATTCCATAATGTCAAATTATATTAAAAAACTATTTGATAAATAATTTGAAAAATATCTAATAAATTATTTGAAGTTTGTTTGGGTCATGTGGCTGGGATCCGATGTTTAGATTCCCATTTGTTATTTCCTCTTGGGTCTCATTAGATGAAGGACTACTATACAAGAAATGCTTAACACATTGCATAAGTTGTGTCCATCGTCATATCACACTCCTGTTCAGTATGTTTTGTGTAATTGATGAGTTTGAGGGAAAGATAGGTTTTCCTGTTCCAATAGTTTTCAAATATATAGCTGCCTTCAATAGATTTTTTTTTTCTCATAAGTATTTTTTTTTTACAGACAATTATTTTGGAGATATGATCAAATACAACACATAGTACCTTTTAACAAGTTTATTAGTTCCAAATTATAGGTGATCCTAGTTCATTGAATACAGATGATTTCGTATTTGATATGAAAAAGTCTAGCGACTAATGGAGACGTGATCAAGATGAGATAAACATACTACAAGAAGTCAAACAACCAGAACCTTCACTATTATTATGTTGCCTTGTAAGGGTTTCATTTCTTTTCAATTTTAAAAAAATTGTTACTGCAAAATATATGTGTTTACTTCTAAACATTTTCCATCTTCAAAAACATGAATTGTCAGAATAAATGCGCTAAATTTGGAATCACTTTTAATGGATGGTAATGGATATGTTTTGTAACTTCCATAAACCGAAACTACTTCTTGTCAACCATCGCACCTCTCAAGTATATATATATAAATCATAGGAACAATAACTCATAAAAATCATTATATATATAATATATATATATATATATATATATATATATATATTATGTGATAATATTTTCTAAAAGAAAGCAAAAATAAATATATATTATTACAACTTGTAAGATAATTGCTAATCTTTTATGGGAAAGGAATACATAAAGGTAAACTTCTATTGCATATCATTAAGAGCCTGATATATTGAGGCCAATCTTAAAAAACATCTCCAATTACAATCCAATTTATTAATATAATAAGTATAAAAGGATTTAATGAAAAAAAATTATTATATTATTAAAAGCAGTTGTAGATTAAATATTTAATAAAATGGGGTTCCTATCATTAACAAGTTCAAAGTTCACCTACATAATCCACGTGTAGAGAGGTTCAGGACAACCCCAATTTCACCCAATAACAGCATGAACGAGTGACCTGTTAGAACAAGTTCACCGAACTTTGTCTAATTTTTTATTATTGTAATTAAATTTTTGTTAATATGAATAAAGAAACAAATGAAGAGGTCTAAAAGCTTGCTTTGTGGAGGGAGGTGAAGGTGACGGAAGCACCTCCCAAGGGGGAGTTTCCCACTTCAACATCGAAGGAATCATAACGAAGAAACAGCTCCACAACCAGAAGCCGGGAAAACAACACCACAAAATCCTTCCCAGCACATTGCTTGTTCCCAAGGGTGGGGTTCTCCGTCTCAGGACCATTCGACCAAAGCACGTGTTTCAGCAGCTTCTCTCCCTCGCCCACGAACCGATCAGGCACAAACTCCTCCGCACGCTCAAATATCTTCGGATCCTTGGTCGCAAACGGCTGAAACCCAAACAGCATCTCCCCTTCCTTCACCAGAAACGCATTATCGTGGCTCTCGATCACCAAGTTCCTCTTCGCCTTCCCGTACTGCAGCGGCACCGGCGGTGCAATCCGAAACGCCTCGTACACCACCGACTTCATCAGCGGCATCTTTTCCATCGCCGCCATTGTCACCTTCCCGTCGTTAGAATTAACGGCTTCCCTCACCTCCTCCGCCAGCAGAGCATGAAGTTTCACCCCCGCACTTGCAATCCACTTCAGCATGCTGGGGAAGAAAATCTTCATTCCGCCAAAGGAGTTAAAGCACGTGGCGAATATCAGGTTGTGGCACGCTTCTTCTTTGGGGATACCAAAACGCACCGCTTCGTCAAGTACAGACCCAGAGGCGTGGTAGAAGAAATCGTAGAGCCTCCGGTAGTCTTTTTTTATCAGAAAAGCAGGGATACGGAAGGTGTGGAGGGTGGGATCTTCCAGGAATTTTGGCAGGCCCAGTACCATTATTGGGCCTATCTGGAACAGAAGCCATTTTTGTATTATACTTGGGCCGTCGCTTCCGAGGCTGGTGTCGGAGGGGTTAGTGCCAAAAAGCGCGCGAGTGAGGAAGTTAAACGCTGCTTGGTCGTTGGCGTCTCCGAAACTAGCTTTTCCTTTGTAAGCCAGCTCTTTCTCCAGGGTCTGGAAGAGGGTTGTGTAGCTTGAATGAAACTCGGGGATGACGTGGCTGCTTCGGGATTGGAGAAGAAAGAAGATGAGACGTTTGAGTTGGTCGTGTCTGGGTTCGGAGGGGTCGAGGTAGGAGAGGATTCGGTAACCGCCGGTTAGTTGGGTTGAAGGCATGAAGGTGCCGGTAAAGACGTCACGTTTTTCGACTTTTGTTACGTCGAAGAGGACGGGGAAGCTTTTGGCATCGAGCAAAACGATGACTTTTGGGTTGGAGGTGATGAAGGGGCCTGGTGGCATGTTGGCACGGAACACGGTGGAGTTGTACTTTCGGGCCCGGGATTGGAAAAAGAGGTCGCGCCCTTGGTTGTAGAAAAAGTCGAGACGGTCTTTGATGGGTCCGATCAAAGGGAGACCGTGGTCTCCGGGGATTTCGCGCATTGGAAGCTTGCTCGTCTGCGTCGTTTCTGGGACTGAGGCTTTGGTTGTAAAAGGATACATGGTGGAGGAGCGCTTCCAATTACACGGTTTTATCTTTGATGCAAATTGTAGTTGCAGCAAAGAAGGAGATACATTGGCCATTGATGTCAGTTTTAACCTCAAACCACACTTGACAAGACTAACAATGTTTTTTCTGTAGTGCTAGGAATGGGTATCCTCCTACTTATGGATACGTTGAGATCACAAACAACCCGTTATATTGATTAAATAATAAAACTTATTATTTTATTAATATTTTTTTGTCGATTGAATGAATGTTCCGTTCTGTAGATATCCGAATCCTTACACGATGGATGAAGTACTTGAGTGAATTTTGCACGTGTTAGTATCTTCTTGTAGAATAATTATGTTTTGACAACTGCATACGGTAAAATAATTATTATCAATTTTTTTTTACAAATTTAATATTTAGTTTCATAATTTTTTTACTTATATTTATTTTAAATCATTAAATATTTTATGTAATTATGTTACATAATTCGCTTTAATTATAATCGATTCTAAATTAAATTGAAAATAATTAAAACAAAAGTATTTAGTTAGAGAAGACAAAAATTAACAAATAGTGATAGATAAATAAATCATAACAAGTAAATGATAAACAAATATAATTTGACTATTTAAAAATACTTCTATTATAAAAAAAATGTTGTATAATTTTATATTAAACCCACGAATTATGAATTATAAAGGACAACTTAATAAAGTGGGAATCACAATCTGCCATCCGTCCTGTATATAAATACATCGAAATTGCTGACAACCGGCATGAGCCACGGCAGATTGCGACCTCTGCATGCGACTCAGGAAGAAGAATGGTTAGTCATTCAGTAAACACGGTTCATCGATTGATTCATTTTGTAGTTTGGAATATATCAACAAAATTATATATATATAAACAACTTAATTTGATAAATATAATTCAATTCTATTATATTAAATTTTTAATATATAAAATATTAAATAAAACTTAAGACAATATAATTTCACATTTCAAAATTCAAAACATTATTATAATAATTAATATATTTTACAACCTTAACTCTACAACTAATTAATATCTAAAATATTTTTTAATAATGACGTAATATTAAAGAAAATTGAACAATATAACTTCATATTTGTTAATATATATAATAAAAATAAAAATAAAAATAAAACTAATTTCAGTTTAATATAAACAAGACCCAATATAATAATCTAGTCTTAGTGCGTCATGCCTTGAACAAAGCATTAAATGTGAGAAAATACTTTTTCAAATAAATATTAATGAAAGACACAAACATAAAAAAACATACCCCGTTGCATACCTACGTACAAAAACACAAACGTGTGAAAGATATTATACGTACCTAAACCTTGGAGAAATGTTAATTTGTGGACAAGGAATTCATTAATTTGACATGAATGCGTGCAGAATATTATTATACAGATCAAAGTTATAATACAAAGATACAAGTGATGGTTACGATGATGACAACACATTATACACAGGATTCGTTTTAAAAAAAGCGTTCATAAGCATTTATTAGTATATGAAGATTTCGTGTCTACCACGATAGTACACAATACCCTGCTTGTCAACGAAAAAGGTTTCGTCCTAATTTGCATTTCTCAGCCACTAAATAAAACTAATTTACAAAAAATGGTAAAAAAAATAAAATGCATACATCAGTTAGTGTAGGTTCTGCTCAAACCATCAAATGTCGTTTTTGTTTTACGTAAATTTTCATTTCAGTGTTGATATTTGGATATTTTTATATTATAAAAAGATAAAGATATTCATTATATAATTTTATTTATTAATATTATATTTATTAAGTGATTTAATTTAAAATAAATTAATTATAAATTATTATTTTATTAATAAATGAAGTTGTTTAATGAATATTAGTTGATATTATATTATGAATTTATTTATTTTAAATTACATAATTAATATGACAATAAAAAGTAAAAATAATTATTTAACATATTTTTATTAATATAATACTTATAACAAATATTTACATTTTATATTTTTTTCTCTTTTCTATTCTATTATTTAAAAATATTATTTTTCTTTAATTATAATTCAAAATTTCAATTAATTAAATTTTATCCTTAAAAGTGAGAACCATACGTTATAATTATATGTTAGAAAAAACAAATATTAGCATAAATATACACAATTAATCATATGTTTGATATTAATGTAATAAATATAAATTTATGTTAAAATAATTAATTAACTTAGATTTAAGTTAGATAGTAGCTTACAATGTAAAATTTTTCCTGTTCGAAATCCATTTATCTAATTTCATAGGAGAAATTTGAGCGAAGAGATGAACTTTTGTTGCCACAAAAACAAGCTCCATATGCTTCTTCTTGACCCACTTTGAGTTATCTTGTACTCTTTTCAATATTTGAAGCAAATATTTCACCCCAATTTGAGGAAAAGAACCATCAAAATCAACACAATCCACAACCATGACAAAAACAGTAGCACAGCCACTTTTCCAGTAACAAATCCATCCAATTATAAGCAGAAAAGTTCTTGTATTATTGTGATTTGCATCCCAAATACAATCATAATTTCAATTTTAATATAAAAAATAAAGATATAGATACTAATACAATGTCCAAATATTTTAATTTAACAGGAAGAAATATACAAAATTACAAATTGACCACAATAATAACATATCCCGCTTATAATAACTAAAAAACTCTAAAGAAGGTCATTGTTCTGTCCTCATTAGCATAGTTCAAAAGAAAAATCTTGAGTATAGAGTAAGATAAAATCTTAGAAGAGATAGAAAAATAATTTTATACTAAATCTCATATGACATAAAAATAATATTTTAATTTTAAAATGTTATCATATTTTTTTGAGTAGTTATTAATAAATAAAATATTTTGTATCAGATGTATTAGAACATTTTCAATGAAACCTGTTTATTGAAATATTTTAAAAAATATTAGTTATTTAAAATAATTATTTATGAAAGGAATTTTATCTCATATAATAAATGTTCAATTTTTTGTTTATAATTATTTAATTATAAATATTTTATTTTATATTTTTTCAAGATAAGAAACAAATAATTATTCTTACTAAAAATATTTATAATAAGAGTTTTTAGTAAAAAATATTTAAAAATAAATATAAATATTTTATTATAAATTTCATATATAAATTACTTAAAATTTAAAGAGAATTGTTTATATGAATAATTTTTTTTAATTTAATTTATTTTTTTCTAATCTTAAGTATGTTTAATAAAACCTGCCATCGAATGTACTCTTGGTTTTATTTTCGACCAGGAGGCGGATAGATATGTAATGAAAAGGAAACGAATGGTTTTAAGGAACAATAAAAAAAACAAATGTTGGAAGAAAAATAGTTTTATATATTTTGAAGAAATTTTTTACATTTCTTCCACAGTATATATGTATATATGCACCTTAATTATATTTCGTATAAGTAACAGGAGTTCTATTCACACTTTGATTTTTTCTTAAACGTCGTATGAAAGAAATTGTATGAAAACTATTATAAACAATTTGGTGCGTGGAATTGGCATCAATTTCCCCAGCTGGATTCAAAACATGTGAATGAAAACAAAATTGTGGTTAACGTGGCCTTAAAAGGGTCTAGGATTCCTACGACTAGAAAAAATAAAAAATAAAAAAATTCTGAAAATTAACAAGTTTGAAAAACATTACGTGCAAAGAAGCATTCAAAAGTTGAAAAGCCACAACAGTAGTGTTCAAACTTTGGATAATGGAACAACTCAATTTTATCGCATATCAGTTTAAGAAAGCTTTATTACAAAGCAATCCCTTGTTGATTGAATACATACGCTTTAGGTTTAAATGTTTTTTCAGTTATTAAATTTGGATTTAGTTTATGATTTATATTCTTCACATTTAAATTTTATTTCTTAAATTGTTATAATTAAAAAACCACACACGCAAATTATAGTTAATTTTTGAATACTTTAATAAAATATCCATATAGCATATTTGGTAATTGAAACATAAAATCCAAGTCATTGTAATTTTTTTAATGTAAACAAAAAGTCTATAAACACATTTGGAGAGACTAAAATATTTTTTAAATTGTAGAGAACAAATAGAAAAAGTTTAGAAGAACTCCAAGTTTAAAAATTATAAAACGTATTTGAATTTTAAATTTGAATATCCAAAAAGTCAAAACAAAATTGTTCCTTATAAAGAAGTATTCTTAAATATATGAATTATAATTATTTCTAGTGAGCCATATGCCATACATAATTGAGTATTCAATTTAATTAAAAAATTTAATTATTTTAAATATGATTTATAATCTTCCAAAGTTATTTTAACGTAACAATAGTGCTTTCTCAACCATCTCAAACCATTGACAATAATAATATTAGTTATATAAAAATAAGTTATATATATATATATATATATATATATATATATATTGATAATGTTATTTATTTTACTAAATTACAGATCATTATTTGTAATGTGTTTACCATACACAACTATTAATTTGTTTCCTCTCAAAAATACATATTCATTAATCTCAGTACTAATTATTAAATATGCGATTTTTATATTTATGATTTAGGTTTAAAATGTATTTTTTGATTAAAGTTATTAGCGTAAGCGATTTAATTCTTAAAAAACATATAAATGATTTAGTATTTAGATTTTTGAAGTTAAAGTTTCGTTTTCAATTTAGACATGAAGATGATTGAAAGTATTATTTATTATGAATAAATTAACTAAGATTTTGTTGGATAACAGGAAAAGTAAGTGTGAGGAAAGAAAAAGAAAAATATTATATTTACATTATAGATGCATCTTTTTAAGTTAGAAATATTATATTTACACTCCTTAATAAGTAAAGTAATTGTGGTGATAGAAATAAAATAAAGAAATAGAAGATATAAGTGTGATTTGAAGACTTGGACACTTGGAAATTCTCTCTAAGTTTTGTGCACAATTTGGTATAATGTAAATTTAGTGGGAGGCAGAGCGAATATTAAAAATGACGGGTTTTAGGAACAGGGGATGTGGTAAGGCCACAGCTCTAAAACCCTAAAGTGAGTGAGTGTGTGATGGAATTTCAAACCCTTTGTTGCTCTCTTCCCTCGCAACCATTTATCTTCAGTCACCGGATACTATCAGTGAGTAAATCTTAACCCATTCATCCCAATCAATTTTTATGTTGCCATTTTAACACTTTTTTGTTATTCTCGATTACCGTCGTTTATTCGCAGTCACCACCGTTTGCAACCCACGCTTCATTCACTAATCGAAGACAAACATTTCGGTTTGGAAACGGTTCAAAATGTAGGTTTTTTTTCCCTCCCACTCATTGTGTGTACTGCGTTTGCTGGTTCAGAATAACACTAAAAATTAGAAAACAAAAGAGATTGAATTTGTTGTTTGTAGCATATTGGGTCTCTTTTTACACCAAAATAACTCAACAATTTGAATTTTTTATTTCAGGTTTAAAATGGGTGATTAGGGAGCCTTCAGTGTTGGGATTGAACAAATTCCGAAGGCTTCATGTTCATGCTTCTGATTCCAATTTAAATGGTGGGTTGGAAGTTAATCCAAACAAAAGTTCTAGTGTGCCCATTACTACGTTTGATGGGGCGGAACCGTTTCATGGTAAATCAGGTTCTGTCTCTTTTTGTGGGTTGACACACCAGTCGGTAGAAGAAGGGAAATTGGAATCTGCCCCCTTCGAAGAAAAGGGTGGCTCTTTCTTATGGGTCTTAGCTCCTACAGCGGTCATAGCATCTCTGATTCTGCCACAGTTCTTTGTTGACAACGTGGTGGAGGCTTTTCTCAATGATACGATTATGATAGGTATTGGAAGAACTTTGTGCTTTGTCATACTGTCTTTGAATTTTTACCTTCTATGGCTTGTTTTTGAAGTGTTATGGTAGTTATATGCGAGGTATTAAGTCAAACTGCTGGAAGACTACCAATATGATGGTTGTTGTTGTGTTTACATGTGATAGCACCCGTCTATTTTCCCTGCATTTTGTTGCATTGTAAGGTTTCTTGATGCACTATGTCCACACTTCAAAATCATCTTATAAACTTTGTCATGACCAATTAAACATTTTTTTTCAAATGGTAAATAATCTCAGTTCTAACGCAGTCCTCTTATTCTGCGCAAAGATTGGTACTTATCTATATAGTATTATTCTGCCTGTGTACTGGTAAAATGATTCTATTGGTATATAATGGAGAACATAACCCTCACGGATTATCCTACCAATCCCAAACCAAACATTTGGGGTGAGAACAATTTCAAAGAACTTTGACATTTATGTCCATGCGAGAAGAAATTCTTGGAGAAAAGCACAAGAGATTTTAACTCTTTAGTGTTGACACTGTTATCTCTTTAATAATAGTAGGTCACAACAACTATGCTGTGTTGTATTTCAGGACTTTGTGGTACAGTAAAAGTTATTAGTTCACTGTCAGATAGTTCATACTAACATTTATGGAAGATTGAATCCTTTGTTTCTTGTATAACTTTTGGATGTTTTGGCAAAAAAATTTGTTGCCATGGTGTTCTTTGGACAGTATACCGCTGAGCACTATCTTTTGGACAAGGAAGTTGAAATTGCTATTAGAAAAAGTCTGGATGGAATTCTGTTACTTTCGTAATTTTTTTTTGTAGGAGCCTTATAAATATGGGGGAGATGCATCTCTTATACACATTTCTATTACCAATAAAATGCAGATGCTGTGAGTTCGTTCTCTCATGATGCCCTGTTTTACGTTGGAGTAGCGACATTCTTGTATGTGACTGATCGTGTGCAGAGGCCCTATTTGCAGTACAGCTCAAAAAGATGGGGTCTTATCACTGGCCTCAGAGGATACTTATTCTCTGCTTTTTTCACCATGGGTTTGAAGATTATTGCCCCTCTCATTCTTTTGTTTGTGACCTGGTCAGCAGTTGGCATGCCAGGCATTGTTGCAGTAACTCCTTTTTTATTTGGCTGTGTTGTACAACTTGCATTTGAGAAAGTTTTGGACAACCGTGGATCAGCTTGCTGGCCTATAGTCCCTGTTATATTTGAGGTTTGTCTATTTTATTTCAGATTATTTATTTAACATCTTAATGCTGCTTGACTCTTCTCTCCACTGATTACTGGATTGGATTGTAATTAAAGTTTTGGCTTTACTTGTAATTAGTTTTATGACATTCCGAAAATTGTTTTGCCAGGTATACAGACTGTATCAGCTTACAAAAGCTGCTAATTTTGCTGAGAAGTTGTTATTATCTATGAAGGGGCTTCCTGCGAGCAAAGAATTGGTAGAACGAAGTGGAGGTTTGTTCGCAATGTTGATCACATTCCAAATGCTGGGGCTTGTGTGCCTTTGGTCATTGATGACGTTTCTTTTGAGGCTATTCCCTTCTAGACCTGTAGCAGATCATTACTGAGTTTATCATGGATTAGGGAAGAGTATTGTATATATTTGCGTAATATTTATCTCTGAAAGACATTGGTACGCTATTACTTGATTAACTTTAATGGAGACTCTTCATTAAGAAAAATACCTTGTCGCTCGATCTCTTTCATTTGTTATTTCTCAATTATAATGCCATCATTTATGAGAAAATTATGGTAGTAAACTTTGCGACCTTAATTTAAAAGATGGTATTGTCAAAAGCAAAGGTGAATTCATTCATTCTGTATTGAATTCTCACTTTAATGAGAACTGGTGGAGAACTTTGTTTATAATTTTGCCAGGTTGCTATTCTTAGTAAGCGTGAAGCACTAACAAGTGTGTTTGTAATGCTCTGATTATGCGTGTTATAAACTGCCCATAACATGTAGAAAGTGAATAATCAAATGATTTCAACTTCGCTTTATTTCTTTGGTAACATTGAAAGAAAATATATACAATCGAGTACCTATTGATTAATTTTTGAAGTATTTAAGAAATTCTTTAATATTGATTAATTCTTGAAATATTTAAGAAATTCTTTAATTATGATTTGTGAAACAAAATAGAGATAATTTTTAAAATACTTACGTAATCTTTAAAATATTAATTGTAAAACAAGATTAAAGACAATCTTTAAAATATTTTGGTACCACAATTTGAGAGAAGAAAAGAGAGATGACCAAAAAATGTTATATTCAAATTTATAGCACACTGGAGAAATAGAAATTACTGATGCATATATTTTTAACCATTTGCATGATAACAATTATTATTATTATTTTATGATATCAAATCTCATTTAAGGATCTCGATCAAATTCTATTAAATGATTTTAATTAAATATTATTAAATAATTTTAATTAAATCTTATTGAATGATTTGAATAAATTTTAATGAATAATTTTGTTTTCACTTAATCTCGAAATAGTTTGAATGTTATTTTATTTTTTATGCTGACAAATAATGTAATAATATTTCACATAAAATTAATTATTATTTGATCATATTAAATTATATAATTTAATAATTAAATATTAAAATTAATTTATTTAATATTGTTATGTGTGACTTTGAGAGTTTAATACTAAACTGTAATATATTAATTAAGTTAGATATCTAACAATACTTCTACTATAATGAAGTAAGACGTATTTTACTTTTAATAATCAATTAAAAAAATTAATAGATATTTTTTTTCATTCCCTAAGCTATCAATTAATCCTAATAAGTTAATTTATCATTAATAATTTAAGAAAATACCTTTACGCTAAAAATTTAATTTTATTATATAACTCAAAATTATTACCAAAATCCTTTCTTGAATAATAATTTTTTTATAAGTATTAAATTTTATCTAATATTAATTTAATTAACATTAATAGTGCCCAAAATTAAAATATAATAAATAACATACCAATTATTATGATATTTTCATGTTAAAGAAAATATTTATTTTCTTCCTACGAATTTCTTATTGACCATTTGATGTAATATTAACTATTAATAAACCTTATTTGAGTTTGTTAAATAATCACATTTAAGTAAAAATCATTTATATATGTAAATTAATAAATAAGATCTATTAATACATATATATATAAATTACTTTGATAAAATTTTATTATTATAATAGAAATTATCACAATAATAGTAATATATATATATATATATATATATATATATATATATATATATATATAATATGTAAAAAATTACTTTATAATAAAATCAATATCGTCTTGGACACATGTAATTATCCTAACAAATACAACTTCCTATCCTTTCACATAAAATCGGCCATAGAAATACTTTGACAACGTGAATGAGACTGGCATAATCGAAATTATGCAAATAAGCTGTTTCATGAGAGTACATGTGAATGAGCTTCTCTCGTCAAAATTTAACTTTCATAATGGATTCAAATTTAAGATTTTATCCACTTACGAACTGGTCTACGCGGGTTGAATCTACGGGGGGTAGAGTTACCCATTTAACCAACCCTTGGTGTCACGCAGAACACTCATGAACAAATAGAGAAAAAATCAAACTCACTCTCTCATGAATGCCCTCTCCGCATCCTACCATGCAACCCAACACAATGTGCTAATCTCATATTGTCTGTCTCCGCCTCCATACCATATTGCCACAACCATCGTACTTCCACGTCATCCTTCATTTGTGCCGCAAGCTCGTGCCACCTGCCCACACACTCTTACACTTGAAAAAAATGTGGAAGTCTATTTTCCCTACATTGACATTGGTACAACCTTCAAAGTTTCATGTTTGGATTCAGTTGTTAAATTTTTATGTTTTTTTCCCTAATTAGGATGGTAAGATTCTTAACTGTTTGGAATCTTTTTATTTTAGGGAGTTTAACTTAGTGAGTTGGTTATTGTTCAGTGTTTACCATTGTTTCTCTTTATTTTGTTAGATGTTATGTGTGTGAAAATTTATGTAGACTTAGTTTGTAAATGATGTGGATTTATTGTTTTTTGTTTTAATATATATATATATATATATATATATATATATATATATATATATATATATATATATATATATATATATATATATTCAAGTTGGACTAATATGTTTAACCGTTCAGCCTGTGGTGGACTCAGTTGAGCCAATTTTCTTAAGGTTGAACTCCTTGTGTACTCGGGTCATTTATAAGATGGGTCAATCCTTGACCCATTTGAATAGCTCTACTTCACACTCACTTATTCCACATATAACTATTGTGAATTTAAGTGTCGCGTCATGATATGTTATTCATCAAGGAGGATTATAACTGTTTTCATAAACATATATTTTACAATCAACGTTAATAATATAATATTGATAAATATTAATAAAGTTTTTAAATTTATAAGTTTATTATTATTTTATTATTATAAGGAAGTGTAGATTGAGAATAGGGATGAATAGTGGTGTCAACTAATCACCACTCATTCAGCAAGCCATTCATATATCTGTTAAAAAATAATTGATTGACAATCATTTTGTTCTACAGATCCATTTAACAACTTCCATTAATAATATAATAATAATTTTAAATTATTTCATTTTCATAAAATCAGTTTATGATTATCATAATAATAAAACAAGTTGTCCATGAATGCTTTCTGAGCCTGTTCTCAATATATCAGCTTCCTATTGTATTTTTATGCAACTTAACCAAATATTCTTTTTAATTTCCTAAACAGTGTTTCTTGGACACTTATTTACATACTGTCAATTCTCTAAAGATGATCTTTAATAGAAAAACTTTTAAAATAATTACTGTAAAAGTTTCTTATAAACATCTTAAAAATATTCAATTCATGATTAACAGTAATTCTAATTAAGTTATAATCAAATTCATAGAGAATGACTAACAAATAGTAATCAAAATATTCAAATTAAACATGAGCTAACTATTCACTGAATTCTTTTCAGAATCCCTTATAATGCTTGTCCCAAGTAATTAAAACCACAAAAGTGCAGTTTGTTAAGCAAATCGAGTTACGTTGTCGTAAAAGTGATTACAGGCCAAAAAAATTGAAAAGATGATACACTAATGTGTATAAATAAAATTTACATGGAAGCTAAAAGGTCTCGCAACTCCACTACAGAAGGGACTGACTCAGCAGGGTATATCTTGGCGACAAGTTGGACAAAAGTTTCGTACTTATCAAGAAAATCCTTCTGTCATAGTTTGGGGAAACAATAATCAGAATTTGTCGCACGCATTTGTGTAAAATAACTACTCCTTCCTCCGTTCCACATCTGTGTTTCTTTCTAGTTTTGGAGTAATTACATACAGCTTTATAAATAATAATAATGCAAAATACTGTATATACAAAGTCAACTATTTTCTATTTTAACTAATTTTTAACATTTTATCAACATCAGTCTCTTAAGAGTAAGTAAAATAAAAAATTAAATTTTCCAACTTTTTTAGCTTTTACTAATTAAAAATTAACTTTATAACCCGTGTTATTAAAATTTTAACACTATTGGTTGGGGAGTCGTACACCGTTGTTGCTAATACTATAAGAATCATGCTGATAAATTCCTAAACAACATTGGTAAAACAGTTTTGACAATATTTAAATACAGTATGTTGGGGCTGATGCAATAAAAATATGAGCGTTCAACACAAAAAAGGTTCTCTATTCCTTGTGCTCATTTTCAAAGTTTGTGGAATTTCATTAGTAATGCTTCAGCAGTAAGACCCTTGAGATTTGGCCTTGGAAATAGTATTATTTACCACATGATTTTTTCCGTTCATTCTTATTGTAAATAAGTGTTTTTCTTTTATTAGGATGTTTGGAATTAAGTAGAACATACCTTGCATTTATCCCATAAGGAAGGTAACAGTTCCTCCGAAGTCAAGTTTTTCTGCAACTTCTTATACATCGCAGCAATGGACTTGTCCACCTATTTACCGAACACACAACTCACGATGTGAGTACGTCACTTATGAAAGTATTTTGTTTTCAGAAAAGATATGCATACGCCCTTACCCCAGATAAACTGGACTTTAACGTCTTCCGTAGATCCGCTTTTGACAGCCCAACTTGGAAAGGAATCTGAAATTGATGTAGAACATTAGACAATTGTGAATGTTAGAAAGTGAAATATCAATTGTAAATTTACCTATTAATTAGTCACAATCCATTTATTTCAATACTTACTTTTTACTTTCAGTATTTATTTTTTAATAATTTAATAGTATAAAATAATAACTCATCTTATTTATTAGATTAAAATAAATAAATAACGAAAATGATCTTTTTCTCTCTGTATAAAATTATACTGTCCCTAAACTTTTCTGTACTGACACTCTGATTTCAGTTTTTTATTTTATTTTTATATTCTACACAAATATCTCTTCAGGAAGACAATTGAAAAATATAGACAATTGAAATATGCAAAAGTACAAATCCAATCTTTTAGTACTCTTTCAACAATAAAATTCAAATGCTCCAAATTCTATGCTTACAAGGACAAAATAATCCTATAAAATTATTTGCATTTATTACAATCAGCCTATATATAGAACACATTCTGTGGTATCGTCAAAATAGACGGTCTCTTCATCTATTTTTCTTTCCATCAAAAGTTGTATATATTAAAAATATAAATAACTGTAATTCATTGCTATAAATCTTAAATCATTAATATGTTTCTTAATTATATGCTGTAAATATCAGAAATAGAAATCAGGTCATTCATTATATATAATTAGACTAACTAATTAAGGTTGACAAGTTCGAAATTAGAATTATTGCATCATTAATACCTATAAATCTTTATCAACTATTTGTGGATGAGAAGAGAATCAAAGATGGCAACAAGTCAATTTCTACACTCTATTACTTTTTTAGACTGGTATAAGTTGTAAGATCAGCAATGTTATTATGTATGATATTTTTGTGTGAAAATTGTTGCAATCAATCAGGTTTTGAACAATAGGGAGGGAAATGAGTGTAGGAAGGGAGAGGGAATAAATGAGTGAGAATATTACTTTAATGTGTCTTCACAAAAACTATTACATAATATTAAACATTTTGGATTGTACAGATGACGAGGTTTTATTTTAGACCATTTTTGTCTGCATGAATCAAAATAAATACCACTCAGTACAAGTAGATATATTTCGATGACTTACTCCGCTTTTTGTTGTTAATACTGGAAAGGAAACCCCGATAAAATTCTATAAATCTTTAGTTTGTCATAATTTATTACACAGGATGCCAAAAATAGAATCTTAGACTAGAGCCATAATGTTTAGTTCAATCAATTAGGAGAAAAGTTGCAAGCAATACTTCAATAAAATAAATCCAAATATACCGGATTGCTGTACAACAGGAGTGTATGAAGATTAACAAATTTAATTATACAGAAACAAACCTCTTCAGGTGCAACGTTATTCAATATCAAGTCCTCGATCTTTCGAGCAAACTGGAAAAGGCGTTCAAATTGCTTTCCAAGGCAGCAAGGCATAATGAGTTAACATCTTAAAGGCTATAAATTCAACTACGGTCGACAAAAGGACATAAATAGAGAATAAAATACTTACATAGTAGATAATCATACTAATATGGCGTGTACAAGCATGCTCGTAGGCTTCACTAGCTTGATGATAAAACTTCGCCAGAGTGGGCACAACATTTGCAAGGTCATACAAACTGAGCAAAAAGAACGAAATAATAGGTGGAAATATGCTTTTGTCTCTGTATACAAAAATAACTAACAAAAAATGGACGAATTGAAACAGCCTCAAGCCTCTATTTGGCAGAATGATGCATACACACCTATTCTGAAATGCGGCATAGTTTTCTATAAGAAAAATATCTGCATACTTCGGATCTGCTTGTGCATTTTTTTCCAAAGTTACAAACATTATGCTGACCTGTCAAACAACAATCCCCCCAGTAAACAACATACCACTATTGTTCACATGTTGAAAAAAATGATGATTTAAATACTACTTGAACAGCAGATAACAGGGCTAAGAAGTACACAATTGAAATCACCAGTAGTATCTATCAACATAGTGCAGATGACTTACGACTATCAATTCTTCATTCACTAGGATACATCATTGTCTAAAAAAATCACGAATACATACACAGCAAAACAAAATTATTGACTGTCTAGCCAAGGTAATGTTAAACCTGTAAAACTTCTCTAAATACTTGTTTACTGATGTAATGTGTTTGCTTACTTTAGTTGGTAGTGTTTTGTTGAATAGGCATGTGTTTATTCTGATTGTGGGGGAATTTGTACACCTAAAGACATTGTACATGTCACTTTTATGATAACATGTATGGCTGTGATTACCTTTATATTTCACATATATATGTGAAAAATATGATGTACAATATGGTTTTAGCAGCAGAAATGAAAATTGTTGTCTCTCTTCTTGTAACAGCAAAGAAGCAATCAGAGACAATGACGCGAAATTCTATTAGAAATGAAGGACACGTGGGAGTCAGGCATAGCACTAGGCAGAGGAGAGAGAATATAAGGCTGAAGGACTACACAAATGGGGGATGATTCTGAGGTTAATTCTTCTCTCTAAATTCTTCTTGTCTTTTCACCTCTAAATCTGCCTCTCTACATCTTGCTGATTCTCTTTCCCCTGTTGTAAAACTTATTTTGAAATTCCTTCTCTTCTCAGGTGCCGTTTCTTAGGGAATTGCTTGTGAAGTTGCTATAACTATTTCCCACCTCTACCATTTTCTGTTATAAATATTTATTTCTCAGTACTCAGTTGTTTCAATTATAGAGATTCTTAATTGTTCCTTGTTTAACCTTGTAATTGCTACTATCGGCTTGGATAATTTTTGCAATAGATCATTCTTGTTACATTGGTGCTTTCATTGACCTTCCATGGCTGAGAACACACATTTGAAGGAAGTACAAGCGGAAATTCGTAATCATTCAGAGGATATTCGTCGTATTGGTCAAACGATGGATTTGCATTATCAGGAACAAAATGATAAAATGCTTCAAATCCAGAATTCTATGGAGAAAATTCAGTTGGCAATGACACAATTACTACAAAACGCTTCTCAACCTCATGGAAGTGCTTCGAACAATGGCTCTTCGTTGGGGACCCTCAGTAATGCTTCTCTATCTATCAAGGAAATTTCATTCGGTTTTCCTCACTTTGATGGTTCGACACCGGTGATGGAATGGATTTTCAAGGCGGAGAAATTTTTCACATATCACAACACTCCGGATGCTTCTAGAGTGGATATTGCTGCGATGCACTTTGATAAAGATGTTGTTCCTTGGTTTCAGATGTCTCAAAAATTATCCATGATGACTACTTGGTCTGACTTGACTCGTGCTCTGGAATCTCAATTTGGTCCTTCACCATTCGATTTTCCTATGGATGAACTCTTCAAACTTTAGCAATCAGGTTTGGTATCTGACTATTACCTCAAGTTTATGTCTCTTGTGAATCGATCTCTGGGATTAAGTGATGAAGCTTTTCTGAATTGTTTTATTAGTGGCCTGAATCCTGATATTAGACGTGATGTTGTTGCTATGTACCCTTCTACATTGTTGTGTGCAGTTGCCCTAGCCAAACTTTTTGAAAAAAAATATAATCCTGCGTCTAAACCAAGCTACAATTCATATACCCACAAATACTCCCCAATTTCACATACTCCAAATTCTAATACAACTCACCCAAAATCACAAAACAAATCTCAATTACCTCCACTTTTAACCATTCTACCAGGACCCCCTTTAAAACCTTCTAATGTGAAGAAAATTACTCCTGCGGAAATGCAATTGAGAAGGGAAAAAGGATTGTATTATTTCTGTGATGAGAAGTTTTCTTTTAATCACAAATGTCCTAATAGGCAATTGTTGATGCTACAAATAGATGACGATGATAGTTCTGTTGGTACAGTTGTGACTCATTGTACGCAGCAAATTGAGGTAATGGAACCTGAGAATCATCATTTGTCCTTAAATGCTTTAAAGGGTGGTGCAGGTGTGGGAACTATTAGATTCATGACGTATATTGAGAAATTACCTGTGACTGTATTAATTGATGGGGGGAGTTCTGATAGTTTTTTGCAACCAAGGGTGGCCAAATTCTTAAAATTACCAATGGAACCAGTTGCTCAATCCAGAGTAATGGTTGGAAATGGTAATTATATATCTGTGGAAGGATGAATTAAACAATTGAACTTACAGGTTCAAGGGAATACCCTTCAGTTACCAGTGTTTTTACTACCTATTTCTGGTACAGATCTTATTTTAGGAGCTAGTTGGTTGAAGACAATTGGCCCTCACATTGCAGATTATGATGCATTGCAATTGAAATTTTTGTTGAATGGCAAGTTTACTACATTACAGGGAGATGTTGATTTGATACCGAAACAGGCTCAATTAAATAATATAAGAAGATTGGTAGTCACAGATGCTATTGCTGAAGTTTATAGTATGCAGTTGATGGAAGCAAATATTGTTCCTAAATCTATGCTGGAATTACCTACTACTATGGAGCCTGAATTAGCTTTGTTATTGCACACTTACAGTGTGGTCTTTGATACTCCTACAAGCTTACCTCCTCCAAGGTCTCATGATCATTCAATTCCTTTACTAGAAGGTTCTCAACCTGTTAAGGTTAAATCTTATCGATATCCTCATAGTCAAAAGGAAGAAATTGAAAAATTGGTGTCAGGAATGCTAGATGAAGGCATCATACAGCATAGTAAAAGTCCTTTCTTTTCTCCTATTATATTGGTAAAAAAAAAGATGGCTCATGGAGAGTATGTACTGATTATAGGGCTCTTAATGCAATTACTATCAAGGATAGCTTTCCTATTCCTACTGTGGATGAGTTGATTGATGAACTTTTTGGAGCTTCTTTTTTTTTTCTAAATTGGATTTAAGATCCGGGTATCATCAAATCTTGCTAAATCCTGATGATAGACATAAAATAGCATTTAGGACACATTAGGGCTATTATGAGTGGTTGGTTATGCCATTTGGCTTGACCAATGCTCCTGCTACATTTCAAAGTCTTATGAATAACATTTTTGTTGGACTTCTGAGAAGATTTGTTCTAGTCTTCTTCAATGACATATTGGTATACAGTACTACTTGGCAAGATCATTTATATCATCTAGAGGTGGTTTTGAGTATCTTGAAACAGCAGCAATTATTTGTCAGATTTTCTAAATGTTGTTTTGGAGTGCAGCAGATTGATTACTTGGGCCATACTATATCAGGTTCAGGTATAACCATGGATGCAGGTAAATTGGAAGCTATTATGAAGTGATCGGAGCCTAAAAATTTGAAACAATTGCGTGGATTTTTAGGACTCACAGGTTATTATAGGAGATTTATCTAGTCATATGCTTGCATTGCAGCCCCTTTAACAGATTTGTTGAAAAAGGATTCTTTCAGATGGAGTACAACTGCAGTTAAAGCATTTCAACAACTCAAAACAGCTATGACATCTGCACCAGTCTTGGCTATTCCTAATTTCAAGGAAATATTTGTATTAGAAACTGATGCTTCAAGGAGTGGAATTGGTGTTGTCCTTAGTCAAAACAACCATCCTATTGCTTATTTTTCAAAGAAATTGTCCTCAAGAATGCAAAAACAGTCAGCTTATGCTCAGGAGTTCTATGCTATTACTGAGGCTTTGGCTAAGTTCAAACATTATCTTTTGGGTCATAAATTCATAATTAAGACAGATCAGCGAAGTCTTAAAGAATTGTTAGAACAGCAGTTGCAAACTCCTGAACAACAACAGTGGCTTCCCAAGTTTTTGGGATATGACTTCACCATACAGTACAAACCAGGGAAAGAAAATATACCTGCAGATGCTTTATCTAGAAGTTTTATGATGCTTGTCTCTACTCCTATACACTCTTGGATTAATAGTGTAATTGATTTGACTCAGAATGATCCACAGTTATCCAAAATTTATCAATCTATTTTGACAAGGCAACAGTCATATTCTGATTATAGCATTCAGAATGGGTTACTTTTGTTTAAAGGCAAAATTGTGCTACCTCAAGATTCAGAGTTACTCCACCAAATCATGACAAAATTTCATTGTTCAAAGATTGGAGGACATGCTGGAGTCAATAGGACAGTAGCTAGAATTGCTGCTCAATTTTATTGGACGGGAATGCGCAGTGATATTGGAAAATTTGTGCGGGAATGTGCAATCTGTCAGCAAGCGAAAGTTGATCATGTACTACCAGCAGGATTATTGCAGCCCCTTTCCATCCCTCAGCAAATTTGGGAAGACATAGCAATGGACTTTATTGTTCAATTACCATCCTCACAAGGATTTACCACCATCTTTGTGGTAGTGGATAGGCTGTCCAAATTTGGTTACTTCATTCCCTTGAAATCTGAAATTAATAGTAAGGTAGTTGTTGAAGCGTTCATTAATAATAAAGTCAAAATTCATGGGTTCCCAAAAATCATTGTTTTCGATAGAGACAGAATCTTTATCAGTTCTTTTTGGCAACAGTTATTCAAAGCTCAAAGAACAATATTAGCCATGAGTTCTTCATACCCACAGTCTGATGGACAAACAGAGAATCTAAATAAGACTTTAGAGATGTATTTGAGATGCTTTGTTTTTTAACACCCTAAGAGTTGGATTGTTATGCTACCTTGGGCTCAATTTTGGTATAATACTTCTTTTCATCAAAGTTTGGGTATGACACCTTTTCAAGCTGTTTTTGGTAGATCACCACCATCTGTGATGCATTATGAGCCTAATCCTAAAGATCCTATTTCACTCAAGGAGTCCTTACAACAACGTGATAAGCTTTTAATCAAGCTTAAGGATAATGTACTAAAAGCCCAGCAGTATATGAAGATGCAGGCTGACAAGAAACGAATAGAATTGGAATTTAAGGTTGGAGATTTGGTATTGGTTAAGCTTCAACCGTATAGGCAACATTCATTGGCTTTGAGGAAACATAAAAAGCTTGGTATGCGTTATTTTGGCCCATTCCCAATAATTGAAAGGATTGGTACAGTAGCTTATAAAGTCTAACTCCCAGAATCTGCTAAGATACATCCTGTGTTTCATATTGCACTTTTGAAACCATTACATGGCAAAAGTCCTCAGCCATATCTTCCGTTTCCATTGACTTCTTGTGAATTGGGACCTATGCTCTCTCCTTGGCAGGTGTTAGACGTGCGTGTTGTGAAACGCCTAGACTATTAATACAATGGGAAGATACTGAAGTTAAGGATGCTACTTGGGAAGATTTGCAGGAGATACGTGACTCTTATCCAATGTTCAACCTTGAGGACAAGGTTGTTTTTGATGAGGAGGGTAATGTAACAGCAAGGAAGCAATCAGAGACAATGACGCGAAATTCTGTTAGAAATGAAGGACACATGGGAGTCAGGCATGGCACTAGGCAGAGGAAAGAGAATATAAGGCTGAAGGACTACACAAATAGGGGATGATTCTGAGGTTAATTCTTCTCTCTGAATTCTTCTTGTCTTTTCATCTATAAATCTGCCTCTCCACATCTTGCTGATTCTCTTTCCCCTATTCTGAAACTTATTCTAAAATTCCTTCTCTTCTCAAGTGCCGTTTCTTAGGGAATTGCTCGTGAAGTTGCTATAACTATTTCCCACCTCTACCATTTTCTGTTATAAAAATTTATTTCTCAGTACTCAGTTGTTTCAATTATAGAGATTCTTAATTGTTCCTTGTTTAGCCTTGTAATTGCTACTATCGGGTTGGATAATTTTTGCAATAGATCATTCTTGTTACACTTCTCTTTACGTGCTTTTCTGATTGTTATGATTCTCTTTTATGGCACTGCATCACCTGATAACACATTATTCCAAGCGCCATCTACTATCTCCAAAGCTGTCACATGCAAGGGAAGTGCTAGAATAGAAAAGTCCAAAAATTTGGAGGAATTTTGTCCCAAAAGGATCTGATACTGGACCCTCAAGAAGATATAGGGAGAACAACCACCGGACAAAACCAAGATTTTAGTTATATTTGAAAATTTTAACTTAAATATACTTTTTTAGTATATAATTTTATATTTAATATAAACCGGTTCATGTAGTTTAAATAGTGATCCACCGGTTCAACCACTAACCCACCGATCCAATATACTGACCAAGAATATGATTGGTCTGGTTTTGATAACCCTGGTTTAGGTTGTGTTCCTTTAATGATGGTGTCTAGAGTTGTGTTCTTATAGGTTGTAGGTTTGAAAAAAGTTGAGTGTACACACTAGTCAGTGCTCAGATGGATTCAATAAGCAAGGCCTATCACGTTCCTAAATTTTCAGGAAAAAATTATCATGTATGTAAATCAGATCATGCTTGAAGTCTTTGGCTTATGGGGGAGTATCTAGATCAAGACCAGAAAGTTCCACCATTGAGAGCTAATCCTACCATAGATCAAATGAAGCAACTATGAGGAGGATATTTTGAAGAAGAAAGTAGTTACTTGCTACACCCAGCCTTGACAAATGATAATTTTACAAGTATTATTAATTTGGAGACAACCAACCAAATATGGAATGAGGCATCACAAAACAAAACAGTTCTGGAAAAGAGTCACTTACAATTTTTGTGTATGCTTGGTCAACCAAATCCCTCGACTGTCCTGCAATGAACTGCTCCATCCGTGTTGCAAGGGATGCAAATCTATATACAAACAAGGGAGACATTACTGAACACTAGACATGATACGTTAAATGCTGACTGGAAAGTAAGTCTGACATCTAATTGTTGCATACAGATGTATACCAAATAGAATTGGAGTCACCTTTACATCATGCAATTTAGAGAACCCAAAGTAACCTATCCTGAACTTAATGTGGTTCATAAAAACTGCCTAGCAAACAATACCGATCCACAGTGACAATCCTTAATAGCGTTACAAAATTTGTAGAGACTTCATTGAGTAATTTGTAGAGATTACATTATAGGTCTTTCTATGATCTGAACTCGATATAACTGGCTCAAAAAGGTGGACAAATGTACACAATCTTTTCTAGGAAATGGCCAACAAAAAAATACTATACCATTTTCTTTATTGTAGATACTATACCCACGACTCACATTCCACAGAATTGCACGTCACCACTAATAAAAAGATCCACAACTCAATAGAAATTTAGAAAACCATAGCGGACCCTAGTGGAACAAATTAAATATAAATACTTTCTTCAGAATGGAATGTTAGAATGGTGCTTAAGAGAGACAAGAGAGAAACTAGAAAAGATATATTGATTATATGTATGATGTATGGGACGATCCCTAGTTTAGACTGCAGAGGGTCGTTGGATAAGCTAACCAACTTACAACTCTGGAGTGCCACACGTAACTGACCATATTTGAATACAACTGAATACAACTATCTGACAGTGATAGTTATACTGCTAACAGTAACTGATGGGGAATAAAAAAAAAATCAATAATTTCCTTAGACCAGGATATCCAACCCTCATCAAGATAACTGAAAACTACAACCAAGAATTAACCTAATGAACCTGGAAAAAGTGATAAAGGACCAGAAGATATAGCTTTCATTCTGGAAAAAAAAAAGTTCCCAATTAACTCCAAGCATCATCTCACCTAGGAATGTATGGTAGGACACCTGTTTGGCGAGCATTCCGTTCATGTCTTTCAATCTGATAGCAAGCATCATCCACAAACTGTTAAAAAAAAACATCAAATCATATAAATTGGGTTAGCATCTCAATCTTCTAAATGCATTCGCGATCCTTTATAAAGTAGTCACATACTCGGCTGAATTGGATAGATATGCGAGACTCTAGTTCATCAAGCAAAAGGCGTACATATCCTGCTGCGTCACCTTTCTGACCAGAGAGGTAGCGTTCTGTAGTTCCATGCATTGATATGCAGCATAAAGGATCAATCTTATATGCCCAATCCACAACACCATAGAAGTCTTCCTGAAATCAGAGAAATTATAAAGCAACTTTAGACCAGAAAAATCTATTTACTAATATATAAAAAAAAGTCTGTAAACTCTTTATAAGTCCAATTATAAGGAACAATATGTTTATCATTGGTAGACCATATATGAGATAAAATATATTATGCTGCAATTGAGTAAATAATTGTTTTGGTCCCTGAAAATTAGGTATAAACCATTTGTATCCTGAAAGAAAATAATTGCTCTTGAAGTTGAGTCTTCAATCCATTGGGCATTTTAGTCCCTGTGTTAATTGATGTATGCAAGATGCACATGCTACTTCTTTTAGGTCCTTGAAAGATAGTCTTCTTCTTCTTCTACCATCCATTTGTAACATAGCTCAGAAGCTACAACAGGGAATGTAACAGTAATGCTCTGTATTTGGGAGAAGTCTCACATTGAGATATACAGCAAAAAAAAAAAAAAAATACAGAGCAGAAATTGACTACAAATGTACTTCTCTTCATAAAGCTTAGCTAATGACACACATCCAATCAAGGTAGTTGGAGTTTCTCCAATCACATCTCGATAAATATCAACTTGTAATCCCTCATCAAAGAAGTCCAATGCCTCTCAAGTAACCCCTTGTACCGGATTAGCTTATGCAATGAACCTCACATGATATTCCTGCACTGTGCCTTCTTGAATTAATTTAAGATTGGCCCTAGAACATTCATAGGGTGAAGGTCCAAACTCAAGCTCTAATGGTCCAGTATATCTGACCCATGGGTTATTACAAGACATCATCTGAAGCAACGAAACAACTTCATTGTGTAGATTAATTGTTGTTTTAGTTAACCTTTGCTTATCCAGTGGGTGATAATGATTAAAAAACTGTTCAAACTTAAAGATCCACTACAACTCATCAGAACAATCAAATATTGGAAAGTCTAACTTCACATTTCGCACTTCAAAGGGTTGATGTGTTCTGACACTAGTTTAGCTCAATATTGCATTCGAGTTCATCTTCATCAGTGTATCCAATCAGATTCTAATGGACTATTGTGGTCCCTAGCCTGATCTCCATAAACTCCATAAGTTTCTTCATGTTCTTGTCCTGTGAATCCATGAGTTTCTTTGTGTCTGAAGAAAGTTCTTTCAGGCAAGTATTCTCATCCATGACTTAATGAAAGCACCAATTGTAATATAGCTCAGAAGCTACAATAGGTAATGTAATACTAATGCTCTATAATAATATTATTGATATATGGAACAAGTCTCACAATGAAATTGACAGCAAACAATAAATATAGAGCAAAAATCATGACAAAAAAATGAACCCAAAGGGATAGAGGTTCCAAATCAATCCATCCATATTTTCTCTCTCCCCCAACCACTTGCTTTATACTAATTAATTCCCCAACGCAATCCTTCAGCCATGAGTTAGTTTTCTTGGGTTGAGTGCCTTTTCTGATTTCCACCACACCTTTCGGCTCTTCTATCACGTGGCCATGAAGCTCTTTTTCCCCTCCATGAAGTATATCTGAATTATCATTTGTTACACCATTCTCATCCATACATCTTATTTAGTATGTATTTGTCATGATCAACATTTCAATTAGATCTAACTCACGTCACTTAAACATAAGTGTTAAGTATGTGGAGTCTGAAGGGTTATTAGGCCTGACCTATTTATTTATTATTTTATTATAAATACTCATGCAATTGTAAACCTAATGAGAACTATCATCTAGTGCAATTGTGGATTTAAGTCACTTTGACTGAACCACGTAAATTCCTTGTGTTCTTGTTATTTACTTTCGTGTTGTATTGTATTTGTATTCCCAACAACTAATATCAAGAGCTTAGGTTTTTTTCATGCGAGTGGGAGCAATGATTGAAGACAGGAAGTGAAGATTGAAAAGTTCAATGAAAGAGATTTCAGATTTTGGAAGATGCAAATTGAAGATTATCTTTATCAAAAAATGTTGTACCAACCTTTGTCTGAGAATAAACTAGAAACGATGTCCCAGACAAATTGGGAGTTGTTAAATCGACATGCTTTGGGCATTGTCAGATTAACATTGGTGAAGAATGTTGCCTATAACATCATCAATGAGAAGACGACATATGATTTGATAAAAGCATTATCAAACATGTACGAGAAGCCCTCGACATCAAACAAGATATTTTTTATTTGTCAATTAGTTAATACGAAACGAGAAGGTGTTAGTGTTACAGATCATGTGAATGAATTTAATTCCTTATTGTCAATATTAGTGTCAGTAGATATTAAATTTGATGATGAAGTACAAGCATTGTTATTATTATCTTCGTTGCCTGATAGTTGGTCAAGAACTGTCACGACAATAGCCAGTACATCTGAGACTATGAAATTAACCTTTGAAAGAATTAGGGATTTAATCGTTAATGAGGATGTTCGTAGAAGGAATGTTGAAGAATCAACAAATTCTTTATTAAGAACCGAAGGTAGAGGTAGAAAGCTTGATAGGGGGCAAGGCTTTGAACGTGGTAGATCAAAGTCCAAGGAGCAAAGACAGTCCAAATCTCGCAAGGATATTACTTGTTGGAATTGTCAGCAGAACGGACACTTTAGGAATCAGTGTTCTGCTCCTAAAGCAAAAATGCATGATAATACAATGAATGCAGCAGAAGAAGACAGTGATGGTTGATCTATTGTGTTGAGAGCAAGTTTGAATCTTGGATTATGGATTCTAGTGCATCTTTCCATGCTTCTCCTTGCAAGGACTTTATGAAAAATTTCAGAAGTGGAAGTTTTGGCAAAAAGCGTCTAACAGATGATGAAGCATTAGACATTACAGGCATGGGAGATATAAATCTTAAAACATCTATGTGTATAGTATGGACTCTGAAGGATGTCAGATATATTTCAGGACTCAAGAAAATGTTAATATCTGTGGGTATGTTGGACGTTCAAGGATATCGAGTCATATTCGAAGAAGGCAAATGGAAAGTGGTGAGTAGTAATCTAATTGTTGCTCGTGGTTGGAAGAAAGGAACCTTGTACATGACAGAATTACCTACAAAAGAAGTAAATTCAATTAGTGATAATTTTGGTCATTCTTCAACTTTGTGGCACCAAAGGCTTGGTCACATGAGCGAGAAAGGGTACGAAGATACTAGTCTCAAAGGAAAAGATTCCAGAACTGGAAAAGGTAGAAGTTGGTTTCTGTGAATCATGTGTGTTTGGAAAGAAGAAAAGAGTTATTTTTGCAAAGTCAGGGAGGATACCCAAGGGAGAGAAGTTGAAACTTGTTCATTTAGATGTGTATGGACCAACATCAATCTCATTATTGGGAGGATCATGATACTATGTCACCTTCATTGATGATTCCACTAGAAAGGTATGAATTTATTTTTTGAAGCAAAAATCAAAAGTATTTAATACCTTTAAGAAGTGGAAAACCATTGTTGAGAATGAGATAGGGTTAAAAATTAAATATTTAAAGTTTGATAATGGTGGTGAATATAATAGTATTGAATTTGTTTATTACTGTGCTAAGAATAAAATTAGAATGCTTAAAACTATTCTTGAGACACCTCAACAAAATGGTATTAATGAAAAAATGAACAGGACCCTAAATGAGAGGGCAAAAACTATGAGAATTTATGGAGGATTACCGAAGACATTCTGGGCAGAAACAATGAGCACAACAGCATACATCATTAATCGAGGACCCTCAGTTCCCATATGATTTAAGATTCCTGAGGAAGAATGACAAGATAAAAATATAAGTCTTTCTCATTTGAAAGTATTTAGTTGTGCTTCTTATGTTCATATTAAAGATGTTAACAAGGACAAGCTTGATCTGAAAGAAAGAAAGTGCATTTTTATTGGCTATGGAGTAGATAATATGAGATATCGCTTCTGGGATGATCAAAACAAAAAGATCATTAGAAGAAGAGATGTTACATTTAATGAAAATGTCATGTACAAGAATAAACTTGAGACAAATGTTGAAGCTGAAAAGAAGCCAACAAATAAGGAAAATGTAATGTTAGAGGACATTACAGAAGACGATCTTTCAAGAAAAGGTGGGAGCTTAGGAGATAGGGCTATTGAGGAGACTACTCTCGTCACCCCAGTAGTTAAAGTGAGGAGATCCAATAGAGTTATTAGGCCTCCTCACAGATTTTCTCCTTCAACAAATTACTTGTTGTTTCTTGACGATGGAGAATCTTTGTGTTATGATGAGACATTGCAGATGGATGATGCAACTCAGTGGGGGTTAGGCATGCAAGAGGAGATGAACTCACTTAAGAAAAATAAAACTTGGTGTTTGTCTGACCTACCAATAGGAAAGAGGACATTGCAAAACAAGTAAGTCTTTAGGATCAAGGAAGAACATGATGACAACAAGAGATACAAGGCAAGGTTAATAGTGAAATGCTTTCAGCAGAAAAGAGGTATTGACTATAATGAAATTTTTTCTCCTATAGTTAAAATGACTACCATTAGATTTGTATTAAGTATTGTGGTTGTAGAGGATTTATATTTAGAGCAGTTAGATATTAAAATAACATTCTTACATGATGACCTTGATCAAGGCATCTACATGATGCAACCAGAGGGTTTTTAAGTTGGAGGGAAAGAGAACTTGGTTTGCAAGTTGACCAAGAGTTTGTATAAGTTCAAGCAAGCATCTAGACATTGGTACTCAAAGTTTGATAGTTTTATGAGTAGGATAGGGTGCAAGAAGTATGCCATGAATCAGTGTTGTTATATGAAAAATTTTGGTTCATCCTATATCATATTACTATTGTATGTTGATGACATGTTAGTTACAGGTTCTAACATAGATGAAATTAATAGATTGAAGGCACAGTTGTCTAAAGAGTTTGAGATGAAGGATTTGGGTATTGCAAAACAGATTTTGGGCATGAATATCAGCAAGAACAAATTTGAAGGTTCCCTAATATTATCTCAAGAGAAGCATATTGGGAAACTGTTAGAGAAATTCAACATGCAGGGTGCCAAAATCGTAAGTACACTTTTGGGAGTTCACTTTAATCTCACCCAAGAGGAGTCACATAAGACAGATGAAGACAAGGCAGTAATGACTAAAGTTCCTTATGCATTTGCAGTCGGTAGCTTAATATATGCAATGGTATGCACTAAACCAAACATTGCTCATGCAGTGAGAGTTGTTACTAGATTCATGTCTAATTTAGGAAGGAAGTATTGCGAAGCTGTCAAGTGGTTGTTACGCTACTTGAAAGGTATTTCTAAAACTGCATTATGTTTTAGAAGAAATGATGTCATTTTGAAAGGATATTTCAATGCAGATTTGGGATGTTATTTAGACATAAGGAAGAGTACTACAGGATTTGTCTCCACAATAGGTGGCACAATAGTTAGTAGAATGTCTCAACTTCAGAAAAGTGTTGCACTTTCAACCACAGACGCAGAGTACATGACTATTTCGGAAGCCAATAAGGAAATGACTTGGTTGAAGAATTTTCTTGAGGAGCTAAGCAAGAAATAGTGTGACAATATTCTTTATAGCGATAGTCAGAGTGTCATTCATCTTGCAAAGAATCCTATTTTTCATGCAAGAACAAAGTACATCCAGTTGAGGTATCACTTCATTAAAGAACTAATAAGTGGTGGTACTTTTGTTTTGGAGAAGATCCTTGGGTCAGAGAATCCTGCAGATATGTTGAACAAAGTGGTTACTACTGAGAAGTTGAAGTTTTGCTTAACTTCAACTGGTCTTCATAGTTAATTGTTGAGAAGGCAATGCACTAGTTTGAGGTTGTTATAACTTTAAGGTTTACTAGATTTATTTTGAAGTGTGCTTGATGTGATCAACCTCCAAGTGGGAGATTGTAAAGTATGTGGAGTTTGAAGGGTTATTAGGCCTGACCCTTTTACTTATTCTTTTATTGTAAATACTCATGTAATTGTAAACATAATTGTGTGAATGAGAACTATCATCTAGTGCAGCCATGGACGTAGGTCACTTTGACTGAACCACGTAAATTCCTTATGTTCTTGTTATTTACTTTCATCTTGTATTGCATTTGTGTCAATCCTTATGTGGGTTGGGCTCATGTCTTATTGGTGTTGTTCTCCCCAGTAAATCCCCCTCGAAAGTCCCAACAAGTGGATTAGAGCCGAAAGTTGATCGGCAGTGAGTCAGAGTAGTCTTTGTATTGAAAGTCTTCCTAACAAAGTGAGTCAGATAAGTATGTCCCGTTAGAGTAAACGACGGTACATGAAAAGGCCACTAGTGAGTTCGAGGGGATATACGAATGTGAAGGGACTCACTTGAAGGGGAGATTGTTGGGTAATCCAAGTGTGATTCTAAGTCCCATATTGTGTAAGAATGACGAAGTTGAGCAATATATAAGGAAGTATGACCCATAACGCAAAGCCTTAAGGTTTTGAGTTAAGAGTGGTGTCAATCCTTATGTGAGTTGGACTCATGTCTTATTGGTGTTGTTTTCCCCAGTAAATACTCCTCGAAAATTCCAACAATAAAGACTATTGAATATTCAATAACCTTGCGAACAATTTCTTTCTTTCAAGGACTAAAATGACTAATCCTTAATACTCTATAGCAATGGAGAATTGGTAAAATATCTAGCACTTTATCTTGACTTAGATCCTCTGACATGAGGTAACAGAAATACTAAGAGAAACAAGATACGCAACAAAACAATTAAATTTTCATTAAAAAAAAATCTATTTTTATCATGGCTATCATATGCTAAGAAACTTAATCATATGCATACTTGAATTCCATCAAGCAAATCCTGAAGACATTCATTTAACGCTACAAGATCCACAGCAGTTTTACCTGTAATAATGTCCAAATTATGGAACAATTGATCACCATGTACAAAAATAAATCATAATATTTTAAGTAAAACGCTATTAGTACACAAAATATTTTCTGAAGATGAAATATATTACCAAATGTACTACCATCCTCGTCATCATTATCCATGCTATTGTGTATAGCTTTATTACCATCAGCTGTTGAAAGAATTGCAAAGCACATAAAGTGTGCAAAAAATGAGCTCTGAAACATAGGCCATAAGTAGTTATACATCTGAAACATTTAACATTAACAAGTTCCAAGAAAGGGAGAATACTATAACTTTCACCTCATCCACCAGAAGTGGGATAAAAATTGCGAGCATCTTTGCATATGCTTCAGAAACTGTTGCAGTGTCAGTAGGATTTACATTTTGACCAGACCCCGTGAAGACTTCAAGCCAGACAGATGGGGTTTTAGAAGTTTTCACACCAGCACGAAGTTCATTAGAAAATTCGCGGGCCTAGAGAGGAATTCTTAAAACTTCAGACTCCCTATGCCCACTATTTTACCAAAGTATAAGAAACCAGTATATATAAACCAAAAATCAAATAATAATTATAACAAATTTTTATTTGTCCATTACAGAGCAGATCATAAACATCTTTGAGAAGGCCAAAATGAAGCAACTTCAAGATCAAGGATATGCTATTGAAATAATAATTATATCAAAATTTTACTTGTCAATTGTAGCAGGTCATAAACATCCCTTTAATGATGGCCAAGAGTCACAACAAAGATGAAGCAACATCAAGTTTAAGGATATGCTATTCAATTATTTGTTGAATTATTCCAAGACATCACATCTCTCCATTTGGTTAAGAAATGATAAAGGTAAAACCAACTTGTTACTTGCATATGCATTTGAGATAATATTTGAGATGAGAAAAAAAAAAAAAGTGCAGCCATTAAGTAATTTACTTAGCTCCAATTGAAGCAACAGAAGTTTTAGAAGTTGAGTTTGGGCTTTTAATTCAACATGAAAAACTAGTTCATGAGATGAGGGTTACCCCCAATTTTATACACTATTTTGGTTATGTCACTCATCAACATGGAATCTCCAACAAGAAGAAAATTAATGATCCTTTCCAGAAGGAAATAAATAAAAATATGAAATTGAAACTTCAGTTTTCACTGCAAATTATTGACTACTTCAAGTGTTTAACATCAAGCTTAAAGCAAATATGTTTCTGTCCACCCAGTTTGTTTTGATTTGTTGTAAGAACATTACAGTTTTATAACAGGGACATGGTGAGGGAAACAGTTTCCATTTAGAAAGAGGTTTAAGGATGTTAAGTAAGATCAGTCAAATCTCAAAAACAATTATAGGCTACAAATCTAAATATTATTCTTAAAAATTGTAAGATACCTAACTCAATCTTACAAAACCGGCTCAGTAAGGTGAAGATTGTACTAACTTATATACTACAATATTATCATATCTTTAGTCGATATGAGATTTCTCAACACAATCTCTCACATCATGGAAGATTTGTTTCATCACACCCACTCATATCGAGGATTGTAGAAATTGTAGAAACAAAAGATATGTTTTACGGAGGATAAAACGCTGTGGTTTATTTTACTCTTTAAATAGAGTTTAAAATAAAACAAATACAAAACAAATATCTCTTGTTTTTAGGCATAACCCAACAGTTACTTTAACATATATTTTCTAAACTGATAAAAACAGAATCAGCACTATCCTAAAGAATAGATCCTAAACATCCACTTCTGCAGCTATTGCGGCACACGTTCAACAAATCTCCTTCTTGTTTCAATAGTTGCAAACACCTAGTTTATTTCTTAAAGCTTCAAATTTGAATTTTGGAAGAGCTTTTGTTAAGACATCTGCACTTTGATCTTCAGTTTTGCAGTAAATTAATTTAACTTCATCTTCTCTTTGTGCTTCCCTTAAAAACCACAACTTGATCTTGAAATGCTTAGTCCTGCCATGAAAAACAGGATTATTTGAAATGGAAATAGCGGCTTGATTATCAACAAGAATCTGTGTAGGCTCCTTTTGTTCCATATAAATCAGCAAGTATACGCCTTAGCCAAATAGCTTGATTTACTGCTACAGTGACTGCCACATATTCTGCCTCAGCTGTACTCTGAGCCACTATATCTTGTTTTTTTGAACTCCATGAAAACATACCTGAACCAAAGCTGAAACAGTAACCTGTTGTGTTTTTCATGTCATCAATTAAACCTCCCCAATCACTGTCAGAATAACCGTAAAACTGAATATTCTGAGAGTGAGTGTATTTGACACCATAGTCTATAGTCCCCTTGACATATCTCACAATCCGTTTGGCAGCTTGAAAATGCACTTCACTAGCACAATGCATAAATCTTGAAAGCATACTTACTGCAAACATGATGTCAAGCCTGGTTGTAGTAAGATACATTAGACAACCAATTTGGCTTCTAAATTGATGCTCTTCAACCTTATTAGTCCCGTCATCTTTGCTGAATTTTTCCTTTTGGTTCATTGGAGTAGCAGTGATTTTGAAATCTTCCATGCGAAATTTTTTTAGTATTTCCCTTGCGTACTTCTTTTGGCATATGAAGACTCCACCATGATCTTGCTTTACCTCCATACCCAAAAAGAAAGACATCCGACCAAGATCTATCATTTCAAACACTCGGAACATTTCACTTTTAAACTCCTTTATTAACTTTTCTTCATTCCCTGTTACAAGCAAGTCATCAACATAGACAGAAACTATGATTAAATTAGTACCCATCTGTTTCACATACAATGTAGCTTCACTTGGACTTTTAATAAACCCAAGGTTTTGAAAATAATCATCAATTTTGCTGTACCAGGCTCTAGGGGCCTGTTTAAGACCATACAAGGCCTTTTTCAGTTTGTAGATCTTCTCCTCCTGTCCTTTTACTTTAAATCCTTCTGGTTGTTCTACAAATATTTCTTCTTGCAAATAACCATATAGGAAGGCTGACTTCACATCTAAATGGTAAACTTTCCATCCCTTTTGCGCGGTCAAAGCAAGCAACATTCTTATTGTATCAAGGCGTGCAACCGGAGTAAACGTTTCTGAAAAATTCACTCCGAACACTTGAGCATAGCCCTTCACAACCAACCTAGCTTTGTATTTATTTATAGAACCATCTGCATTTAACTTAGTTCTATAAACCCATTTGACTCCTATAGGTTGCTTGTGTTGAGGTTTGTCCACTAGCTCCGAAGTGTCATTCTTTTCAATCATCTTTAGTTCTTCCTTATTGCTTCTATCCACTTATCATCCAACTCAACCTGTTTAAAATCAACAGGTTCCAAGACAGCTAGATTACTCTTTTCATAAATTTCAGATAAAGATCTTGTACCTCTAACAGGGATGTCATCTATATCAGCATCATCATCATCATCATCAAGAACTTCTGGAATTTCTAGCAACTTCTTCTTCACTGGCTCCTCCCAATTTCATTTCTTGGTCCCAATTTCATTTCTTGTCTTCCATGAATTTTACATCTCTGCTTACAAGAATTCTTTCATTTTGTGGTTGAAAAATTCTATAAGTTTTGGACGTGCTGCTGTATCCAATGAAAACTCCAGGTTCCGCTTTCTTATCAAGTTTGTCTCTCTTAACCTGTGGAACATATGAAAAACAAACACAACCAAAAAATTTTAGATTTTGTAAATCTGGTTTGTATCCAAACCATCATTCAAATGGAGTTTTTTTTTAAGAACTCTGGTTGGCAGCCTGTTAAGCAAAAATAATGCAGTGCTTGCAGCCTTTGCCCATAGCTTCTTTGGCAACTCCTTTTCATGCAACATACACCTTGTCATTTCCATAATACTTCTATTTTTTCTCTCACTTACATCATTTTGTTGTGGGGTGTATGGTACACTGAGTTGGTGCCCTATGCCAGCTTCTTCACAAAATCTGTCAAATGTGTTATTTGCATATTCCTTTCCATTATCTGATCTTATTGTCAGTAATCTGCAACCACTTTGATTTTCCACAAATGCTTTATATTTCCAGAATATATTAGCAACCTCAGTCTTGAACTTAAAGAAATAAATCCAACAAAATCTTGAATAGTCATCAATAAATATAATATAATATTTATTACCATTCAAAGATGATACTCTTAGAGGTCCTCCAACATTTGTATGTACCAGCTACAGCTTATGTGTTGCTCTCTAAGCTGTTTGAGGAAATGGTCTTCTAATTTGCTTACCATATTGACAAGCCACACAATCAACCATATTGTCTTCAAGCACTGTTACACCTTTAACCAAGTCATGCTTCTGCATGTATAGAAGTCCCGCAAGGTGGAAATGTCCAAGCCTTTTGTGCCATAATTCAATGTTGTTGTAGGTGCTTGAAAAAGCTATTTGCTCCTCCTCCATTAGATTTAGAGCATAGCTTTTGGCCTTCATTTTTACCTTAAACATATATTTGCCTTTTGCATCCTTAATCAAGCACCACTTGTCTTCAAATATAACTTTGAAGCCCTTTTCAACTAGCTGTGTCACACTCAGCAAATTTTGGTCAATGTCAGACACATATAAGACATCGGAGATATGTTTCAAACCTGTTAAACTTTCGATAGTAACAGTTCCTTTTCCTTTGACTGATATCAAATCACCATTTCCAATTTTTACTTTGGAAACAATGGTTTTATCAAGCTCTTTGAAAAGCGTTTGGTCGTTCAACATATGGTTTGTACAACCACTGTCTATTAACCATGAATCACTGGAACTGTTGCTTGTAGCAAAGCATGTTGCAACAAAGAGTTGCTCATCTTCTTGTTGCTCCGTGGACATCTTTGCCTCCTCCGGTGATTTGCAAATCCGCTCTACATGCCCTAGCTTGCCACATTTTCGGCACTTGATGTCAGGTTTCCACCAACATTTTTTTTGAGAGTGGTTTGTTTTTTTACAGTGTGGACAACGTGGAAATGTGTCACTTTGGTGCTTGTTGAAACTTTCTAGTTTCCTGTTTTTCCATTTGGTGTTCTTCTTATCTTTGCCTCCTCCTGAGTTTTGTGCTTTTATATGAAAAGCACCTTGTGTTGTCTCCTCCTCATGTCTCATCGTTCTCCTCTGTTCCTGGGCCTGTAAAGCATTTACCAATTCTCCAAGGGTGATTTTTGACAAGTCTTTTGACTCCTGTAATGCTGATATTTTGGATTCATACTTTTCAGGTACAGTAACAAGTATTTTTTGTACTATCCTTTCATCAGGAAAATCCTTACCGAGGATACGTACTTGGTTTGCGATGCTCAACAGTTTGTCAACATAACTTTTTATAGTTTCTGTCTCCTTCATGCCCTGCATCTCAAATTCTCTGCCCAAGTTGAGTGCCTTCATACTTTTGGTTCGTTCACTACCCTGATACTATGATTTGAGGTAGTCCCAAATGTCCTCCGCAAATTTCAAATTCATAATTCTTGTAAATATGATTTTTGAAACTGAAGAGAAAAGACAAGCTTTGGCCTTGGCCTTTTTTGTCTTCTTTTCTTTGTGAGTCTTTAGCTGCGCGCCACTGTAGGATTTTCAGGTAGTGGACCAACTGCATAATCTTCTTCTATCGATTCCCAAAGATTTAGGGCTTCAAGATAGACGACTAGTCATCCTTGCAGCCCATAGGTCGTACTCCTCACCATCAAAAATTGGTGGTGATATTATGTGTGTTGATCCTGTTTCCATTTTGATTTCTTTCACTCACAGATCCCTCAAGATGATGTGCTCTGATACCAGTTTGTAGAAATTGTAGAAGCATAAGATATGTTTTACGGAGGATAAAACGTTGTGGTTTATTTTACTCTTTAAATAGAGTTTAAAATAAAACAAATACAAAACAAATATCCCTTGTTTTTAGGCATAACCCAACGGTTACTTTAACATATATTTTCTAAATTGATAAAAATAGAATCAGCACTATCCTAAAGAATAGGTCCTAAACATCCACTTCTGCAGCTATTGCGGCACACGTTCAATAAGGATGAGTGGTTATTATTTCAATAACGGGTGGCTAAGTCCATAAATGTTAACGGTTAATGTCTCAATATCTCTAGAGTTGACTCTGATACCATCTGGTGAGATACTAAATTCAACCTTACAAAACCAATTTAGTAAAGAGAGGATTGTACTCACTTATATACTATAATATTATCATATCTCTAGTGATATGAAATTTCTCAATAATTATGACCTGACTAACTTTGATAACTTATTTACCTGAACCAAACTTAAATGTTGTATCACTAAGAAAATATTAAATTGGGAATTCTATTTTGTCTAGGACAATTCATCACGGTGCTCTTAAATTTTGTTTTAATTTTGTTTCTCTGCAAATAATCACATGAATGAATATATGTCCACATCCATAACTCTTGTAATTACATAAATTAGCATTATTTTAGATAAAAATAATATTTTTTATTATCCCTCTAATTATCAGGATAAATATGCTTCCTATGATTCTCAATTATGTTTTTATTAGGCTTAGCTCACATTAGTGCTTGTATTTTAGAGCTCTTAGACCTAGGGCTCTGCTTGCATCTGCATGAAACTTCAGAGAATTTTTTTGGGTGTAGGTACCCCACAAATAGTGGAATACCTCGATTAATTTGTACCCAAATTTTCTAGTCCAATGTGTCATGCACCCTAACATGCCAAACAACAAGTCATTTCTGCCACATGTGCATGTGCCACCTTCTAGAACTCCGATCTTGATGTCACTGCTACAGAATTAGTTGTTAGGATACCCTTCCTGTTTAGACCCAGGGGTTATTGGCTTTATTCTTGTTTTGTTTACTTGCTGTTTGGAAACCTTACTTTATCCTTTTTTTTAATTGGGTGTTGATGTAGTTTTTCATCATGGCTAAAATTTTTTACTATTCAGTCCTTGGGCCCAATGACCATCCAAACTGCTGGTTTGTATCACCTTTATGGACCCAAATCTCTTAGTTAAATCCATTATGTTATTTTTTTTATTGATTCTTATAATTTCTCTTTAACATTTACTAAATAGATTTGCACAGCTGAATTACTTTGTTTTATTTCATTAAATGATAAATTTAAACGCATGTAAATTGTCATGTATTAGTTTACGCTTCTTCATATAGTTATAGGTATTATAGGGAAATTTTCCTTGTATAATGTCAAAAACTCTTATTAAATGAGATTTTTTCGATGATGAGTGGCATTCAGTCAAATTTGATAGATTCTATCACAGAAGTCAAGAAACCTTAAAAAGGATGAAAATTTGGAATTGAGCCATGAAAAAAGAGATGAGGGTATTGAGAAACAACTTATAACTAAAAGAGCTTATAGACCTACTATCGATCAATCAGAAGTTCTAACAACACACTGCTTAATAGAGTTTTTCTAAAACTCACCCTAATATTGGTTAGAATTTATTGCTGAAAAACAAAATTGAGAGAGAATAAATAAGTAGAGAGACCCACACAAGATTGTGATTTTCAGTAAATTTCACTCAATAGTAGAAAATGTATTGAAAACAAAATGTTAGAGAGTGCATTGATAGCATTTCTCAAGGATCAACAGAGGGAATGACACAGACTTGTTACAAAAGAATACACTCAAACCTATGGGATCAATTATAAGACATTTGCTCTAATTACAAAGATGAATATATTTAGAATAATTCTCTCAATAAAACCTTACTTTGGATAGGAGTTGCATCAATTTGATCTTAAAAATGTCGTTTTACATGGAGACCTAGAAAATAAGGTAGATTTAAGGATCACACTAGAATATTAGTCTCTCAAAGAAAAAATAAAATGTGCACATTAAAAGAAAAGGTTGCATGTCAAACAATATCTCCGTACATGGATTGGAAAGTTTACCCAAGCTATGTTATTCTTAAGGGTACAAGTATAGTTAATGTGAGTGTAATCATTTTTGTAAAGCATTCACATGATGACAACCTCATTCTTTTGGTGTAGGTAATTTTCTTATAAAGTACGATCTTGACAAAAAGGCTAGAAATTAATTTGAAAGGAAGGACCTGAAAAAGATAAAGTACATTCTTGGCATAGAGGTTTCATATTCAAACAATTCGTCTCCCAAAGAGAGAATGTACTTGACCTTCTCAAAGGCACTTGTAAATTGGGTTTTAAATGTTGGATTCCCCTTGAACAGAATCACAATGATGGAAATGATGAGGAGGTCCCAAAAATGGAGAAGGCCCAATATCAAAGACTTGGAGAAAAGTTATTTATCTATCCTACATTAGGATAGTATCGTAAATATATAATAGCACTATTTCAAAATGTAACAATATCTGTAATGATCCCTGTAATTATTTGATTTACTTGTTTCCCATATTTCCAAATCATGATATTGTTAGGATTAGCCTATATAATGACACCGGCACTTATACATTTTTATCAACATATTTCAGTTTTTCTGTTATTTCCACTATAATGAATGCTTATCAATTCATAAAAAGCTGGTCATAGCAAGAATTTTACCACCAAATGACTAAGATATAATAAAATAACATCAATACAGTGTAAATAGGTTGCAATCTCAGACCTCCCTGCGAAGAAGCAAGTTTAGAGAACTGCAATAAGATTTTCTCAGTGGGCCCAGACAATTCTTATCAAGAACCTGCAAGTTTACATGAAGCTAATTAAGAAACTAACAAAGAAATTAATTCAGTGAATATAGAAACTCAAAACAGAACTTTAAGCAGAAATTATAAGTCATTCATATTTAAACCTTTAAATGCTTAAGAAGACGTGCATATGTCCTGCACTTGAACCTCAAGTCAGAATGATCTGGTCTTTTCAACTGTCCTCGCTGTTTAGAGTAAGCAAACAAAGTGAAAAATGAAAAAACCTAATTTCTAATACTTCAAAAGTTTATCAAGAAATTTTGTAGAAAATACCTGAGAAAAGTAATTTTTGTCATTCATAATGAAGTCCACAAAAGTAGCAAAGTAATTTCTCAAGTATTCACAAGCTTTCCCAACAAAAGTAGACTTTATTATTTGAAGTTCTCCTCGCTTCTCTTTAACCTGTACGAATAGAAGAAAGAAACCACCTTAAACAAATGACTTTTAGGTCCTATATATGTTTTCCACGCTGCCCGTGGCAAATATTTATTTGCCCAGTGATGCCCGAAATTCACACTATTGAAAATAAATAGCTTCACAAACCAATCCAATGAATGTAATTATAATTGTCACCTTAAATCTATTTTATTTATTTAACACTAACAAAAAAACAAGCCGGCATGTACCTTGAACTAATGATTCCTAAATTATTAAAACTTGCTTTAACATCATGAGAGGTAAGGCAAAGAACATACTGCTCTCATTTTTGCGTAAGTAGGATCTATGTTGGGAACTTCTAGTCCTCGCATGGCAGTTGTCAACCATTCACATGCTTCTATATTTTGCTGCAATTGTGCTTCAACAAATGAATCTCCTGTCAAACATGCTGAATACTACACCCAATGAAACAACAACAATTACCAAGTTATTAAAAAGTCATCAAACTCAAAAAAATGAGAATTCAACACTGGAAGGCATACCTCAGAAGGGATACTCAATTGCTCAAGAAGCTTATCAAGCTCTTCAATAAGAGTTCTGTTATTTACATTTTGCATTTCCAACTTGTTATTGCGGGTTTCAATCTGTGATACCAAAAACGAAATGAGACAAATAAAAAAAAAAAAACTCATTGAAATTCTTTAAGTCAAAGTGGACATGATACTAAAGGGTTGGGAGGATAAGAGATCTTCCTTACAAACAAAGAGAATATCAATAAAGCAAAGTTGCCCAGTCTCAACCTATTTCTAAGAGTAGAAATAACCATAATTTTTACGCCAAATAGAAGCCAAATGCCTAATCTTTATCCCAAACAAGTTTTTCATTCAAAGACATCTCCATAAAGAAGTGAAAATTACACTCCACCTATATGCACCCAAGATTGAACTTGATTGATTTAAACAGAGAACAGAAATTTTATATTGTTTTCTGTTAATTTACGCCAGTAGGTACACACACATAGAGAGAGATGAAAAATAAATGCTAACCAAGTGATTTTAGGCCACAAATGTTAAGATTGAATATGAAATTCTCTCCTAACCTCACTTTCTCTCGGAACTCAGAGAAGAAAGGGAATTATAACTGCCGAAATGTTATTATTGATGAACAAGATACAAGAGATTTGTTTTCTTATATAGGCTAGGATTTCTAACTACTACTTGTTATCTTTGGTTCCTAATTCTAACAACTAACAAAATTAACCACCAAAATTAATTAAATCTGTCAGACCACTAACTGCTAACCTCCTTAATTTTTTAAATTTACAAATGACCTATTACAACTTTCCCTCCCATGAAGACAAGACCTTGTCCGCAAGGTCGAACTATATTGAAGTCCACTGGAATTCTGGAAACTTTTCCTTCATTTGCTGTAACTCATGCCATGTGGCATCTTCCGGATTTGTGTCTTGCCATTGAATTAAAACTTCTGTGACAGCTCTGTTGTTCCTCTTCTTCAATCTTCTGTCAAGTATTACTAGTGGTTGCATCTCGGGTTCACCATTTTCTCGTTAAGTGAGGAAGTGTCGTGGATCATCGGTTGATTTCCATGGTGCTGTTTCAACAATGAGATGTGAAAAATATTATGGATTTTGGACCCTGCAGGTAGTTCAAGTTTGTAGGCCACTTTGCCAATCCTTTCTATAACCTTGTAAGGACCGTAGTACCTAGTCTGCTAACTTGTGGTATGAAGAATTTGCCAATGAGTGTTGTTTATATGGTTGGATTTTTAAGTATACCAAATCACCAATGTTATACTCCTTATCAATTCTTTTCATGTCAGCATAAAGCTTCATCCTGTCTTGTGCTTTCGTCAAATTATCATGCAATACTCTAGCTAACTGTTCTCTTGTCTTCATAGTGTACTCGACAGCTTCAATGAGAGATTCTTCTTGTAATATAGGACAAGGTGCTACAGGTTTATATCCATAAAGTGCTTCAAATGGTGTCATCTGAATGGCAGTGTGGAATTTGGTATTATACCAAAGTTCAGCCATTGGTAAATACCTTGTCCACTGTTGGGGAAGATCTCCTGTCACACATCTCAAATATCCCTCTAGTGCCTTATTCAATGCCTCTGATTGGCCATCTGTTTGAGGATGAAAGGCTGTGGATCTAAGTAGCTTCACCTTATTTGCTTTCATTAATGCAGACCAGAATGTACTAAGAAAAATGGGATCTCTATCAGACACTATTTCTATTGGCCAAGAATGTAACTTGACAATGTTGTCTAGGAATATTTCTGCAATTTTAGCAGCTCCAAAGGGGTGTTGTAGAGGCAGAAAGTGTGCATATTTTGTGAATCTATCAATGACCACAAATATTACTGTCATTCCATTAGATTTGGGGAGTCCCACTATAAAGTCCATGGAAATAGATTGCCAAGCTTTCTCTGGAAAATGCAGTGGTTGAAGTAAGCCAGTAGGTGCTTGGTTAGGTGATTTGAATCTTTGACATACTTGGCATTCCTGCACCCATTTCTTTATAGTCTTCTGCATACCTTTCCAATAAAAATGCTCCTTAATCCTTTTGTATGTTTGGTCTGCTCCAGAATGACCACCTATTGTTGAATCATGGAAATGCTTGAGGATTTTTGCTTTTAGCTCTACATTCTCCCCAACTACCAATTTGCCTTTTCTTTTTAGCAATGCATTACCAAAACTATAGTACTTGTAAGGTAGTTGTGTCATCCTGATTCTATCAATAATCTTTCTCAGTTTCATATCAGTTTGCCAAGTCATTTTCACTTCTTCTACAAGTTCAGATGTTGCCTGTAAGATGACCTTGAGTTGACCAAATACTGTTTTCCGGGATAAAGCATCAACTACAACATTATCCTTGCCTTTTTTGTAATCTATGCTGAAGTCTAGACCATTAATTTCTCCAATCCCCAGTTCTGCATTAGAGTTGTAGGTGGTTGTTCAATGAGGTGCTTTAGAGGTTTTTGGTCAGTTCGAAATGTTGGCCTAGGAAGTAGTGTTGCCACTTCTTTACTGCAAACAATATTGCATAAAATTCTTTCTCGTACGCAGATAATAATTGAAACCTTTGTCCCATTGCTTTACTGATGTAAGCTATAGGATGCCCTTGTTGCATGAGTACTGCTCCAATTCCTGTTTTAGAAGCATCAGTTTCAACAGTAAATGGAAGTGAGAAGTCTGGCATAGATAATACAGGTGTTGTGATCAAGGCTTGTTTGAGTGCTAAGAAGGTTGTTTCAGCATTGTCACTCCATGTAAATTCTTTGTCTTTTTGAAGCAAGGTTGTTAAGGGAGCAGCAATGCAACCATAATTTTTTATGAATCTCCTGTAGTAGCCGGATAGCCCAAGAAATCCTCTTAAATCCTTCACATTCTTAGGGGTAGGTCACTGTTGTACTGTTGTTATCTTATCCAATTCAGGAGTTACCCCTTGAACTGAAATAACATGGCCTAGATATTGAATCTGGCTTCTAAAACCTGTAATTGTTGACAATTCAAGGACTTGATGTTGCACTTGATGAATATGAAGAATGGATTTTGATGATGATCCAAGAACTAAAGACTTAGAATATTGAAGATTGAAGATTGGTGATAATTGTATTGTAATAACTCTGTTTTATTTAAGATTGAGTCTGTATTTTTAGAGTCTAAGATAGCCGGTACATAGTCCGTAACTTAGAAGCTTCAAAAAGCTCAAATTTATCATTTAGGCTCGGCTTTAATCGATTATATAGGTAAATAATCGATTAAAACAAGTGAGAAAACACTTTCTATACAAACTCACTGTTTTAATCGATTAAAACAACAAAATAATCGATTGTTTTGTACTCGATCCGTACTGAGATAATCGATTATTTCACCAAATAATCGATTAATCCGAGAGGTTTGGGTTCCGACGTATTTGGCTTCTGTTTTAATCGATTATCACTCCAAATAATCGATTATTTCGACTCGTTTTTCATTTTAAATTTCAAATTAACCCTATTTTCGAAAACCCAATTGCCAAGAACCCTAGTTTCGAAATTCCCAATTCCTAAACCCTAATTTCCCTACTTAAACTCTGCTTTGGCACTCGTAAAATAAGAACAACTCTTTCCATACAAAAGTTAAGTGTCTGTGAGTGCCGCAGAACTGTTTGTTGCAAGGAAAGGGGGCTTTTGGAACCTGGTGTGAGGCTAGAAGCGATAAGAATCACTAAGTGGAGTTCTTAGTGGATTGTGTGTTGTGCCGTCTCTAGGGAAAGCTGTTTTTCATCTCTTGTGGATTTCAAGAGAGGTGTTTTCGTATCTTTATCTTTTCATTTGTAATCTGTTTGTAACAATTTGTTCTTAGTGACAGCGTTAATCCTCTTTTGAGTGATTAGCAACTGAACGTATGGTCTTTTGATCCGAACCAGTATAAACCTACTGTGTAATCTTCTCTACTCTTCTCTATTTACATTTACGCAGTTTTTAATCGGTAAAATTTGGGGAAAATTTTGAAAACCTAATTTTTATTAAAAATCCAATTCACCCCCCCTCTTGGTTTTTGTCCGACCACGCGAACATTCCGCTGCGCGATTCTAACAAGTGGTATCAGAGCTTGCTTTGATAGTCATTCAAATTTTCGAAAATGGCCGAACAAAATCAAACTTTTGCCGAAGGTGCGTCTATCAACGCACCCCCACTTTTGCGGGTCAAAATTATCCTTTTTGGAAAGTACGTATGCAAATATTTTTAGAGTCCGTTGATAGAGACGTTTGGGACGCTATTTTAAACGGTCCATTTGTTCCTAAAATTACAGAGAACGGTGTTGACGTTCTTAAACCTATTTCTAGATGGACTGCAGAAGAAAGTCGAAAAGCACAATTTGATGTTAGGGCTAGAAACATTATTTCATCTCGCTCTAACCCTTGATGAGTTCTACAGAATTTCTATTTGTAAAAGTGCACAGGAAATGTGGGAAATGCTAAGGGTGACCCACGAAGGAACTGACGACGTCAAAAGAGCACGTAAAAATTCTTTAATCCAAGAATACGAGATGTTCCGGATGCAACCCGGCGAAACGATTTTCGACGTTCAAAAGCGTTTCACTCATATTGTGAATCATCTCACCGGATTAGGTAAAGTATTTGACGTTGATGAATTAAATGTTAAAATTTTGAAATCTTTGGATAGGAAATGGCAACCTAAGGTGACGGCCATCTCGGAGTCACAAAATCTTGCCACTATGTCTATGGCGGCGTTATTTGGAAAGGTTAGAGAGCATGAACTTGACCTTGGAAGACTAAATGAGGAAGAGGGTCAATATCAAAAGAAGAAGCTAGCTTTCAAGACCGAGATTTCAAAAAGCAAAAATAAGAAAGAAGAAGAAGAAGACTCCGAAATTGATGAAGAAGAGATGAGTCTTTTTATAAAGAAGTTCACCAAGATGATGAAAGCAAAAGGAAGACATCCTTTCAAAGGTAAGGGAAAGGTAAAAGAAAATTCTTCCGTTAATATAAAATGCTTTGGTTGTGGTGAAGCAGGGCATATAAAGACCGAATGCCCAAACAAGAAAAATGATGAACACAAGGGCAAAAAGCAATTCAAGAAGAAAGCATATATTGCTTGGGATGACAGTGATTCAAATTCAGAATCAAGCGACTCGGAAATAGAAGCAAACAATTGCTTAATGGCAAATGACAACATTTCTTCGGATTTTGAGGTTAGTAATTCCGATTCATCCTCTAGTGAAGAAAATGACCATGATGAATTGCAAAATGCTTATAATGAGTTATTTACTGCATTTATGGATATGAAAAAAGAATATAAAGTTGTAAAGAAAAATCTAAGAAGATCCGAAAAGGAAAATGAGTCCTTAAAATTGAAAATTGCATGTTTAGAAGAAAAGGAGGTAGCTAATACGAAAATTGTATGCTTAGATGAGAATAAGGACTTAGCTTGTGCAAATTGTAAAGAGCATGAATATGACATAGATATTCTTAACCATTTGCTTGACAAAGCCGAAAAAGAAATTGATGATCTTAAGAAGCATGAAATGGTAATTGCTCAAAATAATGTAAATCAAAGAGTTCCTTTGAAAAAGAGTAAATCTAAAAAGAAAAGAGTATGGGTAGAAAAAGGAACTAGAGCATGTCATGTAAATAATGCATCTTATTCCATAGCTACATCAAAAGCATGTTTTTATTGCATGAAACAAGGTCACACTTCAAATAAGTGTAAAATCAAACATTTTGGTGTTCCTAAAGGTAAATATATTTGGGTTCCTATAGTTAAATGAACTATTTGTATCTTGTATTTATTCAAAGAAAATGGATCATTTAGTATGTTTTAAACAGAATGATTAGGTAAAAACATTTTATCTTTTCTATTGCATGAAGGTTCTTCACTTAAAGATTTTTGCGAAAAGCCTCTAAAATTGTTTTAAACAACTAAAAACAAAGTTTTTTTTTACAAAAGCTTTCTTAAAACATGTTTTTAATCGATGCAGCTTTGAAAGAACCAAATAAAATCACTTAGAATGTTCAAAGAAGTGTTTTTACAGTATTTTAATCGATACAACTTGTTTTTAATCGATTAAAATCATTTAGAACTCATCGTGATCGATCAGATTTTTATTATGAGCTGGTCGAATCTTTTAAATCGATTAAAAACACGTTTCAATCGATTAAAATCACTTAAAGGGTCGGATGATCGATCGAATCAAATTATAACCGATCGAATTCTTTTCAATCGATTAAAACACGTTTCAATCGATTAAAATCATTTAAAGGGTCGATGATCGATCGAATGCAATTATGACCGATCGGAATCGCTTATGATCGATCAGAATTTAGTTATGACCGATCGAACTCTTTTAATCGATTAAATCTCGTTTCAATCGATTAAAACAACTTAAAAATTTTCTACACTCGCGTTTTAATCGATTAAAAGACGTTTTAACAGATTAAAACTGCACTTTTAACAGATTAAAAGAATCTTTTAACAGCATTAATTAAACCAAGCAGCTTTGAAAATCTTCTATAAAAACAAGTTTGGCTTGAACTTTTTAAAACACACATTGAATATAAGTTTTCACACATCCTTTAGCAATCAATCAAGCAACTGCGGTGCAAACACTTTGGAGATCAAGGATGTGCTACTTGTTGATGATATTATTGGATCAACTGATAGTTTGTTATGTGTAGAATTTGCTAAGATAATGCAGGGAGAGTTTGAAATGTCTATGATGGGAGAATTGACATTCTTCCTTGGACTACAAATCAAGCAACTTAAAGATGGTATTTTCATCTCTCAAACCAAATACCGCAAAGAGATCCTCAAAAAGTTTGGTATGGACACCTCAAAGGAAGCTAACACACCCATGGGAACTTCATGCTATCTAGACAAGGATGAATCAGGTTTGGAAGTTAATCAAACTATGTATAGAGGTATGATAGGATCACTATTATACTTAACCGCTAGTAGACTCGATATTATGCATTTTGTCTCGTGTGTGTGCTAGATTTCAGGCTTGTCCTAAAGAATCTCACCTAATTGCAGTAGAAACATATTTTAAAATACTTAAAAGGAACTACTGGGTTTGGCTTGTGGTATCCGTCTCGATGCTTGTATTAGTTTATTAGGATATTCTGATGCTGATTATGGTGGATGTAAAATTGATAGGAAAAGCACTAGTGGGACATGTCATTTGTTAGGTTCATCCTTAATATCATGGCATTCTAAGAAACAAGCATGTGTAGCTTTATCTACCACCGAAGCTGAATATATTGCAGCAGGTAGTTGTTGTGCTCAAATTCTCGTGGATGAAACAACAGTTAGAGGATTATAGTATATATTTAAATGACATACCCTTAATGTGTGATAATACGAGTGCAATCAATCTAACTAAGAATCCAAGAATGCACTCTAGGACTAAACATATTGAGATTAGACATCACTTTTTAAGAGATAATATCAAGCAAAGGAAACTGTAAGATAGAGTATGTAGACACTAAACGTCAATTAGCAGATATATTTACTAAGCCTCTACCAAAGGATAGATTCTATGATCTTAGAAGAGACTTAGGGATATTAGAAATAGCTTAAATTTCGCTTAATTTGACTGTTTTTGGATGATTGTTATGTTAAAATTCGTGTTGTAGGATATTCATAGGTTATAATGTGTAAAACCTTAAAAACTTGATATAGCCTCCGGAATAATCGATCATCGGAAGTAATAATCGATTATTTTTTCTCAAAACGTCCAAAACAGGGTATTCTCCTCCGGAATAATCGATTATTTCGTGAAATAATCGATTAAATGCCTTCGACAATCGATTATTTGCTAGAAATAATCGATTAAAACTGTCTCGATATAGAGAGAATCAATGTATTTTCTTTTGTTATTGTCTTGATGTTGTAATGGTTGAATGATTGTGAAATAAAATTTGATGTTTCTTTCATGCTATAATTGAGGGGGAGCTTTCTCTAACTTATGCATATTTTGAGGGGGAGCTCTTATGATTGATGTTGCAGAGTTCTTTTTGATTATAATCAAAATAGGGGAGAAAAATTTAAAGCCTATGATTCAATTTTAAATTTTATCTCGGTATGTTTAATGCGTTTGTTAGTATGACAGATAAAACAAGTTATTACAAAGGGCTTTAAAAGAAAATTTTGATCATCATCAAAAAGGGGAGATTGTTGACAATTCAAGGACTTGATGTTGCACTTGATGAATATGAAGAATGGATTTATGATGATCCAAGAACTAAAGACTTAGAATATTGAAGATTGAAGATTGGTGATAATTGTATTGTAATAACTCTGTTTTATTTAAGATTGAGTCCGTATTTTTAGAGTCTAAGATAGCTCGGTACATAGTCTGTAACTTAGAAGCTTCAAAAAGCTCAAATTTATCATTTAGGCTCGGCTTTAATCGATTATATAGGTAAATAATCGATTAAAATAGTGAGAAAACACTTTCTATACAAACTCACTGTTTTAATCGATTAAAACAGACAAAATAATCGATTGTTTTGTACTCGATCCGTACGAGATAATCGATTATTTCACCAAATAATCGATTAATCCAGAGAGGTTTGGGTTCGACGTATTTGGCTTCTGTTTTAATCGATTATCACTCCAAATAATCGATTATTTCGATCTGTTTTTCATTTTAAATTTCAAATTAACCCTATTTTCGAAAACCCAATTACCAAGAACCCTAGTTTCGAAATTCCCAATTCCTAAACCCTAATTTCCCTACTTAAACTCTGCTTTGGCACTCGGAAAATAAGAACAACTCTTTCCATACAAAAGTTAAGTGTCTGTGAGTGCCAGAGAACTGTTTGTTGCAAGGAAAGGGGGCTTTTGGAACCTGGTGTGAGGCTAGAAGCGATAAGAATCACTAAGTGGAGTTCTTAGTGGATTGTGTGTTGTGCCGTCTCTAGGGAAAGCTGTTCTTCATCTCTTGTGGATTTCAAGAGAGGTGTTTTCGTATCTTTATCTTTTCATTTGTAATCTGTTTGTAACAATTTGTTCTTAGTGACAGCGTTAATCCTCTTTTGAGTGATTAGCAACTGGACGTAGGGTCTTTTGATCCGAACCAGTATAAACCTACTGTGTAATCTTCTCTACTCTTCTCTATTTACATTTACGCAGTTTTTAATCGGTAAAATTTGGGGAAAATTTTGAAAACCTAATTTTTATTAAAAATCCAATTCACCCCCCCTCTTGGTTTTTGTCCGACCACGCGAACATTCCGCTGCGCGATTCTAACAGTAATGCCTTCTTCAAACAAACCATGTGATCTTCCCATGTCTTGGTGTAAACCAAGATATCATCAAAAAAAACAAGAATGAATTTTCTAAGATATTCCCGGAATATGTCATTCATCAAATTTTGAAAGGTAGTCAGAGCATTACTTAGCCCAAATGGAAGTACCACCCACTCATAGTGACCACTATGAGTTCTAAAAGCAGTTTTGTGGATATCACTTTCATGCATCCTCACTTGATTGTAGCCACTCTTTAAATCCAGTTTTGTAAAGTATGCGAGCACCATTAAGCTCATCCAGTAGATCTTCTATGAGAGGAATAGGAAATTTATTCTTGATTGTCATGGCATTCAATCGCCTAAAATCTGTACAACATCGCCAACTTCCATCCTTCTTTTTAACCGGAACTAAGGGTGACGAGAATGAACTTCCACTTTCCCTTATGAAACCGAGTCTTCAACATTTCTTTAACTCTGTCTTTCTATTTCTTCTTTTTGTGCTCTGGGATATCTGTAAGATTTGAGGCGAGATTGGCTTTTCAGCGACTAACTCAATCTTGTGGTCATATCTTCTATTAGGTGGTAATGTTGTAGGTTCTACAAACAATTGTGAATACTCCTGCAATATATCCTCCAATTCGGCTTGCCATTCGGGGCCAATTTCCTTTTTAGTATCGGGTATGGTGATGGTAAAGCAAAATGGTCCTAGGATAGGTAATAGCATTGTTTGCATAGTGATTGCCCTCAACTTTCCAGTTCCATCAATCATTGCAATTTGTTGTGGTTCTCCTTTAAGAAATATTTGCTTGCCAAGATGACTCGAATTTCATAGTTAATTGGGCACAATTCCATGTGATTTCCCCTAGTCCTTTGAACCATTGCATGCCAAGTATTACCCCAAATGAAGATCCAGGAAGAACCAAAAAATCTGCAGTGAATGAATTATCACCAAACTTCCACTCAACTGCATCACACTTTTTTGTGATCATCACCGGTTTGTCACTAGCAATCATTACTGGGAAGTCCTTGACAGATTGAGACTTGAGACCCAATGTCTTTACCCATTTTGCCGATATAAAATTGTGTACTACCTGTATCCATCAAGAATGGTATATGTTGCCTCTTAATCAAGCCTTGTAGTTGCAATGTATTTCCTCCAGCAATACCCCTTAATGCATGCAATGAGATATGGGCTTTTGCATCATTAAGCATGTTTAAACTCCTTTCAAGGACAGAGTTATCGTCCTTCTTACTATTGATATCATCTTCCTCGCTTTCAATAACTTCTTGTTCACAGAAAATGACATTTAACTTACCCCATACTTTACACTTCTGTCTATGGCTCATTTCCCATTTTTCACCACAGAATCTACATAGTCCTCTAGAAATTCTGTCACTGACATCTTTTCTAGATATTGTTGATTGATGATTCTCCGTGTTTTCAGGTTTGGGTGATGAAGTAGAAGATTGTTGAGGAAGTGATTGTTGCAAACTTGTAATGGGTTGATTTCTATAATGAGAATATGAATTGGTCCAAGATTTGGAATAACGAATTTGATTGTCATTGGAATTGTTTCCCCCTTGTAACATCTTCTTTTCAAATTCCTTCAAGATTTCTTCTTGTAATTTTGCAAATCTGACACCTTCATGCAAGTTTCTTGGATTATGCAGGCGAACAGATTTTTCCAATTGTGGTTCAAGACCTGATAGGAAAAAACTGAGAGCCATGTTCTCAGTGATTGAGACTCTTGCCAAGAGGTTGTCAAATTTTTCCAGAAATTGGCTTCGGGAATCTTGTTGTTTTAGCTTGGAGATTTCTGCAATTGGATCATCAAACCCTCCATCATCAAATCTGGTTCCAGCATCATCAAGAATTTCTGTCCAAGATTTTTGGTTGAATTCTAGGTTTTTCATATAATGTCTTTGCCATGCAAAAGCTTTTCCTTCCATAGATAAGAGCAACAATTTGCCCCTTTGCTGTTTTGGAGTTTCCTCCAATTCAAAAAGCTGCTTCTGCTTTGGCTCTCCAATCTCTATAGTTAGTACCATCGAAGGAAGGAAATTGAATATGTGTTCGATTCAAAATTGAGTTTTCCTTATGCCCGAAGTTTCGCTCTCATAATCTGATGGAGTTCCATCTGTGTTTGATGATAACGCAGCCACCTTTGCAGTGAGTCCTTCGATTGCTTTGGCTAGAGAATCTAGGGTTTTCTGTGTTTGTTCTTGAGAATCCGTGATAAATTTTTCGAAAGAATCGACCTTTATCTCCAATTCTTTATTTGACACCATGATCTTGTTTCCTAGCTTCTTGATACCACCTGTTAAGATTGAATATGAAATTCTCTCCTAACCTCACTTTCTCTCGGAACTCAGAGAAGAAAGGGAATTATAACTGCTGAAATGTTATTATTGATGAACAAGATACAAGAGATTTGTTTTCTTATATAGGCTAGGATTTCTAACTACTACTTGTTATCTTTGGTTCCTAATTCTAACAATTAACAAAATTAACCACCAAAATTAATTAAATCTGTCAGACCACTAACTGCTAACCTCCTTAATTTTTTAAATTTACAAATGACCTATTACAACAAATTTGCACAAAATGATAGTAAAAGAGTAACTAGGAAAAGTAATCCTAATCACAATGAATAAGGAAATGTTACATGCTACAACAATCCCTTTTAGTTGGTGAATGAGTCTATCATACCCTACTTGCTAGTGATATATTGAAAGCATTATGTGATAAGTCCCTTGGTTAGTATATCGCCTGCTACAGTTTTGAAGGGGCAAGTATAGTAATTTTAAAACAACTCTCCAATTTTTCCTTAATAAAGTGACCATTTTTTCGCGTTTTGTCTGTCATATTGAACTTGATTATAGGTCATGCTTAGGGCTTATTGTTAGCACAAAGTAGCTTCATAATGTGTCTTGATATTTAATTTAGAGTTTGTTAAAGTATTATTTCATTCATAATATTTCACAAACTCCTTGAGCTATAGCTTGGCTAATATCCTTATTTCTATACACATGCTTATAAAATATTTGACTAGCTCAATAACACTTTTCTATTATCATTGTACCTTTCATGACCTTGCCACAAGAAATATGACTTTAAAAGTTAAAGAGGGTGGCAGTCTCTCAAGAACCAAAAGTTACCGTCACGATGACATACAAATCCAATACATGACAGTCTCTCAGATAAGCTTCACCATAAATGACTTGAAAATCATTTGTTTAGTCTTCTTAAGTCTTTAGTTCTTTACCTGGTTACAAAAGAACTTGTTGACTGTTACAATTTTGATATTTGTCTGGTGTCAAAACACCATCATGCATATTTTCCTATTAGTAGTAATAAAGGTTTTTTTCGTTTGATCTAATTTATTCTTATGTTTGTGGAGCAGTTTAAAGTCTATATCTGGTGCAAAACAGTTTTTGACCTTTATCAATGACTGTATCTAAGTAACATGGACATACCCCATGAAAAATAAATTTGAGATCAATTTTTTATTTTCTTTCGTCCTCTCCAAATCAGTTTGGCAAGTCCATCAACAGAAAAATATCAAATAATGGTTTAGAATTTGTATATCACAAGTTTGAAGGAGAAAACTACCAAAATTTTTTGAAAGCAAGAGCTTGACCCATTAAAAAATTATCTTGGAATTGAATTTGTAAGGTCTACGAAAGATATTTTTATAACTATTAAAAGTAAGTTCTAGATCTTTTAAAGAAAAAGAATTACTATGTAATGCTGCTAAAACTCCAATGGAGCCCCACATGAAATTGCAACTAACTAAAAATGAAGATATGGTTTCACAAAGGCAGGTGTTGGCTACTAGTAGAAAGGCTAATATCTATCTATCTATCTATCTATACACACACACACACACACACACACATATATATATATATATATATATATATATCATACTTATCCGAACATAGCTTTTGTTGTAAGCATGATAAGCCAGTTTATGCTTGCACCATGACCTAAACACTAACCAATTTTCAGGATTCTAAGATACTTAAAGGGATCATGTAGGTAGGGGCTACTAGATAAAAATCAAGATTCACCAAAAGTACCACCAGAACATTGCTCCAAATGAAAAGGACAGACCCAAGATTCACAAAAGGTACTAGCATACCGGGTTTTCTATTCTAGATGAAAGTATAATTTGGACAAAGTCAATTAATTGGGTAATTTTTTGAAGCTAAAAGGTGTACAAAAGACAAATATCAGGAGATAGAGAAATTATTTTCATAGTTTTACTCATCTTTTTCATTTTCATATCACTCTTTGTATTGATTTTGCAAAAATAAATTAAAATAATATAAGCTATTAATATAACTTAATAAAAATCTGATTGAGTTACAAAGCCATAACTAGAAGGACAAAATGACAAACAAATATTTAACTACAAAAAAATACTATAATAATTCATACGTAGTATTGTGTTTTTAGCCAATGAACTAAAACAATCAACTTAATGAGCTAGGGTTCTAGTAAACACTAGTATAATAAATACCACAAAGTAAATTGCAAAGCAAATTAACTTCCCAATTTGAACTCTACAACACTTACTGATTCAATATCTTCCCTCATGTGTCGGAGTTTCACATTGAACATGCCTAACCATTCATCCATGTCTTCGACACAATTTGTTACTGATTCAAGCCCATACAACACCTGTATCGCATATGTTATTAGTATGAACCACTTCATAAAAACATGTTGAAATTATTTTAACCACGTAATGACAAGAAACATGAAGATTCGTAAAATGATGTAGACTTTTACTTATATCACAAAAAAAAACTAATGATTGATGCTAGAATATTGTATATAAGTTAGATTTTTTGTATTGTTGATGTTAGAATCATAGGTGTAAACTTTTTAGAAACTGTGGGCGTTTTATTTTTCTCCCTGTCGTCACTGTTCATTGTTGATGTTACTATTCACTTTTAGTGAGCTTTTTGGCATATCTATTATTTTTGCAACTGGACTCGCTATGTTGTGAGTTTAGGATATGGTCCTTCTTCCACTTTGACAGGTTTTGGCCAACTATCCTCTGTTTGACTTGTTATTCTCTGCTTGGCTTTTTAAACACTATTTGACCATTTTTCTCTTTCTTTGAGGCTAATCCATAATGACTCTAAAACTTTATACATTTGTTTTCACCAACTTTGTCACTGTGCCGCTATCTATCGACAAGTTGGATTGCAGTAACTAGGATTCTTAGACCTTAGACATCAAACTTTGGCCCAAGAGTCAAGGTTATCTTGACTATCTCCTACTACAAAAGAAATTGTGGCTAAAACTAACCAACTTTTAAATGGAGTAAAATTGATGTTCAACTTTATGGGATCATCAAATCTACTTATTCATCACTCTGTCAAATAGACTTTCTACTTCCATGACACGTGTGAATCAACAAAAGTCAAGTCGATTTACACTAATGACATAACAAATCTCTATAGAGTATGTTAACACCTCATGAATGTGATTGAGGCACAGACATTTGATATAACCGTGTTGACCTATTTGGGTAGTGTAAATGGTATTATTTATGATTTAAATGAACTTTTGCCTCCTACTATGAACCCTACCAAGGAAATAGAGAATCGTCAAACCTTTTTATGTTACTAACTTTGAATGGCTTACTTGCAAAATACTCTCAAATTGAGGACCAGATTTTAGGATCCCTTTTTGCCCCCATTACTATTTGGTCTTATTTATTTTGCATTCCTTCTAAAACAATCACCAACTCACAATTGGTTTGGCCCCCATGCCATCTACCCTTACCTTCATTCATAACATACTCTAACAATCTTAAACGATTTTCTTCAATGGTATAAGAACCATCATGCCTCTAATTCCACTGCTTCTATTGTGCACACTAGTTTTGTTGGCATCTATCACACTTTTGGCCCCTAGGTCCTTGATTACAAGGCTAGTTATCATATTACTAGTAATAAATATTTCTTTTCATCTCTTTTTAGTTTTGGTTATTTATCTTTTGTCACCATGGAAAATGTTCACAAATGCAAGGATACTTTCATTAACTCCCTAGGGTTCCCTTTAATCAATTATCCATCAGTAAACTTGTAGGGTCTTTTAATTGTATCATTTCTTCCACAAACGATTTTGTTTCCTCACAAGACCAAAGGGTGGAAGATTGCCTTTGGATGTGAATCTCATGGCCACTATTAGCTAAACAAGTCTTCTCTTGTTGGATTTGCAATAGCATCCCCACTCCTAATTCATGCTCAATTAGGATATCCAAGTCTTGATAAGTTGAAATATTTAACACCTAGCCTTTCTTATTCATTGTCTTGTGAATCATGCCAATTAGGTAAGTATATTTGTAGTGCTTTTTCTAACAACACTATTAGTTAGGCTAAATCATTTTTTGTTTGGGGCCAAAGTCGTATTTCCTCTACATTACGGTCAAGACATGTTACTTTCATAGACAATTTTTCTTATTTTACTTTGGTATATTTAACGAAAGATCATTCAAAATTATTTTCTATTTATCAATCCTTTTTTCATGAAATTTGTACTTTACAAAGTAATAATACACATGAGTATGTAATGGATATTCTGGAAGAAACCGAAATGTTAAATTTCAAGGAATTTGACCACTCGATGGATCACAATGCCAAACTTTGCCAAATTAAGGGTAGTCTTTTCCATATCTTGAAAGATACAACGATTGTTGAGAAAGTTGAACTACCTTATTATTACCGGTTCAAATATCCCATTCATAATAACTATAGTTAGTAAATTCCTTAACTATCAATTGTAAGCAGCTCCATGTCGTCATGCATATTGTCTCAAATCTAGTATTCTGTTAAAAGACAAAACATATTGAAATTGATTGTCACTTTGTTACAGAGAAAGTTATGTCTAAGAAATATCTACTAGGTTTGTCAATTCCTATGATCAACTAGCAGATACATTCACTAGGTTACTAAAGGGTCCTCGGATTAACTAGATATGTAACAAGTTTGGAACAAATGACCTACTTGCTCCAACTTGAGGGTGGGAGTGTGTTAGAATCTTGTAAATATGTTAGAATCCAATATATATAACAATTGATGATATTAAGATGATGATATTAAGAACAATTAGATTGATTCTATATGTATATTACTAGCCTAAAAATGGTAATTGAATATTTTGTATTTATGATCTTTCTCCGATATATTGAATAGCTCTACTATGGTCTAAACACATGGAATTCGTCATGTCTTCTCACTTTTTTCTCTTCTCAAGAGTTGAAGTGACAATACTAGAGATTAAAATATCAACATGAGATTTTGATGTTTTAAGAGGGCCATAAATCATGAAAATTGGTTTAACCGATAAAGAACACCACAAATAGCCCAATGAAACATAAATTGTTTGTTTAGTCTAAAATTTAAAGGGGAGAAAATTAAGCCACAATAAAATACGTGAATCTAGGAGCTTATTTACAGTAACACAAATAGACAGTAAGGTCATACAAAAAAAGAAAGAAAATCAACTTAAAGAACAATTATACCTCATCTACCAAAGGCTCACTTTCTAAAATGGCATGCACATTTGCTGCTTCCAGAGCCTGGAGCTCTCTTTTTAACCTTTCAGAAAAAGCCTCTGCTTCACCAACACCCATGATATAACTGCACATTCAAAGAGTGCATACCCAGAAATTTTGGATAGTGAAGACAAAGTATGATAAAGATTAACATGATAGGAGCAATGTTACTGATGAGGCTACAATAAAAATTTAACACTAATAATATTAAAAGAAATTGAGATAAGTAGGGCCATGTGCCTACTAATAATACTACAAATGTCATGTTTTACCTTCTTTGTACAACAAGCCTCTTCTTTTTAACTTTTTTTTTTATATTTTGGTAATGATGAAAGTTACATACAATAACTTGGTAGAAAATTATTGCATGGTGAGTTATTTTAAGAAATTTTCTTTTCATTTTATTATTATATAAACTGGAAAAAAAAAGTCAATAATTTTAGATAAAATTATGAAACAAGAAGTAGCTTATGACAATTTTTCTTCAAGCTCTGCCACGCTACAGGTCCTCCTACAACAATTTAATTCTTCATACTTGTATGCTAAAAGAAAAAAACACCTAACAAAAGCATTTTTCCTAAAAGGATAACTGAAGTATCTCTGTATCCAACTAACACAAGGAAATAAATATGTTCATTTTTTAACATGTAACAATCACGCTAATACTTGTTACTTTTTGGGGGGGGGCAAACATAACAAGTTTGTCCCAACCTTTTGTTTATGAAAACTAATCCCACATAGAGCTCAGTTTTCCAACTAAGCCATATCTTGCTGTTGCCCTACCATATCAATGCCCTGAATCAATATTAATCACAAAATATGGATAGAAAGTTTGTAAGGGAAGAGAGAGAGACTTTCTATGACATTGCAACAACCATTAGCAGACAGAAGACATGAACTGTATCCTTACTCATCACAGATATTTAACCTAAGAATACAATTTAAGGAAGAAAACAATAGCACCTACGTTCCTAGAAGAGCCTCCATGTCCTCTTCCTCTGCCTGGGAAACAAGTTCCTTTTCAACATAGACTTTCAATTCTGATTCAGACACAGCAGATTCAATAGAAGCACCACCGTGTTGGTTTCTTTGAGCAGAAACTGCAGGTGTATTTTCCTATTTCACAGTTTTAAAATAAATAAACAGAGAAACCAATAGTTTATAATAATTAATAACAATCAGTCACCCAGTAACTATTTATCGAAGTTTAACAACATCAACTAGAAATCAAGGACTTCAAGATCACTAATGAGACTGGTCACACTCTATCCACAGTGATAAATACAGAGTAATTATTAGTTAAAAATGTCAAGTAAAATAGTTATCTATTTCAAAATGGTGATTGCAGCTTGATAGTAAAGGAAGTATATCAAATTTTGAACTTGGGTGATTAGAAGACCATTATGCACCTTAGCCCAAAGAGCCATCTCCACAACATCAATACCAACAACCTTAGGTATGCGACCCAGGACATCTTTGCAGATATTTAAGATACAAAGCAGGAGGCGATTTCTATAAGAGGAGTAATAGATGCAGTGAGCCAAACATCACTCTCCTGACATAAAATGATAAAGGATTAAACTCTGCATCCCTAGATTATACATTTAACAGAGTAACCTGTCATCGGTATTGCGCATTGTCCACTGTGCAGGAGCCACACTCTGGCTTCTAAGGTTATCAAACCCCTATAAGATATGTATGCATTAGTAAATTAAAAAAGAAAAATAGAAAGAAATAAAAAGACATTCAGAAACAAGCTTCTTAATAGGAAATGGATGCATTTGATTTGATTATGTTCCAGAAAATGGGAACATTGTAGTTAGAACATAAAGATATACATGACCACAAGAAAGAATGGAACATTACCAGTGTAAATGTACACCCACTGGGATCATTTGTTACAACTTCCATTTTTGAGAGGTGCTTCAGCTTGTATAACTTAGCAGGCTGCAGCATAAGAAATTTCGTGGTCAATTGAAATAGCTTAAATCTCCAATTACAACAAATTCAAGGTGGAAAAAAGGGACTATGCTAATATTTACTCTGCATTATCAACTAAGTTGGTTTCACTCTATCTATTTCTTCACATTAATAATGATTATAATTTAAGAATAGCTAAATTTGAATATGCTATATCTCGTAGGATTTTATGCATTAGGGAACAGAAATAAAATCATGTTTTGATACTAATATAATGAGATGGATAGAAGTTGCGTGGAAGATAAACATACTATTAAATATGTTCAGGATGGTTTGTTCCTGCAAACTTCACTAAATTTAGATGCTAATCCTCCTTCTCCCCATAATTTTAATCCGTAAATTTCAACCTTGAGTAGTGGTTGGCCTGTGAATTGGCTTTTCATTGAAGATGCATACTAATTTACACTAAGGTTGTGCAATTATTTGACAGATAAAGCAAGGGACATAACATAACTAATCGATGCAGCAAGGGTGAAGGAAACTCACCAAGCATAAGATTATACATTACATTAGAAATAAAATAAGGACAAAGATGGAAAAATCATTTCAGTTAAGTGATAAATAAAATGAAAATTTTGACCAAAACAAAAAATGTCAGCCACACGCAGGACTTTTACTGTATTGAGCTACCAGAGAAGGATAGAATTGGGAAGAGGAGAAGGACATTACCTCAAGCACCCCTCCTGTTGAATACTTTAAAACTCGAAGAAAAGCTTTTGTCCGCTGACCTTTCGCTTTCGCTACACAAAATAACATGCTGTCACCAACAGTGCTCCAAATAAAGAATATAACAAATCATCACCACAGTAACACACGATGAAGTGACCACATTCAATCACCTAACCCATAACATTACCAGTTATGCATACAGTATGAGTTAATGTCTTCAAAATGCTAATCCCTCCCATTTATACCATTATGAAAGGGGAAAATACTATAATCACCTGCTAAATAAGGGATACACAGTTTTAGTTTCTAAATACACACGCACCTGCTGTCAACATGAGACTGGAACCACCAACTAACTGACTTCAAAGCAAGCTAAATCCTATGAAATAAACTCTGGTGTGCTCCATAAGCTAACACAATTCGATGAAAAAGTTTCTTCAAAAATTAAGCGTATCAGTTTATTTTAGCTTTCAAACTCACTTCATTCTAATTTTTTATTTTTCTTATAATTACTTGTGAAAAGTCTATTCAATCATTTGTAATGCAACAGCCAATAAGACATCAGAACCAAAAAGCATCTTGTAATGTATTGTCAACGAGACGAGACATGCACGATTGCTACATTTCAAATGTTTTCAGCGAAATAACCAGGGAATGGATAACTGCGACTCAAATATAAATACACCATGCTTGGCAACACGCGTCCAGATTCAGTGGTTCACATAGTTATCGTGAGGCAAGGTTCTAGTAGCGTGAAAAAGCAATTCCGGCGTAGATCGCACAATGTGGAGAGAGAGAGAGAGAGAGAGAGAGAGAGAGAGAGAGAAATGGCGCGTACTGCAGAGAGCGAGAACCCTAGGCTTAGCCATCTGACGACCAAGCTTAGCAGATTTTCCCCACGTGCCGTGAGTCTTGACGGTTCGAATGGAGAGAATGACCTTGTGCTTGGTGCCCTCAACTGCGTTCTGGCACGCTCGCCGAAGATCGGCATCGTCGGCGCTCGATTTCGCCATTTTTTTCTCTCTGATCTCGAACCAGGAGCGTGTGAGAACTTGGTGCGAAGAGGGAGTGTGCCTGTTATTATTTTTAGCGGTGAGTGTAACAAAATGTCAAAAACGGTTTTCAGTTGGCGCTTTCTCGTTACGTCCTTGGTAACTCGTGTGCTTCACTTTTTAAGCGCTACGAACGATTCGTTGCGATGCCAAAAGCTAATTTGCACGTTCTCAATTATACCTCTCATCTCATCGGATCACCTTACAATTGACGAGTAATTTTTCATTTTTCACCTTAAAAGATTATTTAGGAAAAGGAGAAATATTTCAACGATAAAATTGAGGGTTTATTCATTGGTTATGGTCATTTTTTGTTTAAAAGTATTGATTAAAATAAATACATAAATTATGCATGTTTATTTTATCTCACATTTTTTAAATATATGAACAATGTTTTCATGTATTATCATTGTATTTAGATTATAATGTAGTTTCTTTGTTTTGTTGATAAACAGGTACATTTAGAATAAATTTTGTGGGACTTGATAAGCTGACAGTAGAATTCCCTTTTGTTATTGGGCTTTGGCCGAAAAAGGAAAAGACAAGAGTAGTTAAAAAAAATGGCTAACATGGAAATAAGATACCCTAGTTAAAAAGCTGAGAGAGTTGAGACAAAGGAAGCAGCGTACAAGTAGTTTTTTTTTTTGTTTTGTAGGGTTTTAAAATTTTGTAGTTTTTTTTTTTGTTTTGTAGGGTTTTAAAATTTTGTATGGAATGCTAAACTTTTCTTTTTGTTAGAGGGTTGATGTAATATTATGTAAGACAGATTCTAAACCTATTTAATTTGATGTAGTGTAATTTTATTTACTCCAAGTATCTTATCTATGGTTTTTCATATTTAATTTTAAGCATTTATATTTAAAAAAATTAACACTATTTATATTGTTAGATGAGATAAGTTGCGTTTTTGTTTAATTGAAAAATTACACAAACTTAAATAGTTTTTGTGGAGGAGAATATTAATTATTCAAGTTTCGAGTGAATCTTTTTTATTCCAAAGAATTGGGAAATTAAAAGTTCAGCGAATAATTTTGTTTACCTAAGAAATTAACAAGTGAATAACACTTTTAACTCTAGTGGGTAAATTTAATTTTTCATCAATTAAATATGTTAGGAATTGGGAAGAAGGAATATAATATCAATTCTCTGACATATATTTTACCACAAAGAAAAATAACTTTTTTGTTGTCATTTTTTGATTATTTTTTTATTAATAATATGATATTCAGCAAATATTCAATACTGAAGACAATAAAATGGTTACTTATATAACAAATTATTCTCTTACCAAATTATACATCAATAAACTTAACTCAAATATTAATTAACATATTACAAAAGTTATATAAAACACTGTTTAAACAAAACAAAAAAGTTAGAATTACAAAGGGTCTTTTGAATGGCATACATCATGCATGATGAGTACTTGCATGAAAAAAATCAATCTTAAAAAAAAAACATTCATCATCACCTTTGAAAACTCATATATAACATTATCCTCGCTCTAACTTTTTTTTTTTGAAGAAGTTGCTAAGGATCAAAGCTAATTGCGCAATTACACTCCCATCATATTTGTATGTAAACTTATAATTAAATATATTAATTTTTCATTTTTTTGTACTACCAAATTTATATTTTTTTTACATCTTTAAATTTATATATTGACACGGACTAAAAATCACAAACTTATGTATTAATATATGCAGAAAAACAAAAAATACTTATGTGGTAATATAAAAATGTGCAAATATATTGTTTGTCCCCCACTGATATAAAGTCATTGTCATTATGAAGACTTGTATTTAGTATATGAGATTACTTGATAATTTATTTTTTATTTTTTTGCCTGATTCTCTTCACATTATTGTTCAGAAATCACGATTTAATTTTCTTAAGCTTTTAATTTTTGATGCATTGTTCGTATACAAAATTGTATACTTCAAAGTAATTAGAAATTAGATATAATTTTTTAAAATAATTTTTATAAAAAATCCTTTTAATTCTCATAAATAGAATAAATACTCATTTTAAAGAATAATGACGGAAGGATTTGTTTTGGATCATTGTTATAGATATTAAATAAAAATTTTGAATTTAATATGTATTTGTCTCAAAAAATAAAGAATATTAATTTTAGTCTTTATAATTAATTTATTTATTTCTATAAAACTTGAAATCATTGTTTTAATCTCTATAAATATGTGAATTTTTTTTCTTCATTTGTTTTCTTTGATTTTCGTTGTTCTAAAATTTAAAATAATTGTGTTAGTTTCTATTCCTCATTTTATGATAGATAAATAATATTATTTTTTTTTAAATGAAGGGCCATATTAGTTTATGGTCATTCCAGTTTTATAATCACCCTATATGAAACTTATGCTTTAGGTTTGAAATACTATCATTAACTCAATCCACTTTCTTTTTCTTTTTTTTTTGGCACAAGTTTATAAAAAATGTCCTGCGTCATTCTAGTAAGGATATGTGTCCAAATATGATTTTCTTCCCAGTTGGCCCACTCGTGCAAGATAGTAAAATTATAAAAACCAACGTGTTTAGTTTGTTTTTGTTTTTTTTTATTATGTCTTCCTTGTTAATTATAAATATATTAGTTTATTTATCAGTGTTTCTTTAAATTTTTTAAAATTAATTATGGAAATATTTATTTAATTTAAAATCCCTCCTAACATTTCGGGAAAAAAAGGGTCAAGTAAATTAATATGGTATTCTTTATAATAAGTATTAATCGTACGTATGCTACTTGAAAATAATATAAGAAAACAAAACAAAACACAGCGTTCACAAAATGCAGGTCATGATCTTAATTGTCTAATTTCAGGTTTTGTTATGTGTTGTCTGTACATTATAAGACAGCAGTTATACCACTTGATAAGTGGTATTTTTAAAAAATAATCATTATGAAAGAGTTGTTGTAATTGTTTAGTTAAATTAGTAATTTAGTCTATTTATTTATTAAAATATTTTAATTTGATCTTAAAATTTTAAAAATTGTTAATTTAGATATGAATATTGAAATTGATATCAATTTTGGACTACAGTGGTTTATGTTTTAACTATTGTTAGGTAAACTGATAATTAAATATAATCTTCAATCTAACGATCAAATATAAAGTAATTTCATACTCATAAACATGTTGTAAACTAAATGCAAAAGTGTACTTGAATTAGTCATAATGATGATGTCTCTTTTAGAGCATTATTGATCTTATGGTCTTCCACCTGAAGAGCACCTGTATTTCCCTCTTGATTTTCTCACTTGATGGGGATAAAAAGAAAAGAACGGGACTGTTACTACGTTCTGTCTACGTGCTCCCAGAAGGGGACCATGACCCCTTAAAATAACCAAAATTAGGTTAATTACTTAAGTTTTAGTATTTCCAATTTAGCCTCTCATCAAATTAGAAATTGTTCTATGGTCTCTACACAATTTTATTTTCATGACATATGTCTTTAGCCAAACCTTTTAATTTAGTCAGATCACTTTATTATTTGATTTAATAAATAATGGCTCTAACACATTTAAATATGTATCATATATATACATGACCCAAATTTTGCAAACAATCTCCCACTGGTCACAAATATATATGTCCTTACAACCTCACAAATGTGTTAGACTTTATGAGCTCAAAATTGTCATTATATTCCTTTAGCATATTCCAAAAGTCCTGTCCATTAATCATATCAGGATATAAAACCAAACCAGCTTTTCATTGCATCATCGCAACTAAAACCAACAATGATTACTCATCCTCACATAACTAAATGACATGAATTCATCATGAAATGTATAGCATGAAAAATTACATGAAGGTGATATGTAAACGTCTATTTTCAACTGGTCCAAACTTTAACTTATCGAGATCGATATAATAACTTTAATGTACAAAGTGTAATGAATGAACAAGAAAACCGCATATCTATAGATAACCAAATATGTCCAAAAACAATGTATACATATATAAAATAAAACATAGAACATAAAATATATGAAAATGACTAACTCGCACTAAACCACAAATTCCTCAAACTGTAAAACACCCATGTGAGCAACATGCTCATGAAAGACCTTGAGCGGAAGTCCTTTAGTTAGAGGATCTGCTATCATGTAGTTTGTCCCTAAATGTTCTATGGTAATCTGTCCACTCTGTACTCTTTCCTTAACAACTAGGAACTTAATGTCGATGTGTTTTGACTTAGTCGAATTTCTGTTGTTGTTGGAATACAATACAACTGATTTGTTGTCACAATATAACTTAAGTGGTCTTTCAATGCCTTTCAAAATTTGCAGTCCTGTGACAAAATTTCTCAGCCATATTCCGTGATTCGACGCCTCATAGCATGCTACAAATTCTGCTGCCATAGTGGATGAAGTTGTAAGTGTTTGTTTGACACTGCGCCAAGAAACCACACCACCTGCTAACATGAAAATGTAACCTGAAGTGGATTTCAAACTATCTTGACATCCTGCAAAGTCCGAGTCAGAAAACTCAGCGATCTCCAACTGATCTGACCTCCTATATGTGAGCATGTAATCTTTTCTTCTCTTTAAATATCTCATGACCTTTTTTGCTGCTTTCCAATGGTCCATTCCTGGATTGCTTAAATATCTGCCTAGAACCCCAACTATGTATGTTATTTCTGGACGCGTACATACTTAAACGTACATCAAACTCCCTACAGCTGATGTATAGGGAATCTTTTGCATTTCCTCAATTTCCAAATTTCCCTTTGGGCACTGATTGAGACTAAACTTGTCTCCCTTAGCAACTGGAGTATCCCCGAATTTACATTCATGCATGTCAAACCTTTTAAGAATTGTTTCGATATAGCTCCTTTGTGATAATCCCAAAATACCCCGACATCGATCTTGGTGTATCTGAATTCCTAATACAAAAGACGCATCACCAAGATCTTTCATTTCGAAATTATTTGATAAAAAT